TGACTGCGAGCACCTGCCCGCCAGACTCACGCCACGCCAGTACTTCGCCCGCAGCGACCGTGCTGCCGTCGGGGGCGGACGCAGACACAATACTCGGGGAGCCTCCGCACATTGAAGACAGAGCCACGTCGCCATATGGAGAGGGCAGACGGCAAATAGTGCTGTCCTGACCCATGCTATCCACAGTCTGCGAGGCGAATAGGTTTCCACAGCCCATAATAAGAAGCGGAAAGCATTCGAGTCGGATTTCGCTAACTGCCCAAACCCCCAACCCTCAACCCAAAACTCACATTGCACCTGTCAAGGGATAGCAAGTTGTAGTCACATGCACTGCATGTGCTGCCTGTTGATGTGCAATAGCTGTACGTGTTCAACAATTGCCGACGTTTGCTGAAACCATGACCGGTTTCATCACATGACAACCCCAAACTGCTTGCTTCCATAGAGTAGTTTGACTGCATAAATGCATGGACGACTCTGGCAAGCACGAGGAGCAACGCGCAACTTGTCCGTGGTTTCCATTGCGGCTGACCAGCAGCCATGGGAATCTGGAATGAATTGCCCAAAGACAGATCCCATACACCTGAAAATATTTTTACCTAATCACGACAGGCAGCTAGACTGCAGTTAATGTCCAACGTAGTAGAAAGTTACAAGTACAAAACTACAAACTCACATGTTGACGTAACTGGAACACCATACACGACTGAATTAGATAAACATAGGTAACTAGCCTATAACTGAATCTGTGTTCAAAACGGGATACATATGATATTCTTCTCGATTACGGAAATGTGGTGTTTAATCATATGCGGGAAGCTACAGATCCCACAGGTCAGCTTGCCTACGCAAAAATTATAAAGATCATATTATGAAGGCGTTGCGATGTATGCACAAGCCGGCTTCAAACTGCCGACTTCAAGATGCTGTACTGCGAGTCCAGACGTTGGTCTAGGCTCAACGTTTCCCCATGCTATTCAAAGGTTGGCACACGTCGCTTTCATAACAGGTGCCGTGTGTGTTACTGAACGAGTGTTTCAACGCCCGCAGACCATGAAGAAGTCCAGGCATGTTCCTGTGTTGGCCCGAAAAGCCGGGCTTGCTCTGCGGGGATGCAAGGATATGGGCGTTGTTTTGCACAACCGTATATATATGATCTGGATGGTTGTTTGGATGAATGGATGGCTACCAGACATTTCATTACGTATGGTTAAAATGACATGAAGTTAACCATTTCTCCATTTCCTGCGTTCCGGGTATCCAACATTGTTTTTGAAAACCTAGGAAATTTATATCATTCAATAAATCCACAGAATGTACTTCCCGTGCCGCACCCCACACTTAGGACATACGTCTTCATCGCTGTCCGTAAGGACTGCTTCTTGCTCCCAAATCGCACCCATTTGCTCGTTTAGCACCCATCTTCTAAAAGTGGCCATCTTGCAACTCATCAACCGCCTAACCCCCCTTATGGACTATCGCGGCGCGTGTGGTTATGAGTGACGTTGTGCCACCTCCGGAAAAAATATTGACAAAAGTTGTTCATAGCTTGGGTTGGAGATTCGTACAAGTGGTGCTTAATTATCTCAATTTCTCGTTAAATTTGCGACGACGCTGTTGAACACCTCGTCCTTGCGGAGCCTTGGTGCGAAACACGACGATTTTATTTTTCGGACGCTGTCGATGCCATGTTATCGCCAGAGAATGTGGCCAATACCATTATGGATTTCCGCCGGACATTATCGTGCATGTGGCGCCTTCGTTGGGACAAATGAGCATAAGGAAGCCTTTGGAGGCTTGCAAATGACGGATTCCTGCCTTTCCCATGCATAAGGCGCGGCGCCAGGAAGAGAACCTCTTGCTGCGATGTGCCCGTGTGGTTCGGGGCGCATGGCTCGTGGGGTACGCCGGCATCACTTCTGGGATTGCACCATCGCAATGGGTCTTCTCTCTTCTCCGTGAGGCTGATGATGCAGGACGAATGGGTACTTGCGGACCTCATTACCCGGGCCTATTTGTGGTTGGACATTCCGCCGGCCCACCATTCTTACGAGGCTGTGTGCCTTGCGGCCATCAGTTCGCTCAACTTAGGTCGCCATATGATGTGCGGGGGGGTCCTTCAAGGCAGTACCACGGCCCTGTCTACATCCGCCCCCAACCGCATTGGTTACCTGGTTATCTCCGACTTTTGAACTGGTCTCGCGACACGGTACATTCCGCCAAAACATTCCGAGGGAGCAGATGCCTGACAACCAGTCCTTCCTGTCAGCCAAGATTGCCAACAGGGTCGTTTGTCAACTACCGTAACTTGTAACTAATTCAGCTACTGGAAAATAATGCAGATTTCTGAGAGTTCACACCTGGGCCCGATCTTGTATGTCTAAGCGTACTAGCTGAGGATTCATGTCCAGTGAAGTTAGGACGGCCTGGCCGATTCCATTATAAAGAAGGCCCACTCGACCCGATTGGTATCTAACGCAACAATCACATTCCCAAGCCAGCACACACAGCACATCAACTCTAATGTATATAATGCCTGCATGCTTTATGCATGTAATGCACTCTTACGCCCATTCTCCTTACTGGCCATATGTGTGCAACCGTTGACCATTGCCGCTCTCTTATTACACACGTTTTACTGCCAGATGTTCAGCGCATTGGCACAGCGTTGGCATACCTCTCCCCGGTTGAAGATGTTGATGTTCATCCGTTAGTTCCTAATGCGTGGTGTTGGAATTTGCCGCTGTGGGGGAAACCCTGTTCTTCCGGAAAAGAGATAGAGTTCCCCGTCAGTTAACATCCGCCCAGGACTGGAGTTTTGACACCAAGCACTCCTGGGCTGTAAAGCACTGAAAACGTTGGGGGATGTTCTTCTTGCGCGCGATGCTTTACATGTGGTTATGCACACACCGGACCATGCAGGAGTTCATGGTCTTGCCGGGCGACCGGACCCTCAGGGCTATGTAGACGTGCCCGGACGTAGGAGTGAGGACCTCGTCTGCAATTTTGCTGGGTTTTGACCAGTTGGGTGCCCTGTGCCGATCACAGGGGCTGCTGGTATTAAATGGCCGCGTTTCTCTGGGGATCTAGAGGGTCGTCTGACCTTCCCCAAGGGTGAAGCAGGTGGGAGCATGATCGATCTTTTTGTAGGTTCAGCCGGTGTTCTCCGTCATGGCTATTGGATGCGAGTGGGCGAGCTGCTCGCGCCAGATGGTTGGTTCCCGACTGACCACCGTCCAGTGACGCTAGTGCTTGGTCTAGCTGTGGGAGGAACTGGGACGAGTGCCATAGGGTGCTGCCAAAAGAAGCGAGCAGTGTTTGAGATTTCCCGTTATCCTGACTATGCTGCTCTGTTCGCTGACGGATCCCAGGTCATGCATGCACTAAATGGGGTGATCACGGACCTATCTAATGGGACCTGCGACAGCACGGGGTCGGTGGAGCGCATTAGTACCCTCCGAGCAGCCCATACCCTGTTCATTAAAGAGGCGACGAATTCTTCTGAGGGTTCTTCACGGTTGATGGTTTGCCCATGTTAGGAAGCTCCCATCTCAGGATGTCGCGGCCAGCAGTGTGTGGTTGTGGAGGCTACCCTGTACATTCCCTGGGAGGTGTATCCCCTCGCTGTCATCACTTCTGGGCCTGTCCGGTGGCACAGGCAGTAACAGATTAACTCACTCTGTCAATAGGATTGCCAGTCTCAAGGGAACAACGTTGGCTTGTCCAAGCCCCACAAACAGTGCAACAATGTGTTTGGGATGTTGTGCCTGCGATGCCTGCTATGTAGCATGGGAGACGATATATGGCTGCAACCATGAAGACCAACCCGACACTGTTACCTGGCCCTTCCCTTACAGAAGGAGCCATTTCTCGAGTTGTTGTTGACTTTTGGGGCCGCCTTCGGGGTTTCGCAGGTCTGGGAGTTCCACGGAAAGGTTGGGATTCTGCTTGGGTACATTACCCCTTCTTACGAATTGTGTCAGGCAAATTGTTATGCACACGGGAGCAGTCACCAATGGATGATTAGCTATCACCAATATGTTTTTTTTGGATTCTCTTAATTGGAGGACTTTTGAGGCTCAGGCCTCATTCAATAATGATTGTGGGTCCTGAGCCTTCCCGTTGGTCGCGGTTTTGGCTGTTTAATTGACTTGCGTTGTCTCATCTGGGTGGTAGTCTACTTTGAATATTAGTCTCTAGTGCAGTGCACGGCCCGCTGGCTCTACTCTTCGTAAGTCTGGAGCCCACTTTATCAACCACACACACAGAGTCAGTGACCACGGCCAGTTGACGTACAGACAGACGCTGGCTTATGATGGCAGAGTTTCATCAAGCGCACAGGCAACAAGCAGTGCCGGAAAATATACCATCTGATTCCGGAACAGAGCATCGACTGACCGGGGTTAGGGTTTCCCTCAACACATGGCCCGTATCCATACGTGCTGGGTCCGGACATCTGCTTACTGTGGCTGGGCAACTTGTGTGGGCATGCGAAGATGCGATAACTGCCTTCGCCGCGCGTCATGAAAACTAGACGGCGGGAAGTTCACCACCTTTAGGGGAAGAACAAGGAGGGGAACCCAGCCCCAGTATACTAAGATGGCGGCCTTACCGCCTCTGTACCGCATTGCGGTGTTTCGCCCGGAACCTTTATACATCTGCCTCTTCGCACTCCCACGTTCACAGATTGTTTACAAACTACCAGCAAACTACCGCCGTGCTTTCTGCACGCCGTCCGCCACGGGCCGCGCGAGGAAGGACATGTCCACCCACAGCCCCGTGCGAGGACGTCTCACGTCACAGTCTCGTCAACTCGTCAACGAATCTCGTCAACTCGTCACCACCGCTAAAACTGCCAGCACACCATTACCACCACCACCACCAGCACATCTTACGGTATCCGTCGTCGTCGTCGTCATTCCCTTACTGCCACTTTCTCACGGGGTGTTTGAAGACTGGTTTATGTGGTAGTGGAGATGGGGGTAGTAAAAGTCCTGTTGGTAGCGATCCGGCGAAGTCAAGCGAGGCAGCGCCAGGAAGAACACTGCCACCCCGGCAGCTGTGGTGAGCGCCAGCAGGATGCCGCGCGGGTGCGAGAGCATGTCGCCAAAGGGTGGAAACCCCGCCCAGTTGCAAAAGACGTGGGCGGCTACCGGGGCCGCGAGGTGGCCGGTCCTCAGGAAGAGGTACGTGGCCAGCCAGCCGAACACTGTCGTATAGAGGAACTGAAAACCGACCTGCATGGTAAGAGCCGGAGGCGGAGACGGAGGTTGAGATGAGGCGGGAGGGGGGGGAGAAGGGGGAGGGGGAGGAGAAGGGGGATTTTAATGTGGATGGAGAAAAGGAGCAGTAGGAAGATGATACATCACAACATCACAACATGATAATACCTTGCCTTTCCTTGCCTCGCCTTTCTTTTCCATCCTTTGCCTTCCGTTGTCATGAAAGGGCCCCCGCCGACGTATGTTGATGTGTTGCTTGCGGGCTTGTGGCCCTTCCGCTTAGGAGCAACCCGAGGGCGCTAAGGCACGCGTGTGATGATGTATCAGACGTTTGTGGCACACATGGAGACTTGGAAACGGGCACCGTCTGTCAACCCGGCCCTAACTGAAGAACTACTGAAGCAAAACGGACAAGGAGAGACAGTGTATGTAGGATATACCTTCGCCCGCGGCAGCTACCCGGCAAAACCCTGCCTTCCCCGGTATTTCGGGGCACCCTCATCTAGTCACCCTAGTCAACTTCTCAGTGGATTGCTTAGGTTCCGCACCCACCACCGGCATCCAACGGAATCTGCCGGATCGACGGCGGCTCAACTCCATTTCTGGTCGGCTCGCAAGTCAACTTTGTCCCAGGTCACACCCGCCCATCGACTAGGGGCACTTTACCCTCCACCATCGGAAGGATTTTCGACCTTGACACGTTTCGATCCCGTAATCTCCCGGGGGCAATGGTGCGTGCTCTACCAGTGTATGATGTGTGAAACAGGGGGGTGTATCTTCGCCCGCGGCAGCTACCCTGCGAAACCCTGCCTTCCCCGGTATTTCGGGGCACCCTCATCCAGTCACCCTAGTCAACTTCTCAGTGGATCGCTCAGGTTCCGCACCCACCACCAGCATCCAACGGAATCTGCCGGGTCGAGAGCGGCCCAACTCCATTCCTGGTCGGCTCGCGGGTTAACTTTATCCCAGGTCACCACCGTCCATCAACTAGGGGCGCAATGCCTTCCACCATCGGAAGGACTTCTGACCCTAATGGGTATCGATCCCGGGATGTGTATGTATGTACGTAGGTAGGTAGGTAGGGTGGGTGGGAGGGTAAGAAGGTAGGTGAGTAGTGGATAGGTTGGTAGGTAGATTGATAGGTAGGTGAAAGGGTAGGTAGATTGATAGGTACGACTCTGCACCGCCGCCATCCCCAACCTCCCTGTCCCTCTGTCAACCCTACACCGTGCCGCGCACCGTCCCCACCCACCACAAGCAGAGCTCCTCGCAGCGACTTGCCCTGGTGGCGCATCAGATCCGCCGCATGGTGCAGGTGAGCCGCTCCGAAGAACAGAGGTATCAGCAGCACCACGTTCCAGAACTCCACGCCCTAAGTTGGACGCCGCCGCGTCAATGCGGATGCGGACCGCGAGGGCAGTGAGGGCAGCGAGGGCAGCGAAGGCAGCGAGGATGGCGAGGGCAGCGAGGGCGGTGTGTGGACCCGGGAGGATAAGAAGGCAGGAAAGGGGGAAACGGGCAGCCCGCCTAGCTGTCCACACACCGGGGTGCCACCCAAGGCAGGGAGCCCGCCCATCGCCTACATCGCCTACACAAGCCTCGGTGGATACGCCTGCAGACTGCACCCCTCCCAGCCTGGTTCCTTCCATCGCGGGATGACGGGACCTCCGCCCATCCGCACCCCTGGGCACCCGGGCGGTGTCAAGGGGCTTCCCTCTAGCCGCGACAAGAACCCGTGGTGCCGTACCTCGAGCACCAGCAGCGGCACCATGCAAGCCCGGAACACGAATTCCTCCGCCAGCGGCGCCGCCACGAGGTTCCGCCAGAGCGCCAAGTCGCCCGCCGCCAGGCGAAGAAGCCACGATGGCGGAGGCGCCGCGGTGCTAACATTGTCACCGGCAGCACCACGTCCTTCAGCCCTGTCGCCGACGCCATTGCCGTGCTGCCCTCCCTCCGGCACCGCCGCCGAAGGCAGCACGCGCCGCTGCTTGCACTCTGAACCCAAGGTCGTGTGTGCACTGATCGTAGCAGTGGCGGCGGCATCAACTCTGTCGTCGCTGCAGTTGGCGGCGGCGCCATCACCACTGGCAACCTCCTTGGCGGTGTGCCGCCAATGCGGCGGCGGCCGCGTCGCTGGCTGAGATGGTGGTGTTCGTGTCGCCGGCTGTTGCTCTATGGAGTATACAAAATAGACGAGTGGCCCAGCAAAGAGAGTGCTGACCAGGAAGAGAGCGTCTAGTACGGCGCGGGGGAGTCCCACCACTCGTAGGCCTAGGAGGTGATGTACGGGCGGAGACAGCTACAACATCGAGAAGAGTTCAGCAGCAGAAGTGATGGGAGCATGGTGCAATGAGGACATCGTTAGGACACGTGTTCAACAAGAGTCACATGATGGCATTGCTAAAGGAAACGCATGTGCCCAGTCCTTGCGATTGCGGGGCTCTGTAAGCATCTCTCTCCAATTCGTACATAACAGGATGAAATAGGATGGAAGGGCACGGCAAAAGGCGAACTCGAGGTTCGGGGTAGCGCATGTAAAGTCCAACTAAGTGCAAAACCCAAATGTCGACACAAGACGTAAAAACATTGGAGGCAAGGAGTGTTTCCAGTTTCAGGGAAAGTTCCGACAGCGTGCCTGGTGCAACCGTGTGGCCCAGAAGTACGTCGGCAGCCAGCTAACACTGCAAGCCAAGGTTATGCTGAACAGCCTTCGCCTAATGGTTGAAGGGTCATCCCTACGTTGATTGCCCCTCCATATGTATAGGAAGCCTACGAATGTACTGGCAATAACCAGACACGCTAGGAAGGCAAGAAGCATACCGGCGTGCATAATCAGTTGTTGAGCTTCCGGAGGTGGAAGGGCGGTAAGTTTATTGTTTTGCCTGGATATACATTCGGCATATGCCACAACATTATTGCAATAGCAATTTGAAATATCACTAATCCGTTGTCGGATAGTCAAGTTTGTCAATACGGAATGGACGAGCAACTACATGGAAACAGATCAACGACTTGTGCGCATACATAATCGCTGATAAACATTCTGTCTGAGTGCGAATTACATTATTGTGTTCGTGTGACCACATAGCTGTGCTTTGAATTGAACCATGGCACTCTCTGTTTGCCCTGGCCAGGGCTTGGCCCGTGTGGCGATGAGGCGCCCAGGTGTGTGATTGCACCCTGAAATCCATGAGAATTTATCTAGGCCATCCGATGATGCTTTCATAATAGATGGCACCTGTTGTAGGACGCTGTGCTAGAATCCATCAGCCTGAGCCACAAAGTCGAATGCCCGAAACAAATGAGTGCTCAGGGTACCATACTGAGACACACCTGTTTTTCATGTTAGCTTGCCCATGCCATCCCCACTCTGCTTTGCAGCATTTGGTTTGCGCCCTGTTCGGTCGGTTGCACCCCGCGGTGTGCGCACCGTCGTGCGCGCACAGGCCTCAGACTCGGATGTTGGCGCTGCCGGTGTGGCTGCCATTGCTCTGGGTCTGCCCGCGAATGCCATTATGCTGTGGTGAGCGCTTGGCACCGTCTCCCCCTCACGCCTCCACTTCACTGAAACCTGTTGCACGTGGTATCCGCGACATGTTTGCCACTCAGGAACGTCGACACCGGTCACGCCAAAATTGTACCACGCGATTCTCACATCTCTATAGTTTCACCTGCTCGCGTCAGTCAGTCCATTTCCACGTAAACACACCTCATGCGTCGCATGTCGTAAATCATTACGAAGCATGAGCCCCGTATCGCCTTTTAAGCCCGCCCCCTTAACGGTTGCCCACAGGTCTGCGTGTTGTTGTTATTACGGAGTGGGAGGCTTCCGGGCCATTTGAACCATTTTTCATGTCTAGTATTGTGAACACCTTCCAGCACCATCCACCATTACCATACACTGTGCTACACATCATACGAACTGCAAGTCCACCAACTGCAGGTCTGAGTGGACATTGAAGACCACCGGAAGCGGACTGCCACCGGGCCCTGGCGGCGCTCTGGGTGCTGCAGGTGGGTGCGTTGCGCGGAAGAACTGTCTGTGCTGGGTGGCAAGAAGCGGTCCATAGGGTACGTCCCTCCTCCCCAGCAATGACACTTTCTCCACGGCGCTGCTGCGGCCTATCCTGTCCGTCGCTGTTCTCCATCCGACCCGAAGTTCACCGCTGCTCTGAAGCCAGGGACAGGCGCCTCATTGCACACAACCTAGCGGAGCAGTAATCGGCTCAGCACAGTACGGAAAATAATTTGTCGTGCAGCACCGTTACGTGATGTGATATTAATTGGACCTTCCCAAACCCAGCCCTAGGCCAGCGCCCGTTACACCTTATGTGTACCACACACGCACTAAACCATCCGACATGCATGACCTGGTGTAATGTGGCGGCCTCAGAGGGTGTGAGCTACCTGCTCGTTCTGGGCATCATCGGCTGGAGCATCTACACCAAGGCCACCACCGGCAGCGGCTTGCCGGCGGGACCCGCGGGCCTGCTGGGGGCAGTGGAGGGTGTGAGCTACCTGTCGCTGCTGGCAGGTATATATGTACGCGATATCCTTCCGCGTCCCCGGCACGTGCAATAGTTTGAATTGGTATTACCTTGCCACTGCGGCTGCTGCTGCTGTTTTGCAGCTGTTCTGGGCTATTCCCCTCTGCTTTTGCTGCTGGTGTTGACGATGGCCTATCATGGCACGGCATGTGCGCGCCCTTAGCTCCCGATGCTTCCGTATCCCCGCGTGCTATGCTCTTTGCGTACGCTCTTACCTCCATCTTCCCGTGTGTCCCCTTAGGCATCATCGTCTTCGCGCTCAAGTACCTGTCATAAAAGAAAGGCAGCCAATCTGGAGGCTCTGGACTGGAATGGGCTATCAACGCCACAGCGTCGAGATGGCTTTTGCTGCGGCGCTGGGTACCCTATTGTTCGAAATTTTGGACGGCCTTCGAAGATATAGATCGAATCGAGACGACTAGATTGGTCCCCGGCCATGGAAATTTCTCACTGCGATGTGGGTCTGTAAGCGTTTTCGGTGAGAACGGAGGTGGACTGTGACAAGGCTGCCGGCCATTTATAATTTTTACGGTGCCGGCCCGCCGGCCCGTAGACTCCTTGTTTCCAAACAGAGTATGTTGAAACTAGGAGAAAGGAGTTAAGGGAGGAATGACAAGCAGAAGAATGTCCTGAGATGTGGCATTACTGCTCAGCTACTTGCCTGCATTGCCGCGTCCTGTTGGGAATGGACTGACACTACAATGAAGAGTGGCGGATGCGGTGGTTGTTTATGGTCGCAGTGCATTGCCCGGGGCCCCAGGTGGATTCAGCCACACTCATGTCCCGCGGCTGTCGCAGCCATAAAACTCCTCGCAACCAGCACGTGTGTATCAAACTGCATGCCGCAATGGATGTTGATAAGGAGAACTAGGCCCAGGCGGATGAGGCACGATTTGATTTTTGTGTAATGCCGTGGTTCTCACGCCCTCGACATCACCAACATGGCATATCGCGTCACATACATCAAGGTCAAAAGTGCCACAAATGGAGCTTCGCGATGCTGATGCTGATACCAGTGATCGTCACCGGCGTGAGAATGGTCACATTACTGTCCTCAGGAATGACAAACTCGAAGGAGCGTTATTACTTAACTGTGCTGTACTAAATCATTGCTGCTGCATATGTACGAAGCCCCAGCACGGCATCCGCAAGGCCGAAACACGCATGGCCACTAGCCAACTCGCCTCGTTGGCTCGACACATCAGCAACGTAGGCGGGGTTCTGCAGCAGGAAGATCACCGCGGTCCAATAAAGCAACATCCGACCAAACAACGGGTTTAAATCCGGGTTCAAATCCGCCTGCCGACCCCTTGGGTGTTTTGAGGGGTGAAAATGGGAGGCGGACCCCCATCTTATGGACGGTGTAGGACGTGATAAAATCAACTTGCGGGCTGACCAGGAACTGAGTTGAGGCGCCGTTGATCCGCTAGATTTGATTGGATGCTGGTGGTGAGTTGCCAAACCCTAAGAGTACACTCTGAAGTCGGATGGGGTGAATGGATTAGGGTGCCCCTCTAGCAGGGGAAAGCAGGGAATTGCCTCGGGAAGGAGGCCACTGGTGAAGCTGTACCAGCCTGTAACAACAACAACAACAGTTAGGTCGGGAGGGGTGCTGTGTACAACACACGACGCTGCCAGCTGCCAAGGCTTGTGGACACCGCCACGGAAGCCATGTTCGCAGCGAGGTGGCAGGGAAAGTCAAAGGAGTGAGCACATTTTAGCACAAGCCCTACTGGCGTGCTGGGCTGACGCGCCGTCTCGGCCTTAAGGCGTTTCACAGCCGCGAGTTGCTCATGTACATGAGATCAATTACTGTTCTGCTTGCCGTGAACATGAGCCCAGCCGCCCGTGCACATCTCCTCGCAATGCCAAATAAAGGACGTCACCACAACCCGCATGAATTCCGATATGAAACACATGGACACAAAACGCGCCATGATGGTACCTGAAAATTTACATAAGCAACAGTCGCATCACAAAATAACACACCCGCATACGTACTAGGACGCATCCCAGCTCAAGGATACAACACACTCAACACACCATATCGAGCAAGGACAGATAGTATACCAATCTATCGCGCACCAATCTAAACGCGATTCGAAGGTGCATAGTCCATATGCACAGATAGGGCCAAGAGCAGGCCAACTTCCCCTTACAGTTGCGTCCAGTAGCATTCAACATGTGCCTGTCGTGGCGCGACAGAGTAAGCCATACAATCTAGACAAAAGCAAAGTTGCGCCTCTGCCTGCAAAAGCTCAGACAGAAACCGCTGCTCAGTAGAAGATAGGCTCTATCTTTGGGAAAGGGTTAGAAAGACGAGCGTATCAAACAAAGACAGTACGTCATAACACCAAAATGTATGTGACCCGCAACGGGGCCGGTCCTCCCGCCTATTCCCTCATCGTGTTTTCGCCATTCGTCACCACACCACCACCGCACGCTTACGTGGCCTCCTCCCCCACCACGCAGCCGCAGGGTTACACGCCAATATCACTTGCGGTTTTGAGACTCGCGGCGATACTCCTCCTCTTGTGGTTGAGAATGCTGTGTTCAGCACATGGGACAGAAAAAACATCAAAATATTACACAGCGCACATACACACATACACATACATACATACATACATACATACATACATACATACATACATACATACACACACATGTTCCGCACACGTCACGACATGTAGTAATACACCATGTAGCAAACCTCCGGTGTCCAATAGGGCCCGGGAGTGGCATCTCATGGTGCACACCTCATCATCAAACGATAACCTGTTCTTCAGGGAGGGCTACCCAGTTGTTGGTTCGAATCCAACAACACAAACTGCGATAAAGCGCCCACCATACAGTTAAATCAATATGCCGTGGCAATCTTTTGCACGAGAAGACTACCGACTAGCAAGGCCGGAAACCCAGCGGAACAACACCCTTATTAATAAGCCGCTGTAATTCCTCAACTTTTTTTTCCTAAAATAACAATACCTTGAACAAACCTAGTAGAGCGGTAGAGGCAGCGCAAGGGTAGCAGCAGCAGCAGCAGTAGCAGCAGCGGCCACTGCAGCCAGCACTGCATCCGCTGTTCGATGTCTCGGTGACGATGCGTGACGTCGTCTTTCTTTTCTCAAGTTGCCGCTCTCTGCAGGAATGAAACCCACCATCAGACACCGAAATGCCCTGGCGTGCGTGAACGGCGAAGCCTGGAGACCCCACCTTTGCAGCGACACAACTTTGGGTGTAAGGGATCCACAAAGCCCTCATGCCAGGCAGCCGGCCAGTTGGCCTGCAACGAAGGCTTCCCAGTCATCTCGATTGGAGTTGAAAGGCTGTTGAAGACGATTCGTGGCAGTGGTAGTCCCCGTGGTACTTCTGAGTCAAGCAGGGGTCTGCCAGCAGCTGCTTGAGCTCACGTCAACGCCGCCGAACAATCGGGGATTGCAAAGCTAGGTAGAACAGTACGTCCCATCCAGCAGAGAAGGAAGTCGAGTGTCCGTGCGTCTCTGCCTAGTTTGCACTTTTCACAAAGACGAGGTTGACGCTCCGCTTGCAAGGTAATGCCGTGCTTACATGCACGTGTACAGCAACACCCCGACCAGGCAACGTGTCTAGCCCAGGCTGTCCGGGAATATGTTAACATGAATTCAACGACAATATCTTCTAGGTCCAGGACATAGGAAGATCATTCATCCGCAGCACGCCTTCCGGGAGCATGCGGTGCCTTTGACCCACGGCTAGGGAAACACCACGAATACCAGTTTTTCACCGCAGTGCTGTTGACGCAGCCGCAAAGATGCACATCCACAGCAAAGCATTTCAGTCACAATACGGAATCTGCCAAAGGCGCGCACGCTTCCAAAGCGCAAATGCCAGCCATAACCACGATTATAATACGACCTATATCATACCGATGCTCGCTTTTTCAAAATACCCCTAGGGACATCCATACGCCCGAGGCGACGATGAGAGGGCAAAGACCTTTTCACCTTCCCCCCTGGAACGCGGGGTGTGTCTCCGCGTAGGCGCGTAAGCGGCCCAAACCCTACCCTCCTGGCCGGTTGTTGCCTGCATTGCTGCCGTCTGCCTGCTTGTCGACGTATGCTTGAATTTTACGGCGCAACTCAAGGTGTTTTGCGTGGGCATCCGTGTATCGCTGCTGAGTTGATGCGAGCGAGACAGTAAGGCTGTCGCGCTCCTCGTCGACGCGACGAGCATGCTCCTGCAGCTCCCTCTCCGCCTGTTGACGTTTGAGCTTGCTGCGTTTTGCGGACTCCCGGTTTGCTTGCTTTCTTTTAAGAATGCGCTGCTCCCTTTCTCGCTGCTGAGCTTCAACATCGTCCGCTTGGGAAGAGTCCGGAGCAGTATGTGCGTTTTGTGCCCCGCTACCAGCAGCTGCAGGATTATTACCGGCTCCAAGGGCGTAGTAGCTGGGCCACATCGTTGCGAAAGGTTGCTGCGTGTTGGCCGGTATGGTGCCACGCAGCTGCGGTGCGCCTTGCAACGGTTGACCGCTCATTCTCTCCCACCACTTTTTACAAAAAGGGCTACATAATACTCTGGCCTCCCGCGCTCTGCAAGTAAAAGCAAGCTGACAAAGAAATCGCTAAGCGTTTCCGACCGCCGGCAGTAAGCTACCCGATGTGTGTGCTTACTATTAATACAACTAACGTTGATTGTGATGGTTGGGCCTATATGTAACAGATGTGTTGGACACGTGAACCGGAACCGTGTCAGTACGACTCATTTCATTCTCTCTCGAAAAAGCGCAACATCCCTAGTCGCCCAAAACATTGTGTGAGTAGACTATCAAAGAAAAATTTTAAGATGGCAATTGTAATTGTGGGTAAATCGCGCACTGTTTTAGCTCAGCGCACCCCGACTCTTTCGAGTCGGTTTGGGCTTAGCACCCCTGCGTTCATGACGATGATTTCATGCCCAAACTGCAAACGTGCCTCTTTGTTTCACAATGCACGGAGAGTTACCTGGCGCCATGATATCGCAAGCTCCGCCACTTCATCCTCACCTGTGACCACCACCCAATCACCGGAGGTTCCAGCAACTCAGTGGTAAGTGATTTATAAGCGTTTCGTAGGAGTAGCAGGAAAGGGCGGGAACCCGTCCACAGCCGTCGCAGTGCTGCCACCTGCTGCGCTCCCCCACTCCCAGCGTGACTTCTTTCCGCCCCCTTGCGTTCCGATGGCAAAGCTCGCACCATTTTTTCCTCTGCTCCATAGCGCAGTCAAGCGCGCACACTGGTTCTGGCGCGCGTAGCGCTTCAAGCATTTCGAGAGCGTCGATACACCCCTAGCTGACAACGGGTAGCAGAACCTACCCATGCGCGTACACAGCAATCCCGGGCGGTTCTGCCTAAGAAGCACCTGCTCGGCTTGTCACCGTACACACGCCTTGTGGACACTGCGAAACACAAAATCTGGATCCAGGTTCCAGAAGACTATCACGCTGCCGCAACACCCGCGCGGTTGCCATGTCATCACACGTAAAATTTACGAAGCACTGCCGGAGCTGGCGGCGTACGAGATCGGGCTGGCAAACATCTTCAGTAAGTACACAGGCAATTTACGTTTTTATCTTCTTAGGCGCAGATCCAAGCGTCAACGCGGTACAATTAGCGCAAGCCAAGTATCGGATCCTGTCCTAATCCGCAGCATCCTATCTCACGTAGTAATCCGTGCAAATGCAGGCACGGGCTTTGTAGACCTGGAGGGAAATTGGGGCCTTGTCCTGTTGTTGTGGCCATCAGTGTCCGTTGTCCGTTCCCATCCTGCCGCACCAACCCTGACCGCACTTGTCTGGAGGCCATACACGGACTAAAATGAGCCGACCTGACCACGTGTCCCACCGCATCTTGGGGTTTTGTCCCTCGGACTCGGGGCTAAGTCCTCGCCGCATGGTAATGACGACGATGGCGTATGCGATCCGCAAACCTCCTTGCTACGGATGACCTTTTTGCTTGGCTTCTTGGGCAGCATCAAAAGGCATCCCTCCATGCTAGACTCCCTCAGGGCTTTTCCCCTTCCCCGATCCCCTGCCGCCCGGGTCTCCACCCACTCCACTCAGTTCTCCACACGAGCGCCTCTCTGACCATCAACGAGAACGCCAGTCCCGAGGTGCCCCTGGACCTCAATGTGCGTGCGTGAGATAGATGTTGGCATGTGGGGGTAAGACGAACCACTGGCGAATGAAGAGAAGCAGATACCAGAGGTAGACGGATGGGACATGTGGGGGCCGTGTGGGCGATGGGGATGTGGGGGCATACGGGATGTGGGCATGTGAGTATGACTCAACGCAACGCGGCGTTAAGAGGGCGTGCAGGGAAGGACAGGAACCATGATAGAGAGTGACAGACAGACAGCTGGAGACGGAACGAGAGGTTAGAATCTGAACACCTGGATACGAGGAAAATTTGAAGAAGTATATCGTATCTGCGCACGGGGTGAAGCCGTCGTCGCCCACGTACATTACATTCCACAACTGGGGGCAATGTGTTGTTAGCCCTCAACCCCAACCCGCTCAAACCTCAGTCACAATAATCCCTGTGCCGCGCTTTAATGCCCTCCTAGTCCCCATACCATAAATCCCTTCTCCTGCCCGCCGCGAGCTGCCCGACGTGTCTTTTCCATTATCCCCTCGGCCACGCCATGCTATGCTGCGCCTCTTCCTCCAGGACGCACTGAACCGCCTGGCACCCGAGGGCAATCACTACCGCCATGATGATGAGGGACCCGACGACATGCCGGCCCATGTGGTGGGTGCTGACTGCGCGGGTTTGGGGTTAGGAGGACAAAAACAACCTGGCCCTGTATGGGGAGAGCCCCCGCGGGCGAATCCTCGGGACCTCAGATACGCGTGTGCGTGTGTGGTGTAACCACTTTGCAGCGACTTGTTTTTTGTAAAGAAGGGGATAAGGAAGGGTGGGTACCGCATTACCCTCACTGCTAAGCCCTCATGGTGCGCGGCAATTTCTGACCCGTTGGTCAATGGTGGTGACGATGGTTGACTTGGTTGTGTCCCGTCCCCGTCCGGTCCCGCAGAAGAGCAGCCTAATGGGTCCTTCGCTGACGCTGCCGGTGTCCCGAGGTCGCTTCGCGTTGGGAACCTGGCAGGGCATATACCTCAATGAGCACAGGTAGCGCTGGGCATTGGTAAAGTTGGTTGTTGGTAGGGTGCGGAGCGTAGGGCAAAGGTGGAATTGCTTCCTCCAAATGGCTTTTGAGCCATACGAATCTGCTTGATCCATGCATGGCTCCAAGGGGGGAAGCATGCGTGCCCTCCCGGCTGTATCTTGGTGACTTGGACATCCCTTTTCGGTGCAGGAACATGGGTGGACCCAGATCGCTTGTGATTACCATTCAGGGGCAGCTTCGAGCCGACGGCCGAAAGTACGCGGCCGCATGGCATGCGTAGGCTCAGGAAGAGACCGAGCTCTGGAACAACGATGCGGTGATGGATAGGGGAATAGCGAGGTTCTTGAAGTTTGGATAATGGACTGAGCCAGGTTTTTCTGTATGAAAACTGCAAGCGTGCCTGCCCAATTGCTGTGGACATACACGTCTACAGGTTTGGCTTGAAAGGTGTTATCATATCGTGAGGATGGAAAGGTAGATCCTAAATTTTCTGCTGCGCTGTTTCCTATCCTAATTGACCAGGTTATGGCGACTTGCCAAGTTTTGCTTCTGGTAGCATTCGAGTTAGGAAGAGTTGTCTATTCATACTGTTATGTTGGTTTTGAACCCTCGTAACCCAAAGTGTTATAATACAAGGACAGGTGCAGTTCTGTGTGGATTTCTGTAGTGTAATCCCGTTGCAAGATGACGCTTTCCACGGCGGAACCTTTTCGGCGATATGTCAGCATGTTCCTCGCCTCCAAATCTGTTATGCTCAAGCCAGTACGTTATTTGTGAACTGCAATCGTTCTTTTTTTCTCCAAACTGCTTGGGATTCCTGAAGGAGCAATAGGATATTCAAGGGTATCATCCTCTCCGCAGCTTTGCTCTTGCCCTCTTTTGTTTGTTTAGGATATCCTTCTTACGATCTGGGGCCCGCGGGCCTGGCACCACAGAATGTCTCTGCCGCGCCAGGCCATGCAGACAGCCATACGACGGATCGGCCCTAGGTCCATACATCCTTTGTACCACTTGCGCGTTTTTAGTTTAAATAGAGGGGCAGCTGCGCGGTATGGGCCTCAGCAGTTAATGGCGAGGCCAGAGCGGTCCGAGGGCGCTGGGCCTGTTATTAGCGTATCTGGATCCGAAAGCGATTCAGACACTGATTCTTCTTTTCCGCTTCTTGAAGCGGAGGCGGAGGCGGAGCCGGAAGGTTCACCCAAGGCGCTCGGTCCATTGGCTGGGCTTGGATCTATTATGGGCATCGCGCTGCTGCTGGGTGCTGGTGTTCTCCTGAAAGATGTCATACGAGACTTCCTGGTGCGTGCTCGCCCGCACTATCCGGTGTGGATGCCTTCGTCGCTTAGTCAGCCAGGCCTGGATATGACAGTCGCGGATGCTATTCCTCCATGGAAGTTCCACCGAAATTCCCGTGCGATACGGATGCGAAGGTTGAGGACAGTAGTAAATTTTATCACCGGCAAAACTGGGCTTTTGCCTGTGAACTTGCTTTGGACGGCGAAGAACCGGCAGCGCTCCCAACGTGCTAGACGGCTCTAGGCCATCTCAAGTACCCACTCCTCCTTACGAATACGTACGCCCCCTTTCCTATCCTTCATTCCCCAAGCCTAGCATCATTCGAATGCGCCTAGCCTCCAGTTCCAGCCACCCATGATCAAACCTCCGCCTTTCGTCCATACCACCGCCATCCTTTTACATCCCATCGAAGACCAGAAAATACCCTTCTCACAACATCTCCAAACCATATACACATTTCTTCATGAACATGCAGGTGTTCTTCATGGATGCGGTAGACAGCTGGGGCCCGCTTGGTTACTTGGCCTATGCGGCAGTCTACACGGGACTGGAGGTGCTGGCAGTCCCCGCCATACCGCTCACCATGACCGCGGGGGTCATCTTCGGGCCCGTGGCCGGCACCCTCATCACCTCCCTGTCAGGCACCCTCGCCGCCACCATCGCTTTCCTCATCGCCCGCTACGCTGCCCGGGATAGGGTGCTGCGGTGGGCTCGGCGCAACAAGAAGTTCGCGGCAATCGACAAAGCGATTGCACGGGACGGCTTCAAGGTCCGGGGTTTAGCCGGGCGGGTTAGAGCTTCAATTGGGGAAGGGAGTAGATTATTTTGGGAGTCGGGTAACCTGATATCCCTGTTCGATGGTATCCCTGTTGGCGGGATGTCTTGGAGGGTTCCGGGGTTTTGGAGTTTGGGATTTGGGGCTGTGCCGGGTGTTCTGATGTGTTCGGGGTGGGGTAACGTGGCTTACTCAGCGAAAACAAGATCCCTGAGCTGCCGCCTTGGCGTCACGGTGCATTTCCTGGTGTTAATTCTCGGCTTTCTGCGTGCTGCTGCTATCCGTGCAGGTCACGTTAAGCAAATACATCCCCCTTCATATGGCTGCTGGGACAGCTTTGTTGTATTGATACGCCGTACTGCTCGTCCTTTTTCCCGGTGGTTTTCCGTGCTCCTTACGCTCCAATCGTCTCCGTTATTGCTTCCGTCCCCGGTCCGCAGTTTGTCACGTTGCTCCGGCTCAGTCCGCTGTTTCCGTTGGCAGCGTCAAACTACCTGTACGGCCTCACGAGCGTGGATCTTTGGTCGTACGTTGCGGGATCCTGGATTGGCATGCTGCCTGGCACGTACGCCTACGTCAGCGCGGGCCACCTGGGCAAGGCGGCACTGATGGACGGGGAGGGCAGTGTGGGGGTGGAGTCCTGGCAGGTGCGGGGAATGGGATCGGCAGCGGCCTGGAGAGACGGAGGGACGCAGGTAGTGTAGAGAGGGCATAACGTCAGGCGCTGCGCAGGATGGCCGTAGGGCTCGTTGGATAGAGCTCTTGGTCCTTCATACTACCGTTCGTTAGGGGGCTGAGCTAAATCCAAAGAATGGGAGTATTGAGAAGCATAGATGGGCAGGAGAAAGGGGCTACGGTACCAATGGCGAGGCTGAGACTCTCTAGATGCAAGTGCACACGGCGGTGCCCTCCCTCCCCCCTCCCGCCTTTCCTGATTTTCAGGTGGCCCTAGGGTTAGGGGTGACGTTGCTGGCTATTGGCTATGTGGGTCGTCTAGCCAAGACGGCCATTGAGGAGGCAGAGGCGGGGTCGGGCAATGAGGACACGGAGGGGAGCCAGAAGGCCAGCACCTCCTCTTCACCCTCTTCGCCTTCTTCGTCCTCAACCTCATCCTTATATGACGCCACCAATGGCGGCTCCGCCTCTACAACCGTCAGCAACGGCATCAGCAAAAGCAAAAGCGATAGTAACAGCGTAAGCAGTAACGGTATGTTTCAAGTGAGCGTGAGCATTACCAACAACAGCAGCCGCGGCAGCGGCGCTGGAGAGAGCGCCAAGGCGGGGTAGCGGAGCTGTAGCCCTGGCGGGCGGTTGCGGCGACATCGTTGCGCCTCTTTTTTGAGGAGAGGCTGATTTTTTGGTATTACAGAGACCGCGGCTGGTGCTGAAGCTTAGCGCGTTTGTCCTAGTGCTCTTGTGACGTCGCACTAGCGTTCCCCCCAGCTTCGACTTTGTTGATGTCACCTACCAGGAAAGCTGGGCTTTGTCAAGGTGCCTTGAGAAGTAACACAACACGGCTATTTAGTTGTTGAGGGTGATGCCGCCCTGCGCAGCGCAAGATGTATTTCGTTATTGTGCATGGATTGGGCGCCTCTGCCCTCTTGTAGCCGTGAGTGCCTGAGTTCATGTTGGTGCCCACCTTATCATCATCCCGCCTGCGAGTCGTTTTCTCTCGCGCTACATCGAGCGGGAGCCAGCTTAATGTTTCCTCGTGCATTTACTGGAAGGCGAAAAGGACTGTCGAGGGAGAGTCTGTGCGGAAAGAGAGATGTGGAGAGGAGAAAGAGTGCTGCTCTTGCCGCAGGATGAGGAGAGGAGAAGGGGCCGAGGTGACAGCAGCAGAGAAGCCGCCGGTCGTGGGCCATAGAAACTGCGGCCGTGATGGATGGTTAATGCTAATCTGCCTGCGTGCCTGCCTGGCACGACCAGCATCAGCTGCATGATTGGGTCGGTCGCTAGCGGGCCGGAGGGGAACCTAGGCGTGGAAACCTAAGGATGGAGGAAGGAGGTTTCCGGCAGCAGCAACAACAGCAGCTTGATGGCAGCAGCTGTGGGTGAGGGCACCCGAAGCAGGGGCCCCCAGCTTCCAGGCACCGCGGGTTGGGGAGAGAAGCTTAAGGCTCTTATCGCGACGGGAAGTGGGGGACATTGTTGGTGTGTGTCTGCACGTGTAGCACTGATTTCCTGTATTTAATGCTTGGTGACGGAGAGAACTGTGGCCTAACGCTATGGTTAAGAAGGAATCATTAGCCGGGGTCTGTTACGATAATGCGACGATGTGGCGATGGTGACGTGTGGTGCAGTGGACATATAAAATGACTTGAGGTCCGTCCACCGGGGTTCTGTAGCTGTTCGCTTGGAAGATGGCAATGTTGATAACCTTGTGGGAATGATGATTAAGACGATGAGGTTTTTTGGCGACGGTCCTGCTTGTGCTCTATTGCTGTTGCTTTTGCTGCTGCCGAATGTTAGTGTTGAGAACAGTCAGGACCGAGTTGCTGCCGTTGCGCACGACCTTGTCGTGCTTCGTGTTGCTGCGCATGCACGCATTGCATACATCCGTGATGGGGAAGGGCTGGGTGAGGTTTGGGCTATCCGATTGGATTAGCCGATCCGCGTTGGCTAGTACGTGACGAAAGCGGCAGTGATGAGGGAGCCTGTCTAGGTTATTGACTGTTTGCGATTAGCTGTGTGGCCTGCTGCTATCTCGCCAGCCGTTTAAGAGCTTCTGCTGCTGTCGTGTTTTTGGAGTTGAGTCGTTGAGTTCGGGGCATGGCTCTAAAGTTTGTAACATTATCGCACATCACGGTGGCCAGTTGCCACTTCGGTAGCATGTCAGGAGAGTGAAGCTGGCATCTTCTCTGTCAAAAGATGGATTATGGATTGGGGGGGGTTCTGTTGCTGCAGAGGGATGATTGCAAAATGGATCGCTTCCCGGTCACATTTCGGCCGTTGCTGCTGCTGCTGTGCTGTTGTTGTCGTGGAGGTGTCGCTTTACACACTTTGGGTTATGTTGCTTTTCCTGCCGCTGCGCCCGCCGCTGAGAGGAGCACCAGCCCCGGTGCGGGGTTCCGCCGTTTCTTTGCTGATTGCGAGGCGGGGAGATGGAGAGGAGGGAGAACATGCGTGCGAGTGTCTTCGCCGTAGCCTTAAGACATAGTTCGCAAGAGTCCCGACGGGATTTATGGGTTCATTATAGTCGTTGCTGATGGACATGATAATGGCGTAGGTAGGCGAGATGAGAAAGCTTGGGGGTCTGATCGGTGAAAGTACACTTGGGACGAGGCCGAAGTGTGGGCATGGGGTAACATGAGAAGCCGACATAACGCTGTTTCGGAACGAGAAGCCAATTCATCATTGTTTCAATACTGCAAGTAAGCAGAGTAACATACCTTTCCCGTCGTATGGCGGTTCCCTGGGCACAGGCGCCCATCCCCGCCTCCACCCTTTCGACTACAATATCCTACACAGCTTCCGCCTGCGGTTACATAACCACCAAATAAACGCGGCGGTTCCCGCCGTTCACCACCCAGCGCCTATCTATGACCAGCGACAGCAGCTGCAGCAGCAGGGGCCATCACACCCATGGGACCAACCTCCGTCACTCCGCCGGAAAACACCAACTCGCCACCCCCCAAACCGCTGCAAACGTAATACCATGCAAATCCCCACCCCCCATATCGCCGTATTTCCTGCTCTCGGCTGCGCCCGCTATTCCTCATGACCGTCCGGGCCTCGTACATGGCCCTGGCCGGCACTACCATCGGCACTACAGGTCTTCACATAGGCTCCTGGAAGTCAGGAAGCGGCTGCTTCTGAAACCGGTTCCGGAGCTGCCCGCACGCAGCCGCCGCCTCCAGACCCCGCGTCTCCCGTACGGTGCACGCCAGGCCAGCGGCTTCCACAGCGCGGCGGAAAGCAAATACTCGGTTGCGGGAGGGCCGTACGAACTCCGACTCATCGACGGGGTTCCAGGGAATGATGTTGACGTGGGACATGAGGTCGTGGCGGCGAAGTAGCGCCGTCAGCTCTCGGGCGTGTTCCAGTTCGTCATTGACACCGGACAGCAGCGTATACTCGAATGTCACACGGCGACCCGTGATGCTGCGTCGGCGGGGTGAGGTAAAGATATTATTGTTGTTGTGTTGCTACAAGGTATATCAAAAAACACTTATATATGAAAGAAAGGTTGGTTACTCCGGAGCTCTTAATCCTGGCGTGTGTTAAAGGGCCGGGCATTGTCGGATTGGGAGATGCCCTTAGCCACCCGATACCTTTCCACGCGGTCATCCGTTAGCGGAATCATGCCTATATCTGAAAACGATGCGACAGCCTGGGCTAGGTTCTGGGCGCGTGGCAGCGTGCGGCAGTGGGTGAGGTGGTGCTGCGGAGGTTTAGCTGAAGCATCAAAAACAAAAAACACAGAAACACATCCCTTCCTCTCTCTTCTCTCCCCCCTTCCCCCTGTTCTTCAGGGCAGCGGCCCCAAAGGGCCATAGCTCGGAGGAGGTGCAGCAGCGTGCACTCCCCCCTTCCCACCGCCCCCTCTCCCCCCCTCACCGGTAGTACGTGACACAGTCCTGAATGAGGGCTTCCAAGGGGTAGGCCTTGGCTGAGGGAATGAGCCTCTCTCGCAGCGCCTGGTTGGGTGCGTGCAGGGACACTGCCAACGTGGCCTTGAGGGAGGAGGCGGCCAGGCGGGGGATGGCGTTGGGGACACCTGATCGGGTCCGCGGGGTTCCGAGGAGGGCAGTGGGCAGGTGGGGGGGCAGGGAGGGGGCAGGGAGGGAGGGGGAGTTGGGAGAGAACTCGGGGAGTTGTACGTGTTTGGTTTGGTGAGCAGGGTGGGGAGTCCCAGAATGGGGGGAGAGGAGAATGTACGGATGAGAAGCAGTATGACGGTGAAGGGATGCAGACCTGACACAAGATGCCAGACGAGGAGCAGCACGGTGCAGCGGGAGGGCAGGGGGGGAGAGGGGAGAGGAGGGGAGGAGGCAATCATACATATGCAGGACGCAAAGAACCAACTGCCCGACGTCCAAGCCGGGGAAGCGAGGTGGCATCATAAATCAGCACAGGTGGTGGCTGCTGCGCCCAAAAGGTGCTCCACTCCCCCTTTCCCGCCCTCCTCTTAACCCTCCCTCCTCTCCCCGCCTGCCGCACTTACCCACTGTAGATATGGTGATGAAGGCTCCCCCAATGCCGACCTGCTGGTTGAGGCCCTGGTAGGCGCGAACCACCGCGGGCAGGTTCAGCAGCGGCTCCCCCATACCCATGAACACTGCCGGGGCAGCAGGCAGGTCAGAGGTAGGGAGGCATGGGGGTAGGTAGGCAGGTGGTTAGCCAGGTAGGGAGCGCGTGAAACGGGGCTCGCTCGGGAACGAGAGGACCGGACAATTCCATCGTCATCAGGCACAACTGGGTCAGAGGACCGGACAACCCCCCTGGACACGTCATCAGGCACAACTGCCACAGCCACAGTTACAGCCGCCACCACAGCGCCAAGTCATGGCCTTTGAGCGGGGTCGCAACGAAAATAAAGCTAACTCAGTTATGCAGTGGATGGGAATCGAATGATGATGCGAGCATCTGCAAAGATGCCAAACTGCCGACATGACGTACAACACCCGCATGCATTGGGCAGGCGGCGCGGAGGGGATGGGATGGGCAGCTGCAGGGAGGCGCCCGCGGCGACAAGGGCGGAGAACGAGAAGGGCGCGAGATGATGATGTCTGAAGATGGCGCGGTGAGTGCAAGCTGTTCCAAAAGTTTTTTAAGGGTTGCCGCGCTGTGACCCCAAACACCCCTCGGCCCCAGCCAGTGCAACCGCGGCAACTTTTCAACAGCATCATCACGCCGCGCCACGCCACGCCACCCACCCACGTTGCTGACCCTCCTGCCGAGCTGCTCCTGCACTGTGAGCACCTGATCCAGAATCTCATGCGGCGCCAGGTTGCGAGCAAAGCCACCCTTGCCTGTAGCACAAAACGTGCAACGCATGGGGCAGCCCACCTGCCGGGCATGCAGTGGGTGGTGCGTCGGGGGACAGACGAACCACGAACGAGTGAAGGTGCTGCCAGGGCAAGAGTGTACCAGACGTAGAACTGACCAAAAGGCGTTCTTGAAGTTGGGGGACAGATCCCGACAAAAAGCCATTTGTCCGTTAAATTATATCGGTTTGATGGGCTTTACTTCCCCTCCTCTCCCATCCGCGACACCGCCCAACACTTGTCTATTAATGTGTTCTCAGCGAGGCGGTCTGGGTTTCCTGAACAGGCCAGTCCGACATGCTGTCTGTCCGCCCGCCAGTCCGGACTGGACTGCATGCAGGCTCCCCCTACCTGCGAGGACACACATACGGTGAGGCGATCCTCCGTGGGGATGCCCACCGTCTCTACAATTCGGCCGTCATGAAGCTGCGAACACCGGGCAGGCAGGCAGGCAGGCAGGAATGGAGCCCCAAACCGATGCGGGACCCGACCCGTCGGTCAGCCCGCCAATCAGCCGCCAGTCATGTGCGGTTGGGGATGTGCCAGGGGCGAAGCAGGGGCGAGTGGCTTTGCAGTCGACAAGGGAAGGGAGTTGTAGGTGTATGAGGCGAAAATCGTGGATGTTGCGGTGGTTGCGGTGGTTGCGGAACACCGCCGTGGCAAAAGCACACGACGAAGTACTCGCATGCAAGGGTGCGGGGGAGAGGTGCGAAGAAGCACGGATTTGGAATTGGGAAATATTCAGAGCTGGAAAGCAGCAGCGACTCCAAAACAATTAAACTATTGACACGCAAAGCCGCCATCCGCCCTACTACTGTGTGGACATCGTCGCAGCGGTGGCCTCGCTGCCTGGTCTGCCACTATACGCCGCACCTGCAGCAGGAATTTGCGTGTGCCGTCCTCATCGCCGACCGAGTGGTGGAGACGGGAGCGGCCGGAGCGCACTCCGTCGGCTAGGAGCTGAGCGCGCCAGCTTTTCGGGATCTACACACGCGGGTGGGCGGGCGGGCGGGTGCACAGGGCGTGAGACAGGGGAATGGGGCTGAATGGCGCCGGAAGAAGAATACATATTTTCCAGTACAGCTCCGTACAGTACAGCTCCGTACAGTACGCACCGCCGTAATCTCCTCCACGCTGTGGGCACCCTTGAGCACTCCCTCCAGTAACTGCTTGGCGCGAAATCGCGGCTGTCCGTAACGCTCCGCTAGGTCCTCCAGCTCGGTCAATTCACTGCCAAGGATGGTGATGCTGCCTGCAATCGTAAATACACATATATGCCGTATGTGAGACGTCCTTTTGGAGCACCCGCTCAATCGTACGTGGCCCCAAAAGCGCTTTCAATGCACCCGATATATACTGCCTTCTGTTCCGAAAATCTCAGGAATAGCACACCAGGGTTAGCATAACTTATTGCAACATAAACTAGATATTGAATTCGACCGCCTCTTTCTGACAGAACGACGTTTTTACCGTACACGAATGTACGGGAGTGCGTACATCTGTACGCTGTCGACATCTCCGTGAAAGACCAGAATATGATGTGCTCGCTCGCATGTGTGCTTGCTCGCCAATGCTTGCTTGCCCATGGAGAACGAGGTGCCGTACACGACACCCAAACCGAAACCCAACTGGGGAGACCTGGGGGGCACGAGTCTGTCCGTCGCTAGGTGGCTGCAAGCATACCTTTTCAACTCCATCCCTCTCCCTCTCCCTCTTCCCCTCCCCCCTGCGTCCCTCACCAGTGCCTCCCCCTCTCACCAACCTCGTTCTGACTGGCTCTTCTGCGCGACCACCTCCGCCGCATCCCGCAGCGCCCTCCGCACCATGACCTCATCGCGGGCGTTCCACTGCCCGTCAAGGATACCCGGATTGCGGGGAACAAAAGTCGGATATACTGCCTCTGGGAGAACCACCCGCTCGTGCTGCGGCTGCTGCCCCTGTTCTTGTGGTTGCTGATGTGGTACAGCGTCTGCTGCCGTCACCGCAGCCGCTGGGGCAGCGACAGGGCCAGTGGCAGCGGCCATATGCGCCATTCGCGGCGGTGCTGACACAGTTGCTAATGCACGTGCCCGCTCCCGGGCCCCGCCGTTTGCTTGGGGTTCTTGATCTACCACCGCAGGAGAGCCATTGCGCCCACCATTGCGCCCGCTGCGACTTGCGCCCTTGCCGCTATGTGACGTGATCCGAGAACCGCTGCGTTGCTCCGCCCAGCGGGGACCCCTTTCGCCTACTGCTGCTGCTGCTGAAACTTTAGGTTCTGGGTGTGATGGTTGTGGTGATGGAGAGAAGGAAGAGGAGCTGAAAGAGTGGCGCTGCACACTTCCATAGTTGTGTTCCACAGCAGCCTTGCGAGAGTTTGTAATGCGATGTGAGCTGCCTGTGGGGCCCCACGATGTGGCGTTGCACACAACGCTCGGAAGACTCGGGACGCAGTCTAAACTTTGTTTCTGCGGTGAGGGTGTCCAAGCGGCCTTTGGTGATGCGGGCACGGCTCCCCGTCCTCCCGCTGGCAAGAACCATGGACCATGGATGTTCGGAGTCGATGTTTGTGCCTGAACGCTAGCGCAAGCACAGATATGGTGTGTTCGGTGTCTAAAATCCACGATTTGGCTGCATACTCGGTTGCTGCTTAAGTGCGGCTTAGCCGCCGGTGCAGTCGATGCATGGCCACCAGTTAGGACGGGCCGGCCACCACTGAGTATCATAACGTTTGTTGTTGTAATACGAACTCGGAAAGCATCTAAGGTCACAGCGCAGCTCTGCACAGAATATGATACTTCCCTGAAGAATCTACAGACTATATGCAATTGCATCAATTAACTTTTGCACAAATTTATTGTAGCAAAAACAGGCAATATGTGCGGAAAATGGCTGCTCATGTGGTTTGTTTTTTCAACATCATTACAGTTATGTAAGTTAGAAGCTGACAATGCTGCGAATGATGGCCGAATGGTGGAAAAATGTTCAGGTTAGACTTAAAGCCTTACGATATAGAGCATTGACAATTTAGAACATTTGAGGATTTGGTGCCAATCCACGCACAACACTACTCCTGACGACACTTTGTGGCGTTGTAGAACGTTCAGTCACAGCTATGTGCAACTTACGGGCTGAATACTACATATCTCCCGCGGTTATCCAATGGTGGGAGGAGCGGGGACGGACGTGGGGACCCATTGCATCCGGAGCACTTTTCGGAGCTGGCTGGTGGTTCTGGGTTGACGCCGTCTGCATCAGCCATCACAAAGTTCCATTTGATCAGGTCGGTGCACATTCATCATGCCTGGTCCGGGCCGGATACCACGGCGCTTCGTTGGACGCACCTTGTGTCGCTGCTTCCCCGGCGTCCAGTGACCCTCGCCTAAACATCAAACAAGCCTCTACATCATTTATAAGCGACGGATCTATACGTCTCTGCAGCGTGTTATGTCAGGTTCGAGGTCTAGGTCTTGGCCTGGGCCCTGGCGCGGGTTCCAGTGTGGCGAGTACGGCATCGTGACCGCGGGCCTAGGTTCTTAATACACAACCGCACAAGCCACAAAAGCCTTAGGAATTCAAACAGCACGAGTGTGCTGAATGTTAATAAGTTCGGCATGCTGGATCGCAGCATGCGCCGACTAGCCAACTCGTAAGGGGCCTCGGGGTCAGGTCAGATACGCGGCGAAGTCAAAAGGGATTTCGGCAGCACGTCTCAAAAAAAACATATTCCAGAGGAGAGCCTTTTTTCGTGGCCCTACATGTTCTGCTTATGATTCTCGTGTGCCATGATGTGCGTACCGTCCTTACCTGGATGCCGTGCACTGTATACGACTGCAGTACCTGCCAGGCATCATCGCGACGCTCGCACTCATCATGATCAACTGCATTCGTCGGGATGACATGATCGAGTACGACCCCTTTGATGACGCGACGTACTGCAGGTACGTATTGCCGTATCGAAGAGCCGTGCATGCTTGCATTTCCTGTTTGAATCGGTTACGAAGCCACTTGTATTCGCACATGGCCAGATCAAACCCTTAGAGAATCAGAGGTTGCCTCGGGGTTCCTCCACACGCCCCACACGGTGTCAGAAGCAGCCCGTTGCAGCCTTCCACCTCTGAGCCCCACCGTCTGTGAGCCCCCCGCCACCACGTACCCCCCAACCGCTGATCTAGGTCCACCCTCCCCTGCTCCCCCTCTCCCGTGCTGCTGTCGTGACTCCGCGTCCCTCCTCCTTGTTGGTTCGCACCAAGGTATAGGAGGCAGGCAGGGTGCTCCGCCGCGCACCTTGCCAACGCAGGCAACTGACCTTCATCACAGGTCTCACATTACGTCCCTCCCTTCGCACGCGTTCCTTCACGGGTCCCCTCTCAGAGCCACCGTCTTCAACTCGTTTGCGCCTCAATGTGTCAACAGTGGTCAACAGCACACACGGCGTTCAAAATCAAACGTGTGCCGCGCCGCGTGCCCCGCTGCAGGTCTCGGCTGTGGCTGTTCTTGTCGTACATCGTCTCCTTCGCATCCATCGTGGCGGCGGTGTGGGTCATGCTTGCGCATTACGGTAAATGAGGCAGCCACGGCTTCTGTGCAGTGCGGTTGACTTGGATGGACGGATAGGTTTAAGAAAGAAGTCCCCGGACAGGGCTCGAACCGGCGACGTGGTGGTGCCTGGAAGAGCAGTTTCCTCCTTGTGTAGGAAGGAAAGGACGTTGGGCGCGGGTCTGGATCCACGGGGCCGTGCTGAGGGCGGGCTACAGGGGGGGGCTCCAAGGCGGGGCAGAGGTCTGTGTAGTGAGCCTGTGCCTAAACCAGAGACGAGGGTTGCCCCGGGGGGGGGGAGAGAGGGGAAGAGACGTACAGCTGCGTCCACCCAGAAGGCCCACTGTCAGAAACCCACCTGTCCACAGTGCTCTGCGAAAATGATGTGATGCCACTAGGCAGGAGAACGATGGCGCAAATGGAAGGGTAATGGATAAGCGGATGATGTATGTATGTACGTAGGTTGGATGGCTGAACGACTCCGATAAACGTTGCACAATCCAAACCGAAGGGCTTCTGCTCCTTCATGCCCTGGAACCGCACGTCCTTCCGGTTCAAAAATACGCGCCAGCCCCTGGACCCCCGACATTGCACCCGAATGTACGGGATCTTTCCAGCGCTTGCTGCCATCGCGGCCAATCTATGCCGCCCCTAGGCACTTAGCGTGCAGCAGCTTTTTTCACTTCTATTCAATTCCTACCCACATCCCTCCCCTCGTCGCTGTTCCCACTGCTGCCGCCGCAGCACACAATCCCAACTTCTCCTCGGCGGATAAATGGCCTGGGGCGGTGAGCAGTTCCGTGAACATGACCAGGTCATATTTTGTTTTTAAGTTGCTGATTAATTTACCGTTAGTTTACATGCTGTTGCGGCCAACCGGTCCTGGGTGTTAAGACCAGCAAAGCGCCGGACCCCAGCCGGGTCCTATTACTGTGGTTACAATTGCCTGGTATATGAGTGTCGATCATTTCCAACACTGGGCGCTTGCTGTTCTTGATAGCTCGTGACCGGTATCGTCGAGGGCGGACTGGACATGGGACTTGGTGGGCTGTGCTGCGCGCTCTCTTGCGCTCGTGCCGTGAGCCATGTCGTGTCGTGGATCCCTCTCCCCCTGACCCTGTAGGCCGCAGAGCTTACGGAGGTTGCAGCCGCTATTAGCCGAAGCTATACCTGCCTTGACCCACGCACAATATAACACCGCGGCTTGGAAAGCAGCGCAACCCAACCCGACCCAACCCGACCGGTGGAACAAGCAAAGTGGTGTCAGACTTGAATCTTCACCTCGTACCGCCGTCCTGTCATCACTTCTCCTCTCCCCTTCCACTACCACATGCGTGCATGAAAACTCTTCTGTCGCCTTCTTGCCTTTATGATATGTTATGACCGCCTGTTTATTCCACAGGCCGGCATCTTCCAGGTCACCTTCATCCTGGGCAGCGGTCTGCTGTTTTTCGTGTCCCGCACGCCGGCAGACACAGGCGGCTACAGCTCCTTCTGAGGCTGTGGGTGCTACAGCGCCTTCTCGGAAGATGTCTCTGTCGTATCACTGTCGTACCCAGTACGGTAATTTTCCTGGCTCTTCGCTAGGTCGAAGGAAGCATCTCGTACGCCAAGACCCCCATGGCCCACGTGCCGCGTCTGCTTCAGCCCCCGGCCGCTGTCGCCATCCGTCTACCCGTACATGTAACCTTGTATGTGTATGTCTATGTGTATGTACGTATGTATGTGTTAAGGGAAGGACGGAAAGCAGGACGTTTTTGAGGCTCCGGCGGCTAGGTTCTGAGATGCGCGGGCTTAACGGGTTGACTGTGATGCCGGTAGGACTGCGACCCCTTACGGCCGCCGCTGCTGCCGTTGTTGCTGCTGCTAGTAACCCGTCCGTTGAGCAGCTTGTGCGTTGTGCCTTCTTCCTTCTTGTGCTTTGGCGGGCTACCTTTCTGAGGCAGGAAAGCGAGCTCCCGATCAGGACCTGGACCGAGAACGTGCTCACGTGACGTGCATGCGCGGCAGTTGCGAGGGGGGTCGGCGGGTTGAAAAGCTAGGGAAGATCGGTTGTCAGGCAGCAGAGGCCGTGTTGGTGTTGGTGGTGCTGCTGCTGTTCTGCTGGTTGCCTTTGAGGGTTAGTTTTGAGCGAGGGAGCCTGTCTGTCTGTCTGTCAGTCTGTCAGTGAGGTCCCAGGCATGACGACAACATCTAAGAGCTGGGAGCCAGGCTGGTTGTACAGCCGCATCTAGAGGGGTATAGCCGCCCGCCGAAGGTTAAGGCGGCGCGATGCGCTTTATGTGGCACGATATCCGATTGTGCCACGTCGAAGGGGTTACACTGCCTAATGCGCGCTTCTGAAACATGAACGGCGTGCTTGCTTGGTCCCCCCTTCACCTGACGTTCCTATCTGTGCTGGGGGAGTGACAGGGCTCTTGGGGAATCTGGCTGCTGTGATGTTGCTGCAGCCTGAACAGGGGTATTGTTACATTCATATAATGTGCTATGAATGCGTACGCCGCCTGGGACTGGATAAGCGCGTGCCGTGAAAAGCGGGGCGTTTGTGTGTGTGTGTGTGTGTGTGTGTGTGTGTGTGTGTGTGTGTGTGTGTGTGTGTGTGTGTGTGTGTGTGTGTGTGTGTGTGTGTGTGTGTGTGTGTGTGTTAGCCCCGCGCGCGACGTGCAGGACTGCTTGCCTTGTGCTTGTTGTTAGTTGGATAGTGGGTTTCGTGGGCGGGCAGGTCTGTACGTTTGCATGTATCGATAGATAAATGGATGGATGGATGTAGCGCCTCTGCGCGCGCACGCATACATTCGCATCATAGTCTGAGAAACGAATGTGGGCTGGACCGGACAGCAGTATGATGCGACGTAATGCAACGCTAAAACCTGGCGGCGGTCATTCCTTCGTTATAAATCCGACAGGTTGATCAAAAGGGAGGCCACCGCTGACTACCGCTAAAGAGATACTGCGATTCGTTCCGTGTTCTGCAGAACAAAAAGCCCACCAAGCAGCCAGGACAAAGGACGCACTTACCAGCCGCGGTCCCACCAGCGGCTCTATGGTCCTTGCGGCAAGCCGGTAAGAGCGCATATAAATGCGGGCATGTTTTGCTTCTCACAAAAAGCCGTCTCTGGTCCCTCATTGTGATTGTGAATGCATGGCATGACCCTTGCCTTAAACTTTGCAGGACATGCTACGACGTGAGGATACGGTCTGTTTAGCCGACCGTTTTTTTAATGTAGCATTGTAAGATTCCGATTGATTCAAACCGCTGACTGGCTCAGGCCAACGGCACAGCGTCGCCGTCTGCGGCGTCGCCGTCTGGGCTCCTTGTTGCTCGTTGATGTAGCCACCAAGTGGTCGCCAAGCGCTTTGACTTCATGTCCTTGAAATATTTTGTCGGAATATTTCAAGCTACAATCATGTAGTTTCGTCAAGCATCACATGCCCTTTCAACCAGCCCTTAGGAGGTCGGAGCCCGCTGGTACCGTATGTACGGACATAACGAATTCCTTAAGTCCAACAGCCCCCTTGTTCAATCTGAAACACGCCGTTGTATTTTTTCCTCCTCAACACTTTCTGCTGACATTACTATCTTTTCTCCCCGCTAAGTCTTGAAGTAGGTGTTGAAGCATTGTACCCCCTCATTATTTATGTGGAAAATGCGGAGCGGCAGCGGTGTCCTATGCATCTCAGCAGCTCAGCTTGTAGTTGGCCTGTGCTTGCTGGGAGGTGCGGTTGCGGACTCCGTCGTTTGCAAAGCTTATGGGCTTCCCTCACTTGAGAATTCCCTTAAATTGTTCCCTTCTTGTGGCACCAAACTACTTGGCGTGCATTCTGGCAGTTTATGAGGGCTACAAGGTGAGGAAATCCTACAGCTATACAAAAGATCGGCATCATGCAATGAATCTTGGGGATTGTACGCGATCCTCCGCCCATCACGGTTGCAGACTTGTTCATCTTAGAGCAGCTTGCGCAGCTACTACCAGTACAAGAAACAGCAGACTGCAACAGTCCTAGTCTTAGGATTGTCCTGACATAAGGGTGTGTTGCTCGATATGCGCTCAATTTTGGGGCCAGGAGCCTTGTCAGGATCAGGCATGCACTTGTTGCAGGGGCGTTGGGCGGGCGTATCTTAACCGTGTACCTGTTCACCGCTCGGCAAGGGGCTGCTGGTGATATCCTGACCGGAGGAGATTGTATGCTGCCTGGCCCAATCAAGTTGACACGGGACACCTCCTGAAAGGGCTGGCCAACCCCTTGGAAATGATTCCCAAACCGCGGACATGTTCCCTCCCGAAAACCCGTATGCAGGCATACTACTTTGACAAGTTCATCGCGGAGGAAAAGAAGGACCTGTCCGACACGGCCAGCGTTGCAACCCGGGTGGCCGGCTATGAATCCCCTCTGGACTTCCGTTCGCCCATGGGCTTCTCATATTACCTCTCGATTGCCAACAACATGTTTGCTATCTTTGGCCTTGCGGGCGTAGTCAACGCGCAGCGTGAACTGATCATCGCATTCTTCGCATACAACGCGGCCCAGATGGTGATCTCTTTCCACGCGTTCGTGGACTTGTGCACGGGTAAGAATGGACGGGTGGAGCGTCGGCTGAACGGGTGGACGTGGTGGCGTGGACAGTTTTTGCAGGTGCCCTTTAGGATGACATCCATCCTGGTGTGATGCATCCGCCTGCGATTAAAGCCCTCCCTCCCGCATCAACCATTTCCGTAGATGCGGGCATCAAGTACGACGGCGAGCCTGCAAAACTGACGTCCTTTGAGCGTGCCGCAGCCACGTTCATCTTCTTCTCTTTCTTGTTGAGTCTGTTGGCGACTGTGTTCGCGCTCAAAGCAATGGATGAGGTGCGTTGAGCCACCTAAAACGTGGACATGCCAAGCGTTAACTCCTTGGGAGTCTTGCATGGATACAGACGCGGGGTGGCGGGGACGGGGACGTTGGAAAGCCAACATAACATGGTGTTGCGCCCGGTGCACGGTGTTCAGCAGTTGGCGTCAAGGCTGTTTCCCCTTCACCAGCCGCACGCTAATCTCAGCTTGCTTTGGAAATGAAATGCCCTCCATGTCCGGTGACTCCTTTCAAAGCCAAAGCTCTCGGCCTAGAAGCCGACAAGGCAAGCTGTCCATCGCGGTCTAGCCAAGCATGCCCTCACATGCTTGTGCCTGCTTCGCACCGAACGCATGTTCGGCGTGTCCAGTAACGTCCCCACAGCTCGACTTAGCTTCCTTGTATTGGCGTGTTATCAACTGCAGGTGAAAAGCAAGCAACGTGAGGAGTTCAACCGCATGGCGGTGCTCTCGGACACCCTGGCTTACGAACCAGATAACGCGTAATGTGGAGCCCTGAACATTGTACTGCCGCCCTGCACCGGGTGGAAAGTGGTCCTGGCACCACCCACGCATGTTCAAGTTGGCTACGGCCGTACGAGTGTAAGCTTTCCAGGATGGAGTGTGACGTGTGTTCTGTAACATGACGTGAAGTGAATCACATTCGTACTCCTGCGTACCTTTTGACGGACGAGGTTCTTTCGGCCGGTCGATACGTAGCAGAACCGCGTGAGGTTCCCTCGGAGCGCTGACGATTGGATAGCGTGTCGCCTGGACAGCAGTGCGTCTTGTCTGGGCAGTCACACGTACTATGTACTTGAATATGGACCTGTGACCAGGGAGGTGTCTTTTCGTGCAGTGTCAAGAGCGCTGAAAGGCGTGTGGGGGGTTGCGATGATGCACACAGGGGCAATGGTCGCATCGCTTGTACCCATCTGACTGTAGTCCTCCTGTTGGATGGAAGTGTGACGCTTACACTTTGACTGGACTGACGGGATGTCTTTGATGGGGGGATGTTGCACTCGCTGTGACACCGGCTTTATGTCGGTTATAGTTCAAGGCGTAAGTGCCGGTTAGAGCGATTGGGGACAGCAGTGGCTCAATATCGTAGCGTGACCCACATCGGATGTGAGCGTCACGATACATTTCACTGTTATAACTAGTGCTGAGGGACTGTTTGCAGGGGCTTAAGAGCGCGCGAAGGGATGTTCGTCTTTGTCTCCATTTGGCATACGAGTAACGACGGTATTGTAATTCTCCTGTATCAAGGTTATTCCGCTATGAACATGTAGCATATTGACGCGGTTTGTACCATTTCATATATTTAGGTTACATCGCCGGGAAAGCCTCAAGCAAATCATCCTCTGCAATTTCTATCATGGGGCGCGATCTTCCATATTTTCACAAGTTCTTGCTTGCACCGCAAGCAGTATAATCGGCAGCACACCAGAACCCCACGGGTCGACGGACCCGTAGAAAAGATATTCTCCTTCAGTTTTGAGGCGTGTGGCATGCCACCTCATGACGACGACCACTGCAGTGTTCAGCCATTGGCCGCATGCGCATCACGTAGCTCCATGCAAAGCCCTAGTCAATAGAGGCCAGAAATAAGAATTACCGTCCTGTTCTACAAGCCACGTACGCACACCTGAACAATCCGGGAAATTAATGTACAGATTGTATACAAGAATACGTTAATAAAGGCCAAGGGAGCATGTACCACATGGCTGCATGTTTCTTCATTTCCCACGCGTCCCCTCCCGGGCCATGACCATCATGTTTTCAATCTGTACTACGACAGAACGACTGCGCCAACAACTACCACGAAAAGAACGGTTGTAAATCTCCGGCATGGCGACGGACCTATGCTTCATGCTCACTGCGAAAGTCCATAGAAACCGACTGCTGCAACCTCCGAGAGAATTATATACCCTCGTGCACAACCGCAAACCCGCTGAACAAATGGCCAACAAAAGTAGACCTTACCATTCATTGTGCTTGCGTGGACCCACAGCACGCGATTTGGATACACACACAACCTCACAAGAAAGAAATGCAGCGGGATAAAAAAATTTTCCTTATGCCAACTTTTGTCCATGAACAACGTGCTTCCCCAAAGCTGTGGATAATCCCACAGCCTTAACGGCGGGCACGCGGCCCACCCAGCGGCGCATTCCCTACACAATCTACTAGCTCCTACCTAGCCCCACCTCGCAATCTACCACCCGCCCTCCTGAAAACTAGCTGAAAAATCGAAAAACAATAATGTGTCTCTGGAAAGATGATGCGAGCTGGCTGGCAATCTATGTCCATAGCATTCGCATCATCCACATGTTACTCCTAACAGTGCTGTGAAAAGAATTTAAGATAAACTTCTTGGGGGTGTTATCTGCCCCCTACTGAGCTGATTCGTGCGCGCCATGCCTGTTGGGAGAGATACAATGACTACTGTCTCTTCGCTGGCCAAGTATACTCTTTGTCGCCTTGTACATGCTCCTTCCGAGCAACCCTAACAATGCTAATTGACCGACACCCAAACTCCAACAACACAGCCGCTCCACAGAATCATTTCCCCCGCCCGGCCGTTCTCCTTCCTCCCCTTCCGCGAGGGACTCACCCGCAAACAGGGCGCGCTGCTGTGCAAAACGCTCATTACGCCTCGACGGGACATGCATGTCGGGGTCCTCATCGCAGTGTTCTACTATCACCACAATCTCTTTAGCACTGAAGACACGAAGCACACGCCGCGCCGCCAATCCGGACTCTGACCCAATTATTGGCCGTCACGGCGCTTGGCCGTCGCGCGGCTGCCGCGATGCCGTAATGCTATTTCACTTTCGAACCCAATATCATTCATACTCCGTTGTTTCTTTCCAACCTCTGCACCTGCGTCCCTAGGAATACATAAACGCCACGTCACCGCCACCGTCTCGAGGACCAGGATGGAACAGCAGCCCCAGCGCCCAGCCTCCTGCGCATGCACGGGGTGAGCTGTGACGACACCCCTCACCTCAACCGTATAACCGAATAAGCCCCAGGTGAAAAGGCGCAGACCAGAAATCGGTCCGTTCACTTGGCTCCGAAACCTTAAGCCATCTCGACCATGTGGTCCATGTCCCGTACAACGCGTCGGGTTCGGTGAAGGCGGCTCGGCGTCCGCGCCTGCACCTGTGCACCGCCGACGACCTCACACGCCGGCGGAGTCGGCCCAGCCCCAGTCCCAGCACACATGTCCTCTTGCTGAAGCCACCTCCGATCCGATAATGGTGACGAGTCGGCAGCGATGCCACCGCCGCAAGGCTGCGGCGACGCCCGCTGCGGCGCCTCCGACATGTCGGCGGCCAGAGCGGCTCCCAGCCAGTCGCTGGCGCAGGCTCCGGGAAGCGGCCGCGACGAGGCGCCGCGCGCGTCCTCACCGTAGCTACGGCTGCCTGTCTGTGGCGCGTGGTGCGCCCCCGCGGATCTGCAGGAGTGGAGGGACTTGAGCTGTGGCAGATGCGGTAGGGCCGCGGCCGCGGTTGTGAGCTCAGGTAAGGAGCTGCGCGGCGCGGCACGGCGCGGCGGGGGCGACCAGCAGGCGACGAAGCAGGAAATGCTCTCGGCGGCGGCGCTGTTGACGAGGTTGGCCTCGTCTCGGAAGCTTCTGTTCTCAAGATCATCGCGGCTGCATACCGGACTGAAGGAGGTCTGCGTGACCTTGGACGGGCTGCCTAAGGCAGCTTGAAGCCTGTGCGCAACGTCATCATCCTCGCCCGCAGGCGAGAAATTGTCCCAACCGGTTGCAGAGGAAAAAGATGAAGCGGCACGCTGCAGCTTCAGGAAACTGTTGGAACGCGTCGGTGTCTCAGGCGGACAAGGCGTGAAGACCATAGAAGAGCGGCGGCGGCGGCCGAAAAGGCCTTCCGCAGCCGGCGAAGCGGGCTGCAAGACGACCGTTTGCCCGGCCCCATGAATACTGGACTGCACACGGCGCATTATTCAGGGTAACAGAGACGTCTGTAATGCCAGGGCGATGTCTCCGATGTAATTAGCAAAAGTTTAGAACCTTGGGCAAATAGAAATCGTGCGGCTTGTTTGCGATAAAAGCTGTATTAAGAAGGTTGAACGAACAGGATGTTGCGATGGATGACTACTCTGCGTTTGCAGTATTGCTTTGTAACGCTATGATTATATCGGGCCCTGTACGGGTTTGCTCAATTGGGGCCACCTTCCCTCCCCATGTGGAGGTCAATTGTACGATAGCGCTTAGGAACGCGCGAAACGCTGTTGAGAAACGGTAACCATGCCTGGGATCATTAAATGATACCATATATTTTTCAGTTAAGTTTAGTGGAGGTGAATTATGTATTGGGCTGCGAGCTCATCTCATCACCCCAGCGCGACGTTTCGGAAGGGTCAACAACTGACCATGGAGACTGCATGCTGTACAGCCTTAACCGCAGCGAAGCTATCCCCATCAATAACCTTTTTCTATCATTATCCTTAAGCTATTGATGGCCAACTCCTCTGGTATTGGTGGTCGGCGGGCTGCTCCATTAAGTCGCGACAGTCGCGATGGTACCAAAGTAATGGTTCAACTGTGCCGTATAATGTTTCTTATACCGTCAAATGCCGTCTAATGCCGTCATGGGTTTACATGGTTACATACACGTATATACGTGTGACAAAAAAATACTGGACAGATGTGAACAGGCTTGCATTCATCAAGCGTCCCTTGCCGATAACTCTTGTTACGCGCCGCTCCAAAAAAGGTCCAATTGTGATTACCCAGCTTCTTCGGTCCCTAGTTTTGCGCTTAGTGATCCTCTGTCCCGCAACACTCAGGCCCTGCTGGCCAAGGCCCAGCCCCAGTACAAGATGCCCAGCTGTCAACTCCTACGCCCCAGCCGCCGCCAACGCCCCAGTCGCCGACACCCCAACGGCCAGCGGAAGCGCCGGTATTCCGTACAACCAATACTTTGCAACCACCACTAACTTGCATCATGATAGCCGCAAAATCGTGTCGTAGGTACGGCCAAGACCGGCTCCGATCTGCACTGTGCTCCTGTTATATGGGTCGCGAAGCTATGGCCCCCAAGAGTGTGATTTGGGTCACATGCTGTAAGGGCTCTTCCTCTACACCTCTGCCTTTCGCGTCTTTCGATTCTGGGTTATGTCGTGGCCAGCACGAGACTCCAGGACGCGCCATGGAATCTGTTGCTCTTGAGGGGGGCGCACTGCAGTGCCGCCGCTTTACTTCGTTCGACACAAGGATGTTCCTTGTCACTAGTCTTCATGTGGGGGTACATGTGGTCCTGTGTGGACCTGTATGGGCCTGTGTTCCAGCACTGCGCGGTCCTGCCGGTCGCTTCTAATATTCCTGTCCATCATCATTTTTTCCACCGCCCAGGAAGAAGTCCTCACGTGGGTTTTGCTGTTCCCGCCCTCATTCAAACGAGCAAAATGCAATCGACGAGTCCTTTTTGCATCCAGGACTCCTGATAGGGAAAAAAGGGGAGGTGAAGGGAAAAAAAATCGTGGGTGCTCCTCCCGAACCTAATTTTTGGACGGTGGCTTCAAGCTCATAAAATACATGACTGAGCGGACAGATGATGGTTTGGGGCTGTTTGGGGGCGCGCCGCGCTGCACCCACATTATCATGCGATCTTGGTTGACATGAGTGATGTGCTAGACAGAGTGGCTGCCCGTACCGGCCCTGCGCTCGTGAGCATCACCTCGTCCCGGAACCTGGCGGTCGCCTCCCCGTCCGTTTTCAGCAGCGGCTGCACCGCCTCCCACAACTTCCTCTCCTGAACCCCATCGGGCTCAGCGGTGCAACACAGGAAGATCGTCTACAGCATGTAATACGTTACATGTATGCGTTATCTCAATGGCGTATGAATTCTCGCGCCCTGTACATTTTGCGTAACTGGGCCGGTGTTCCGCATGCTGAGGGAAATTGTACGGCGACAGGGAGAAACGCGCGAAACCTTTGCATTCACAGCTATATAAAGGAGCCGTCACTTATGAAATAATAAAAAATAATAGTCTAAATCGAGTGATCCATTTGTTCTATTTATTGGGCTCCGAGTTCTTACGTTGTCGGCACACGGCGACGCTTCGGAATCGTCAAAACGCACCGACGGCCAACATGGCGACTGCTTCCTGCACCGCGTCAAGCGCTGACAAGCCACCGTCTTCCATAAAGCTAAATCTGCTTTTGGCTATGCTTGCGCTGTTCGCGGCGGTCTGCTGTGCTGCCCCAAGCGTGGGCGGTCGGCGGGGGCTGCTCCAATCCAGACAACAGTGGTATCAATCTTACGGTGCAGCATTGTCGAATAATCAGGCAAGTTGTTACGGCGTTCTGCATTCTGCAAGGCTTTCTAGGTATCCCATTACGGGCGTCCGCATAGCGAGCAGGTTCGCCGTCAATAAGCTTCTCTCCCATTCCTTTCTTTAGGAAAATTATATATTAATTAGTTCCTTCCAAGAAGAGGACTTAATTACATCCCCTACTTAAGTCGCGATGTGTTTTGCGTCTTCCCGCGCAGATGGGTGCTGGCCTGGCACAACTTGAAGCGATGGTCACGCCGGGAGGTGAGCCTATATCCAAGCGCGGCATTCCATACCGACATTGCAGCCCTATGCATTTTCCATAACTAATCTCTACACAATTGTCTCTCGGCCGTAAATAGAGGTTAGTTAGGACCAGTCAAACCATGTTATTACACCACGTGAAATCCATGCCGCATGCCATTTCCTTTTCTCCGTGGCTTTTAGGCGTTGTAGTATTGCCCTTGGGCCTTCGGCTCGTATGGGTAGTCTTACAGGTATGGGGTCACGCACCCCCCAACCATGTAACACACACACGCATGCCTCCTTACCTGTAACTATTACTACTTCTTACCTGTTGCTCCTCCTACGTGCTCGCGAGTCGATCAGCCGGCTCTTCCCCTGCAATTCCCTTAATTCTATTTGCGCTCAGCGCGATCTCGTTGGCATGAATCCCAACGTAGAGATCCTCCAATCCGCTCAATTCCGCCTCCTTTTCCTTAAGCCATTCGCCTTGCGAAATCTTTTAGGGTGCATTTCCAGTGCGGATTAAGGCCAGGGATTAGGGCACGGAAGTCCTTGGTACGAGCTTACCACATAGTTTTGTTCCATAAGGGAACCAAAGGTTGAAAAGGCGAGGTAAGTTTGCCAACAACTTAGGCGTTTGAGCAAGTATCGATGGAGGACAGAGGGTTAATCCCTGGCCTTAATCCGCACTGGAAATGCACCCTTAACCTTTGAACACTCCCGTAATGTACCCACCTGGCAAATCAGATGGCACCCATTCTCTATTCTTGCGCGTCGCCCTTCCCACTCAGGCCCTGCCGGCCAAGGCCCAACCCCAGTACAAGACGGCCCAGCTGTCAACTCCTACGCCCCAGCCGCCGCCAACGCCCCAGCCGCCGCCGACACCCCAGCTGCCGCCGACACCCCAGCCGCCGCCGACACCCCAGCCGCCGCCGACACCCCAGCCGCCGCCAACGCACCAGCGGCCAGCGGAGGCACCGATATTCTATCGCTTCACAATCAGTACCGCGCCTCTCACCACGCACAGCCGCTCTCCTGGTCGTCCTCCCTGGAGTCCTCCGCACAGAGCTGGGCCAACAACCTGGCTGGTGGCTGCGCCTTCTACCACAGCGGCACCCAGGGCGTGGGGGAGAACCTGGCTGCGGGTAGGCGTCCTGTGCCTGTGTCGAGGTTGAGGGTTTCCCGCCAAGGGCATATACGTGCGCCTGGATATTGCCACATGCAGCGCTGCCAGCTCGACACTTTTTGAAAGCTGGATACGGATGTGTCTTGGTATGGTTGCCTCCTGAGTTTGTACATCGTGCCTGGTCATCGTGCCCAGGAACTTGGGTCAGCTGCAGTTGGGGTTCTGCACCAGTGATGCCGGTCAAGTTTGCGATCTGGGTCATTCGGCTCAGGCTTCTGTGCTTTATGTCTATCTTTGCGCTGCTGCGGCCGTTCTTTCCTTTTTTGCCGTCTTGGATAATTCTCACCGTACCTTTCCCGCGCATTGCGTTACTTCATGTCAGGCTACAGCGATTGGGCTCAGGCAGCTAGCGCCTGGTACCAGGAGGTGCGTTCCGAACAAAGAGACTGGGGACAGTGGACCAGGCAATTGTTTACTCCACATATGGGGAGTCCTCTCCCTATGTGAGGCAGTGAGACAGGGTTGCAGGCAAGAAGGCGGCGTAGCACGGCCGTCCGTAGGGCTGTTTCTTTCAATCACCCTCTCCTAACCCCCTCCATTACCTCGTCTATTTTCACGACAGATCAATCAGTACAACTTCGGCAGCCCCGGGTTTTCTGAGGCCACCGGACATGCCACCCAGATGCTGTGGATGGGCACCACTGAGCTTGGCTGCGCCACAGCTGTGTCCGCCAACGGTTGCTCGCTGCGTACCGTCTACGCGTGCCACTACAACCCCCCAGGTGAATAACGCGCGACCCACATCGCTTACCGCACACTGCTTCAAAAATATACCCGGCATCCATCATAAAATTACAAGTCCCATCTTGTATGTGAGCAGGTAACGTCATGGGCCAGTTCCAGCAGAACGTTATGCCTGCATAACGTATGTAGCGGACGACCAACCTCGCTGGCGTGTGCAATGGTGATGTGGGTCGACACCCATTGACGCTGGGAATTGCGCTTAGCCTGGCAAGGCTAGCGGACGACTGTAATGGTTGAGCTGTACGAGAGCATAATGTGACGAGGTGACGGTAGACGTCGAGGAAGAGAGCGATTGGGGGCGAATGGCGGATTATTAAGGGGGGTTTGTGCTTCACTGTCGTACCGAATGAATTATGCGGCCGGATAGTGCCGTACGGAAAAATATTCGACAGGCATTGCTGCCCGCACTTCATTTCTTTGTTTAGCCATGCAACGAAGATTACGGCATGCATTGCGGCAATCTTTTGGAATCCTTTTGGAGGGGGTTTCGGTCACCCGCTGCGATGTGGGTAAGCTTGCGGCAGAACATGTCTGCTATGTTGAGAGTGCGTGTATGGCGGAACGAAGATGTACTGTGCTACTGTTACTTCGTTGAAGGTATAAATTCTACCATGTCAAGTCCCATCTTATATCGAACGTTACCAAAGCCGAACCAAAAGGAAAGTCTTCTTAAAGAAATGCGATACATGCCACAGCCCGCCGGCATCGACGTCCCTAGAAATAAATGAAATAGCAAATAATCAACTGCCAGCTGCAATATACAAAACCGCAATGTCCCTTCCGGGAACAAACTTTGCAGCGCCCGTTCACAACTCGTGAAACACACGTCCTCACCGCATACACAAACGTGTTTGATCCCGTGCCGTCCTCTAGAACCCTACAATACTTCAGATAGCTGTCGTGCTGTGCACAAAAACACGCATCAAGCTGTGTTATCATTATTAAGTCATCATGCAATATTGGCATGTGACAAAGTGGCTGCCCGTACCGGCCCCGCGGTCGTGAGCATCACCTCATCCCGGAACCTGGCGGTCGCCTCCCCGTCCGTTTTCAGCAGCGGCTGCACCGCCTCCCACAACTTCTTCTTCTGAACCCGGTTGGGCTCAGCGGGAGGCCCCTGCGGCCGGCGGGATGCAGACAGCAGCACGGGACGGAGGTAAGGAAAACACGGTCAGACAGGCCCCAACGTCGCGGGAACAGAAGGTAGGCGGAGATCGAAACGAAGGAAGGGTTGGAGGTAGCCGTCCTTCAGCCCTCCAGGGATGCAAACGGCGATGCAAAGCGACAGCTAAGTTGGCGGCGACCCCCAGTCCGGGGGCGCGAACCAATCGTCTGTCTGTCCGTCCGTCCACACCAGCAAGTCGCCACGAACAGCCCAACACACGTACATACATACGTACGCACCTGGTTCTTGCCTCCCTCTCCGAAGTACACCCGCTCGCCTACGGGTGCATCAGCGGGAGGCGCCAGCGGCTCCACCACGTCGTGTGCGTCATTGGAGGCACACAGCACCTGCGGACGGAGCCCGTTGGGCGGTGTACATACACCCGGTGTCGAGAGGGAGAGAGGAATAAGGAGTGAGGGAGGCAGGGTGCAGAGGAGGAACGGGCGCAGGGACTATAATGTTTTCTTCCGTTTTTATGTTATAGGCAACAGTTCCAGCAGCAGTAGCGTTGTTGTCATTAATCATCAGCTTCCAGACTGCTGACTTCTGGGGTCGCTTAGAAGTAGGCTGATCCAATGGAGCCGTACATCCCACCCACCATGCCGTTGGACTTGATGCCTCGCATGTTGCGAGGCTTCAGGTTGCACAGCACAATGACCTTCCGATCCTGGAATGGGGGGAGGTCCGAAAGAAAGGGTCGAGTAGGGAAATCGTAAGGGCCATTCAAGAGGGAAATTTCAAAGAAGGGAAAAACTGAGCAGGTTGCATATTATCATCATTGAGGGAGCTCCAGGAGCCCCAATGTTCCCAAGTTCTTAGGATTGGCTACAGTTTTGCGCTGTTCGGCAAGCACTGCGAGTCGTACCTGCATTGCCTCCAGTGGCACAAACTTCACCAGACCCGAGACAATGGTACGCGGCTCCGGCTCACCCACGTCGATTTGCTCAACGTACAAGCTGTGCAAGGAAGGTGAAAGGGGTTGTGGGAGGAGGCATGAAAGCAAGGCGAGCGAGTATGAGTGCTGGCTAGGATGTTCGTCGGCGTTTCGTACAAGATTAAACCAAAGACATGACCTATACATACGTTAATGTCTGGCATAGGGTTACGACATAGGCACAAACCTAAACACAGCAATTGAAACGATCGCAAGAAGCTTACATCATCATGTGCAAAATCAACCACAAGGTCCCTGCGGTCAACCAGTCATACCATTCCTTATCCATCATACCTGTCAGCGTCCGGATGTTGCTCACACTTTACAATTTTGCCAATGCGGATGTCCATGGTCGCTGGGTCGGCAGCAGCAGCGTCGGGAGTGGCCGATGCAGGGGCCGGTGCAGCTTCCGTCGCTTGAGCAGCCGCATTGCAGCGTGCACCACATTGGGCTCGTTGCTCTTGCAGGCGTAAAGCAAAAATGGCCTGTCCATACGGTGTGCTGCCAGGTGCACGCGCTGCGGAGGAAGGCCGATAGGGAGTAAACGGAAGGCCATCTCGACGAGATTGACGCGCACCAGCGCTACGCCGTGCTACATTTAACTGTGATGACATCTTGTTGAGAGTTGATATGCAGCACAAGTGAGCGACCAATTATGACGCAACTGCAAGATCCTGAGCTTGTATGTATCCTGCTAGGTTCGCGCCGTCGCTCTGTGATAGGGGCTTGTGAAAATTTCAATACATCGCTCCAATCTGACTAACAAGCATCATGGCGACTCCGAAACCACAGGGCTTCGAAACAAAAAAACATTTGTCCGGAACTAATGCAATTCTGCAGCATGAACGTTTTTGTGGAAACCTGCTAGAGATGAATGAATTATAACCTACACGAAGCCATGTTTCGGCAGCGAACTCCGCGAAAGGGAGTAGGCATAGCATAAGGGAAAGAGAACTGGTATATGACACTCAAATAGCTTAGGGAGACACCATGTCTGCACCTTTGCTGATTACACCTCTCAAAGACATTTGTGTGAAGGTTGTGGCAGCGAACTTTGAGGGATGCCCCACCTTTGGACCGCTGCCAGATAAATATGTCAAGCGTATTATCGACATCTTGCCTTTGGACCTGCCTCTGGAGCTTGTTGGCACGGTATGGGGCGCGTAACATGCACACGGTCGCCCTTCCAGGCAAAATATTTAACACGCATTTCACCTGACATCATACTCTTATTTGTAGCTCATTTCGGACGAGGACTACTGGAGGCGTAGATCGCAGGCTAGATGGAAGAACTGCGAGGTGAGATGGGTTTTCCGGTGCCAGTGTTGCCAGGGCCTGGCATGCACGGTGTCACGGCTTGACATAAGCACGACTGACGACACACCTAAGGCATCTTTGGAGGTCGCGCTTCCCGCTGACGTGTCCTCTGAGGGTCCTCTTCCCTTCTCTCGCCTGCTGTGCTTCCCCTTTTTACTTCTGTACCCCTCTGGAAACCCTTTGGAGGGTAGCCCTAAAGAGCTCGATATGTGTGCCCCCAATTACAACAGGTAGCCGCTCATGGCTATTCGTGGAAGCAACTCTTCTTTGAGAGGAATTTGCAGGAGTTCCTGGAGCAGTAAGTCTCGGTTTTCTTTCCATCGGTCGGCCAGAAATGACTTGAAGCCATGCGTGTCAATCCACACCTGCGAGTCGTTCAGCTGGATGAACACCCGTCATCTGACACCTTTGGTTCCTCCTGGCGGCAAGGACATAGCAGTGCGGGTCCGCGTGTGTGCTAACCACAGAGGCTTGCACGAAACCGAAGGCTTGAGAAAGAGTGCACGATGGCCCCTTGCGTCCAGCTTGAAGCAAATAGCCTTTGCGTTGGTATGGCCTATCCCGTGTAGAAACTAGGGGATTCCAAATTTGAGCAACTGTCAAAATTGAACCTGATTTCCTTTGGCTTACACGCTCGCCGCTCGCCGTAGATACGATCCGGCGGTAACGGACCTGAGCAGTCTCAAGCGGCTGCTGACGTACTCGCGGCGGTTCGTACAAACGGTACACATCCGGCAGCTGCCGTCGCATCTGGATTTGCAAATCCTCTTTGACTGCATGGTCAAGTGAGTGAAGGGCTTCTGGTGCTGGGGATTCCTTGGGGGTTTGCTCCTTCCACTGGTGCTGGCCTAATTCCATTGACTCCTAGCTCCTACCCCTGCTTACAACCACCTTACCGCTCCAAGGCCGCCTCTCTCGCCCTCCCCCCAATCCATCTTATGTCCGCCCCACTCCACGGCGCCTCTTCATTGCGCACGCAGCACGCCCTCCTCCCTGGCCATCTCCTACAACCTGAAGGAGGTGGGCATGGACTACGACCGGTCGCTGTTTGGCATGAAGCTGTCGGACTGCCGCTCGCTGGCCAAGGCGCTGGAGCATTCGGAGACGCTCACCTACCTGGATCTCTCCAACAACTCCCTGGATGACGACAAGGCAGGAACTCCGGGATGGGGGGGGAGTGTTGGGGGCATCAAGCAAGCTGGCAACCCACCGTGAACCCAGGGAGGGAGTCGAAATGGAAGTGGGAAATGGAAGATAAAGCCCGACCCAGATCGTTTAAACCGCGGAAAGCTTTAAAGCATTTATATTCATTAACCGCTCCGACCCCAATCGGGCTCCCGCCTGAAAGTTGAACCCCGCGCTCACCTAAGTCGGTTCGCGTTTGAGCCAATCCACCATTGGCAGCGAAATCAACCCAGCTGTCCTAATCAGGAAGGCCCTCGTCCCCAGCGTGTCACCCGCCGTCATGATCCGCCGCCCTTGCCCTTGCACAACATCAATGTTGGTTGCCCCTTTTGAATTTTGAAATTAATGGTGCAAGTTTCCTGCCGTCGTTGCTTCTCCCTTGCTTTCTAGAGCTTTAACGTCCCCATGAACGAATTTCTTGCCGTCATAGGTTCGCATGCTGGCCTCGGGGCTTGTAGAAAACCTGTCTATTACGCACCTCAACCTCTCCCACAACAAGATCGCCGATCGCGGCGTGCGCGCGCTGGCCAAGCTGCTTGACGGCCACTCCGTCATCAGCCTTCTGGAGCTGCATGACAATCAGATTCATACCGAGGGCGCCAAATCGCTCGCACGTGCTTTCAAGAACAACCGGTGTCTGCTGTCCGTGAACTTGCGACTCAACCGCATGGGCGACGAGGGCTGCAAGGCGGTGGTGGAGAGCGTGCGCACCGCACCCACCCTGGAGCGATTAAACATCAGTGCCAACGCGGCGGGACCCGGTACGGCTGCGGCGGTGGTGGCGCTGTTGCGTCTCAACAACACTGTCACGGAACTGGATCTGTCGTGCAACCACTACGGCGAGGAGCCGTGCAGCGCCGTGCGGAGGGCGCTAGAGCAGAATGCGTCCGTACGGGTAAGGATGGACGGTCGGACCCTCAGGACCGTCTGCGGGTCTCGTGCGGAAAGGGGAATGAAGGATGGCGTGGGTAGGTTCGCATGGATAGCGGGTCGCACTCTCTCTCGACCAGAATTGAAGCGGAGACAGGTGAAGATGCAATGCATACCGAGGAAGTAAAGAACCAACCGATGAATTTCGTCCCGCACGATAAACATTAAACCAATAGCTGATATGGCCCTACCTAATAGGGTATTCCCTTGGAGTCTGGGGCTCCCTGTAATAATTGCTGTTAGGGTGTCCTTTTGCACTTAAGCCACTTGTCGCCACTATTCCTGTAGATCCTAATGCCTTTGTTACTGCGGCTCCTCCATTTCTCATTGCGTCCTGATTCCCCCGCAGTTATTGGACATGCGCATGACGGGCATCAACCCTGACGACGAGCTGGCCATTACCGAGAACCTGCGCGCGCGACAAGAGCGAGTGGACAAGGCCAAAGTGCTGGGCAAATAGAGTGCTGGATGTATGGCTTACTGGCTGGCCGGGTGGATGGCTGACAGCCTCCTGCTTGGCCTTCTTTCACAGCGCGCTGCTGCTGCTGCTGCTGCTGCTACTGCTGCTGCTCTTACGGTGGCTGTGTCGACTGCGTTTCAGCTGCAGCTGCAGCTGCTTGGAGATGAGGTGGATGCTGGACCAGGCGGTGGGCTGCCCCACCTTGCTGCTGAAACGCGCGGGTGGAGGGACTCAGCGCTCCGTGTACAACACCGTTCCGGGCTCGGTATGCGCCGATCAGCCATGGTTTGGCTCGGTTTGTGTCGATCCGCAATGGTGGTGTTTCCGTATCGGCCATACTGCAGAACGGCTAAGGGTATGCCGTCGCAGTCCGAAGCCTGCGGCTGGTCCTGATCTGCCTTGACGACGACAAAACAGGATCAGCCGCACACGCGATGTGCATGCTTGGGAATTTGGATGGGCATATGCATTGACGTGGGCCAAGAATGCTTTTGCACTGGTGCTGAAGCAGCCGTACTAAGCGCGACAGTCGTTGTGTTTACGGAGGAGCATGCAGCAGCGGCATTTGCGGGCCAGGCAGATGCATGCCCATGGGCATATGGTCCCGATGTGCTCGGGCAATGTGTCGGATGCATTAGTCGCCTCGTCAGCAGCAGCGCATATAACTGTATTGTAGCCTTCTTTGAGAGACACGTCTCCTGTTGCATCGCGGCGTCTTCCTCTACTTGGACTGCGAAATCCGCTGTGACAGTGAAAGTGCTGTCGAGCAGTGCATCGTACTTGTACATCGCATGAACTTTATGATGCAAAGCCCAGATCAGGCGACCACCAAAAAACCTGCAAGCGGAGCAGAGGCACCCCCACAATCGTCCCACCCCTCCAGCTTCAATCGTCCCACCCCACCAGCTTCAACCAAGTGCAGCGCAGCACGCAAGCAAGCGCCAGAAACGCATCCCTGCGCCAGGGGGCCGCTTCAGACACCTTCCAGGTGACTGGAGATATGTTCCCGCGCAAAGCGCTCCCCGTAGAGAGGCTGTGGTGTTCCTTTGGCCGCCACAATTGCAGCGCGAGTAATCATCCATGCCGCATCCGCAGGATGACTTCCTAGCGAACTTCAATGCGATATTTGTAAGCAAACAAAACACCAAAATCAAAACACGTAACACCATAACGCCACAAACAATATAATGTGAAAAAAATGGACCCACGACGCCACATTGCAGGCCCAAAGCAAACGAACCCACGACACTGCACCACGTTAGGAATGCGCACATCGACCAAACCAAACATAAGGGGTAACGTCAACAATCCAAGGTAACGAACCGAAACAAATAGCAATGCAGTTATATGTATCGTACTCCGCTCATGGCGTTGCGACGGGGCGGTCATTGCGCGAACCCACTGCGACCTGCGAAACCCCTATGACGGAGGGCAGCCAGTGGCAGCAATATCTACGAATTTGCACATGCCGTACAAACCAGCGGAAGGAAATGCACCATACTTCAAGACGAAATCATTAAATCCCTGGAACACACCTGCGTGGCGCCGCATAGCTCCCACGCGTGTGAACAAGGTAAAACCCTTCTCGGTTGGGACTAACGACACTCCACTGCCTCCCAAGAATTGTCCCAAGTGTCAGGGTCCATGGCAGTGATTTTTTTTTCATTTAGGGGGGGTCTCAATTTACTCCAACCTAAGTAACAAAGTTGCTAGCGTCGCCGTTATGTATTCCTTAAGAGTGGGGCGCTGGGGGGGGCTACGCCCCCCCCCAGACCCCCCCCGATAAGCTACAACTCCCCTCATAGACCAAGAGGCACGCAATGCGTTGGCGCGTTTTCGTTCATGTGCGCACGCTTCATGCACATGCATAGATAGTTCTGGCACTGTTTGTGAACAAAAAGTAAATCCGACCAAGCAAAGGCCCAAAGCAAGCAACTACATAGCAAATCAAAGGCCGTCACCCGCCACTGCAAACCACAGCACACTGGGACTGTACCGGTTCATCATGTACCGGCCCCTGCTGCTGCTGTCCAGCCACTTCCTCAGTGCGTCACGGAACCGTCATCGGTCACCGCTGGCAGCAACATTGCCGATGCATTACCGACAACAGCACCGCCGTCCCAAACGCCTTTATCAGGAAAAACTTCAGACTTATCTTGCTGTTTTTGTGTTTGTTCAGCGTTCAAGTCGTTGCCTTTTGCGTGTTTGTCTATGGAAGGACCGGTCATACATTCTGCTATGCCGCGTTGACTCACGGGCTTGACCTTCTTACGGCCCCTCATATCTATTTTATGATCGATAATACTAAGTTCTGCACACTACGGAGCAATCTGGCAGCAATGGACGTTTTTGGCTGAAGGAATGAAAATGTACGGATCGGCCTCACTTTGTTCCTTATTTCCAAAGGCCAAAAAGGCCTCTTTATTCCTTAAAAGTAATATATTACTTAAAAAAAACACTGGTCCATGGCCACCAGCTTAAACTACACAAACGAAAAACCTTCTTCGTCTTGTTCCTTTGCAACGCCACCAAGCTAAAGAAGGAATGACATGCGCGCCATTGTTGAATTCATATACCACGCATCCTGCCACGCTGCGTGCTTACAATGTTGCGAAACCGAACGCGTGGCATCTGCAGATAGACGATTTATATGACATAATGTACGGCCAACCTGCAAATGTAACTAAGGCGGCCCCTTGCCCGGCACCGGAAGCCCGTGGTCTGGCAAGACCGTGAGCAATAGAGCAAAGCTGTCGGTCCTCTCGGCAGTGCGACAGCGGCAACGTTAACTTCAGCAACCCCGACCTCGGTCTGTACCAGCTTCGCCACCTGATGGGGGCCGCCTGCAGGTCCACTGCACAGCAGCGGCCCGCCCAGCGGCGGCGGCTGCAGTAGTGGAGAAAGCACCATGCTCTTAACCGGTGAGAGGCGGCCGCGGGCCAAGAACTTAGAAGCCGGCCTCCTCGTCCAACGTTCCAGCCACAAAATTGTTCCAAAGCTTAATTGGGCATATGGCATGTGCCGCGCTTCAGGGCAGTTTTGGAGGGGCCTGGTGCACCATGTTGTGCAATCGTGGCGAGGAGGGCCGAAGAGTGAATTCCAAACATGGGCCATCGTTCCAGTTGAGCGCGGCCAAGGCCAGTGCTGGCACTGTGTGGGATGAAGGGAAGGTCGGGCGGCCCCCAGCTATCCGGACGGCCTGCCACTTGTAGGCTGCGTCATGCAACTAACGAGCACGGAATGTAGTGCTTGTGATGTGAGCCAAGGAGATTGACAAGACCTGCTCAGAGTGGGTTGCGGAGTAAGTAATAGCCCCCATGCAAAACATATGAGATGTAACCCTTTCCACATCAAAATACCCTTTGCTCGTGTTGTGACAAGCAGGAAGGTCGCAGAGCGACAGGTGATTACCATATGATCTGTGATCTCGAGTCCATTTGTAAGTTTTAACTCCATCCTGCCTTCGACTGACACCTGTGACAGAAAGCGGCTGCGCATGGTGCTATTAGTGGAGATTCAAATCCTGACTTGGATGTTAATGAGTAGGTGCTGGACATTGCAGGCCCTTCTAATGGTCACGGCCTTTGTGTTGTTTTTGAGATTTACTTGCAAATAATCTTTCAACGCAGCAGGGGCTCCTGCACAACCCAGCCATGCGTTGTATGAGCCGCCGCCTCCCAGCCATGGCGCCACAAGTGGCCGGGTTATGGTGCCAGCTGCAGGTCATGGTGCCCCTCCAAGGGCCCCTCCAAGGGCATGGATACCAGCAACGGAGGTATGGCAGCCACGGACCAGGAGCTGCAGGGCTCCACCTTTCAAGAGCATGATGTTGATGGTTCTAGAAGGGGAAGTGTGAGGCCCCTTATGCAGGCAGGTGAGGATGCCGTGAGTGAAGTGGCCATGGTGCCGTCATGGCATTTATAATGAAAGCCGTTTATGGCCAAGATATTGGACCGATGTGGAAAGGGAAGGTCCTGTAAATTCTGCTTACGTCGGTTGGGTGATGAATGTTTAGTGTGCTGTGGGCATGAGGGTAACCCGGGTGTCTCTGGTTTGTATGGATGCCCCAGCACTTGGCAGACCCAGCACATGGCGAAGCTAAGTTGACCGCTGTTCTTACATTAACGCAAACAAGCCTATGAACAGAAGTTCGTGCTGAAAATCAGGCTTCGCCTTTGGGCAGGCTCTCCCTGCACCCACCACTAACACACAGCCCTCAGCATATACGGCAGCCATGAGTCGACTTGGCATACACAGCACATGGCAAATGTGACGGTCTTCACAAGTTACTCTCCGGCAGCATGGAAGCATTCTTTGGTACTCAGCCTGCTTGCAAGGACCTGGAAAGTGGTCAGCCAATATGGGACTGGGAGGTCTAGTAGGCGGGCGATGAAGGGGCAGCGGATTAAACCAATCGACAGTACGGTATAACTGTCCGAAATCCTCAATCCTCAATCCAGGGCAACTACGAGCCTTCGAGCACAAAATGCCCTGCTTGACGCTGTATTAAGCATGCCCACTGAAAGTGAAAATGTTAACTTCAGATCGCGGCGAACCCCACAGAATTTTGTTCCGAGATTCCATGCATGTGCATGTGATCCCGCACTGCAAACTCCTCGGCATTCACTCCTTCAGCCGGCCAACCAGCGACTCGTCTGCAGGTCTTACCCAGAGCGGGTAACCTTCCAAACGCGTAACGCAGCATCCCCTGACGATGCAACACAGCATCATACCGCCTGCTGTGAGAACACTAATGCTTAGCTCATACTTCAAACTTCACCACGGTCGTTAGAATTAACCAAAGTCGTCAAATAGTGTATCGCCCCTACATCCCAGCCGTGTTACAGCTCAGCCTGACGGCGGCCTGCATCATAGATGCGCGTGACCGTACCAACCGTCCCACGTGGTCATGTACATATCGCAAAAAATACCCCCAAGTCGTACCACCAAACCTTCCAGATTATGCATCTTAACGTGTGCACGTGCAACCCGCAATGAGAATATGTGTGTGCGTGTGTGTTTGCGAAAGAGAGAGAGAGAAAGTGTATGTGAGTATATGTGCATCAATTAGCAGTGTGCAGCGGCAGATGGCCCTGCAGGTTCCCCGTGGTGGTTCCCCTCGGGGGCCCAACACCTCCCACCTACAGCAAGCTGCGCAATCGACGAGTTGGGTTGCGTGATAGGCCATCACACAACACTACAGCACTACTACACGGTTGTTCGACAGTGCGCTCATCGCTTTCGAGCTCGCATGCAGGACTCGGTTATGAGTACGAAAAAGCAATGAGCCCCCTTCGGTACGTCCTTTCGAAGGACAGAGCCCCGTCCAAGGCCCCGCCACGGACTCCTCCGCGGCGAAGACCTACTCCTGCGGCATCAACCGTCCCCTTGTCATAGCAACATTAACATACACAATTGTACCCTATGTATATTTATTTGTACCGCCGGTTAGCAATAAACGGCGCTCTGAATGCATGCGTGTTTGCTTCCTGATATCTGCTGTACAGCCACCATGCGTACAGACACAACACCACGCACATAACAGGTCAACACCATGACTCGCACATTCGCCAGCAACCAGCCGCCATCCGCGAGGTAAGTTTGGCGTCTCCCAGGTCATGGCGTGTCCTACTACTCAATGCAATGGAGGTAGAGCCGGCAGCGCCCAGCCCGCCGTGCCGCTGCCGGGCAGACGGGTGAGCTCCTAGGGCCGCCACTGCCGCTGGGCCAGCACAGCCCGGAACCGTTAAGTCCACCCGGAGCAAGTGTAGGAATAGGAGTAGGAGTGGGATAAATCGCCGGTGGCAATGGATTCCGACCTCACATGGCACCCACACCGGAACCAGCACCAACCACTCCGTTATCTCTCTTGTCGCGTTATTTTCCCCCTTGCGTGCATTTTTATGTACTTTCAAAGCTTGGGACATCTCCAGCATGCGTAATCCACACAGGGTTTGGCGTATGTTTGCCTGGGCTGGGACGTCTAAGAGCGAAACAGTGAAAGGCGCAGGAGCAAGAACAGGGTTGTTGGCTAGCTGCAAAATGGTCTCGATGGCAAAGTCTTTGAACGACAGTGCCTGTAAGCCTTGGCCTTTGCTTTTGTCTTTGTGGCCATTTCCCATTCCCGTACTTGCCCCGCCATTGCACATGGTTTCCACTTTTCCTGTGATTTAGCCGACTGTTGGGCGAGGAGAGCGAGTGACCTTCTTCGGGCTGCTGGGGGGAGGCAATACCGGCGGCGGTGAAGGGTTCTTCACCGGGGGAGGGGACTTCCTGGGCGGTGAAGGCTTCGGCGCTGGCGGCGGCGGTGGCGAAGGCTTCGGCGCTAGCGGCGGTGGTGGCGATGGTGATGGTGGTGGTGATTGCCGCGGCGGCGGCGACGGCGATGGGGCGTCTGCAAGGAGCAATAGCGCAGGATGCCGGTCGTGAGTACTGCTATGAAGTGATGAATAATCAATCTATGAGTTGATCAACCAATGGTGTTCTGCTACCGTGGCGGCAACAACACAAAGGGCCTTACCATCCACTGCATCGCAAACGAGAACCCTCACGCCAAAGATGCGAACTTGGACGGGCTCACAAGCAATACACCCCCACTCACAGACGCAGTCTATAGGTGGAGCTGTAAGGGGACAGCGGCCCCTCCGCCCCTCTTTCCCCCCCCCCTTAATAAGAGTGCTGCTCTGCGGCGGTCTTTCCGATAGCACAGGGTTAATTGCTCTTGGCCAGCATTAGCCTTGATCAGGTGCGATGTAACACATAAACGCGTACATATATATATGCACGCGCACATGTGATATACATACAAACGCGCAGACATACACATACACACACACGCACAGACACGCACACACACACACGCACACACAGCGGGCTATCTGCAAGACTGCAACCCTCAGCCCCCCCCTCTTCACGCGGCTGATAGCTAGCTCCCGTTCGCCATCCATCGACGGTGCCTCCACTCACTCAGCGTGAACAGCAGAGTCTGGGCCGCCACGTTGCTGCCGCAGGGAAGCATCACCAGCCGGGTCTCGGTCTTGCCCGCGACGGTGGTCGTGTTGAGGCCCACACAGTTGATGCTCGAAAACAGGGGTTGCAATGACCACCTGCAGCGGTTGCGGCGGTCGGGAGATGTGCATGGGGCATCTGCAGGTTCCCACTGCCAGGGATGACGGTTAACAGTTGGGTCAACAGAATCATTATGTCCACATACAGCCACCCGGGTGGTTGTAGTAGCGGTGCCCCGATGAAACCGAGCAGCAGCAACCAGCACGCAGCGTCAGCGTCAGCATGCACAGCCGCTCAAGCTACAGCTCCCAACCAGCACCCCCAACGTCTTAACGGTCACAACCAACACGGAAAGACAATTGACTCTAATCTCACGCTCCACAACCCACCCTGAGCCCTGCGCCGTCGGCTTGAACTGCGTGGCGGGGTCCGTGAAATCGCAATCCCACATCAGAACTGCGCCGTTGAACATCAGGGTCCCGGAGCCTGAGCCGTAATCGCTAGGCGGGGCCCTGTCGTACAGTGGCCACGCGTTCCAGCAGCGTGTACGGTCGACATCGCTATAGATGTGCAATACGCCGCCGCCTGCGTCATGGCCATTGTACGTTAAGTACGGCATCAAACAGCATGGTGTGTGAAGCACGGATACCGCAATGCGCTTTGATGCTGTGAGCGTTTCTTGTACGGCAAGACCAGACGCATTCCACCAAGTCAAACTCCGCAAAGCGCCCCACCACTAACAGAAGGCTGTGGGGAAAACCTCCTTTTATGCAGGGTTCGCATTGCTGCCGCACAGGGATGCCCTACGGCTCCGTCCCCCGCGTCTCGGTTATGCCACGGCACAGTCACTTTAGGGTCTTTGCTCGCTATTTTGCACCGCTATATGACCCTCGGGCCGCCTGCTGCCCCTCGCATGCACGAGGGGTCCAGCGGCTCATAACGTCTCTCCAGCAGTCTGCACGCCCTTTTGTTGTTCTCTATCTTGGAATTGGGGCGCTGCGTGTACTCCTACCCGCATCAAGGGTGATGAACTTCTGTGTGGGCGAGCTGGCGTTGCACCTGGCCTGAACCAGCCGGGCGCCGTTGACAACTAGACCACCGGCCACATCGATGCACTGGTTGGTTCCCTGAGCTGTACGAATGGATTGGGCTGTGCGTACGGACAAAGGCGGCAGGTAGGAGGTGGGAGGGTGGACAGCGGCAGCGAGGATGAAGAAGATCAAGATATACATAATAAGATCAAGATTCAATGTGCAATAGGATGCTAGGGAGGGGGGAAAGAGAGGTGCACGTGGTTGCGGGGTTCGTTGGCAGGTTTGACGGTGTTGGGAGTGAGGGTCTGAGGATGTGGCCTTTTCGGGTTCTTGACATCTCCACGGAGTGAACAAGTGGAGGTCTGGACATCATCCGGGGAAATGACATTCAGCCCATCAACACTGGCTGCCTGGCTGGCTAGCTAGATGTCTGCCTGGCTGGCTAGGTGGATGGGGCATTTGTGATCGCGGTGATCTGGTTTGGGACGAGTGATGGTAATAGACAGGCGCTGTAGGTCGACTGGGGATGGGGAAGCCAGAGTCCTTAGCGTCTTCTTTTGCTCCTCTAATACAGCAGAAAAGGGGGAAAAAGCATGCACACTGATGCACACATGTGTGCACGGAGACACACGCACATCCTTGAACGCACTCACACTCGAACCCTAACAGACACGTACCCAGACAAGATACGAGCTATTTGACGATGTTCATTTCCAGTACTCACATCCATACATCTTAACCGAAGATGTATGGATGTAGGTGTAATAGATACGTAGTTCATTTGCAGCACGCACCAGCAGGGAAAGGTGGCGGCGGTGGAGGAAAGGGATGTGGGGGGGGCCGGGGTGGGCGCAAAGTTCGGCCCGGGCTCCCAGATTGTAATTGTCGACGGTCCCATTCTACGGAGTTCGAGGAGGTAGGCGCGGCACAGAACGGGTTATCCAGAATACATCAAAGCAGGGTGGAAATCAGACCATGCACAGGCATCGAAGCAAAGAAAATAATGCGTAAATAGGTTGGCAACGAAGCCCGAGGTTGTATGCTTAGGGGGAGAAGGTGTCGCACGCGCCTCCGCCTCTGCCCATGACGGCAACCGCTCAAAAGGCTCCGCTTTTAGGCCGTTGCATTGCCAAAATATAATCAAGCAAATAATTTTATGTCATTACAAATATCTATAGTTGCATGCTACAAATGTCGATTGCAGCCCTTGTGGCTGGCTAGTCCATCGATCATATACCTCGGTTCGCTACTATCCTTGCCATACTTTAATAAGCAATTCTGCTCACCCGCGTCACTTAATGCAGCGCATTGTAAAATGCTTGTTCCGAGTAGTAAGGCCGTGACGGCTATTGCTGTCCGCAAGCTCCTCGGTTCAGTTCGGCGATGCATTTTCGCTAAAATGTTCTGCAATATGAAAGCAGCCTATTTCGATGATGGATAATATCTATGCAGATTTGTTAAATAAGCCTGAGACGGGAAGCTCCCATGCAACTAGTACGGCCTCGCTAACTCAACTGAACGGTCCGTTGGGTCGGTTAAATGCTTATGGCAGCATAGGTAATCAAGCAAACTAGCATTTCTTATTACACCCGTCAATGCATGATGTAAAAGTAAGCCTATATTGAGTGATGGTACGGGATTTACAGGGTTCGTAAATTTTTTGGGTGCTGGCGCTATTAGTAGGACAATAAGATAGGAGTTAAGATTTCCTATAAGATTCGTCGAATCCTGAATTATGCCACTGCCGCACTCCATGCTCGCAACGCAAAGCACAGTACAATACTCTCGAGCAAACGCCTTCGTTGTCGACGCCATCACACATAATTTTCTCTAACAGAGAAGCAGACGAAAAAACTGTGACCAAGTACACCTGAGTGGTAGGAGTGAGAGCAATGCTAGGCGGGCGAATCAATGAGAAAAGAGTGAGGTTTTATTCAAGAGCTGTAAGCTGAAGAAAGACTATAGGATCTATATTATATGTACCAAGTAAATAATATCGTTTCAAATCCTGACAGCGTTTCCTCGTTGGTAGGCATTAAGGACTTCGTGCGAGGCCGCGAGACCATTCCACTGTCGAGCATATTTGCCCATTTGCGCAGATCCAAGTGCGCGCAAAGAGCTGAGGGTGCATTGGTGATCAATGCGCAAAAATGCCGAACTGCTGAAATGCTATCTAGCCATTTACTTGCACGCAGAAATTGCTCTTCATGCACAGCAGGGCTCGAAGCGCGGTTTGCCCGGTGGCTCTCCCCGCTGCACAATGCTTTAAGTTTCTGCAGTGAAGGTACTGCGGGTAATATAACAAGATGGTGCCTTCAGTTCATCTTAAGACACCGTTTCCTCACACGAATGGTTGCCTCCTCTACCTTGCCTTTGGGCTCTGGCCGCAATAGTTGGACCGCTTTGTTTGCATCCCTTCGTATTTCCCTTCCTTGTGAGCTAGACTCTAACTCCAAAAACGCACGAAAATTGGACATTAGACAAAGCCATAATCCAAATTTTATGTACCGGTACTGAGGGATTCCGACTTCGACAAGTATCTCATACAGCGGAAGACCTCTTTGCAAGACGCACATTTCCTTGGCCGAGGTGATAAAGACCTCAACCCCAGCTTGGAGCTTCAGAGCTTTCCAAATTGGTGCAAGCCAGCCATTACTCTCGGGCCGCGGTAGGACAGGGCAGCGCTTGCCGAGGGTCATGAGGAAGAAGCCCAGTAGGTGCGAAACTTTCGTAACCTCCCGCCAACTCCGCCTCGCCTCTTCGCACCTCTTCGTCGTCTGTCTTCGTCTCTCTTCTGCTTGCACAGGCAACTATAAGGAACATCGCGGACGCCCAAAGTCGCGAGATTCGATACAAAAGGCAAATAGACCTACAAGACTGGTCGCTTTGCTAGGTGTCATAAAGTCGGTAGTGGTGGTGGTAGCGATGCGTTAGAGGCGTCTAGTGACATCCGCGGCGGCTGCGGCGGCGCACCCATGCTATATTGAAGCACCCTTTAACCTAGCAAATGTTTGCCGTGTTGATGGATGTACTGGCGGGCTTATGGCTTCTGTGGGTCTGCACGGTCCTCTGTGTGCATGCACCAACTAATAAACCGAAACGTGTGTACTTGAACACAAGACACTCCGGTTCTTTAGGAGCAGCAACCAGCCAAGTTTTTACCAATCTTAACATTGCCCTCCAACTTTGCTGCTGTGTTTTCCCACCAGGGAATGAATCCAGGTCCTCTGCCCTTCCCCCTTACGCCGCGGTTCTGGGCAACAATGTATTTTAGCATTTTTTGTGCATGAATAGTGACGCAGCTCCAAAACTTGCATTGGATTGCATGGGTCTCCGACTACGTTTTCCAACCCTGGCTGAGAGTGAACCTAGGCACGCCGCCGCCTCTTGGCCTTTCTCATTTCCCAGAAACTGCCATGGAAAGGATGACCAGCTGCGAGGATGCTCTATGGGGATGGATATAGCGCACCTATGTGTTCATCATCTGTTGCGGAAGTTCAACGAAAAGCACGAACTGCAGCGAGCGTGCTTGGCGTCGGTAGCACATGCGCTACTCCACCTATTGCAATAGTCCGTAGAAAAACGTTTTCTGCTGGTACCATGCTTTCATCGCAATGAAAATAATACCACCATGAGTTACACGCCATCATGATCTTATCTGAGCTTTCTATCGGTATCCTGTGACGAGTACAACTACACGCTACAATGACTAAAACACAATATCCTCAAAGCCTGGCATTTCTTAGCTTCATGCATAATTATGCAAGTCATGAAAAGAAACTGCCAGCAATTGCCATAGCCGCAAAGCTGGCCGAACGTGTGCGCAGTTACTCTAAACCTTTGCCCGGTCCAATCCAAAGGTTGCTGAACCCTAACGAGTGATGAGTGCTGGCCCTTGCTACCCGATCTATCGGCAGGTGCACTTTGAGGCCGTGAACCCGCAGCTTGAGTGCGAGCCCTGAAGTCGTTGGCTAACCGGCTGGGCAGTTGGAAACCAAGCCTCCAAGTTCCAATCGTCACGAGGCATCAATCGCGCAAGCATTTCATATTTCAATTACGTTCTTCGTATGCTATGAGTCATTCATAACTAATGTCTTCTCTGAAAAATGTTGCCAACTTCTGTTGTCGAGGCTACTTTTGAAGACCTTGTCAGCCTCGTAAAAGCGTGCCAAAGGCATAACATCAAAGGAAAGAGCGGTGCATGGGGAGAATTCATAAAGTCGCGTCGTGAGGTATGCTTGTGCGGCCGCCGCATCCCGCCAAGCAGCCGCCGTCCCTAGCGGTCAATGCAGCCTGCATAGCTTTACATATGTATGTAACAATCACTGTTTCCTAATTTCCCGATTGGGCACGTGTCCGGCTCCGGGACGCTTCCATCCTCGCCGTGTCTAGGGCCGCGGGTCAGATCCCAAGAAGCAAAAGAGAGAGGTGAGCACCGGTATGCTTGCCAGCTTCTAGACATACATCTCTCCCTGGGACGTTCTCTGCAAGCTCAAGCCAACAGCAGCAGACCCCCCCCCCTTTGCCCTTCCCTCCTCCGCCTCCAATTTGCCGGGGGCCCCCTCACCCGCCCTCCCGAACCCTCCTTCCCACACCACTCCGCTCCCACAGGTACTCGAGGCATACGTTGCGGATCTCCTCGCACCGGAGCCGGATGGCGCTCCCTCGCCGCCGCCTCAGGGAGCAGCAACCGCTGCCTCCGAATTCCCCCGGGACTTCGCGCAGCGCTATCTGAAATGGGCCCAGGCAATACGCCAGGTGTGAAGACCGCGTTCGCGGCTGTGAGAATGCTGGCTGCGGGTGGCGGTTGCACCCTTTGCCGGTGTGTAGCCCTCCGCCGCGCAGATGGACCCACCACCCGCCAACCATTACACACCTCTCTCTCGTTCGGCCCCCGCTTTCCCTCCCTCCCTCCGCCCCTTCCCCTCATGGCCTCCTGTCATGCCCCCCAAACCCCGACCCGTCCCCCTTTCTCTCGGAGCCGCTAGGACTCCGCCAAGGGTCGCGGAGTGCTGCCGCCACTGGAGCCATCTGAACCCGCCACCACCGTCACCACCACCAGCCCTGCAGCCCAGCAACACGAACAGCGAAAGCAGCAGCAGCAGCAGAAGGACACGCCTCGCGAAGCGCAGGTGGAGCCGCAACAGGTTTCCGTCTGGTCGCTGGTGCGCCGTACTCGGGCGCACGACAAGTACGAAGCATTGTACGGCAACCTACCGTCGTACATGCCAGGCTGGGTGCGGGTGAAGCGGTGAGAGGGCCCCTGCGGGGTGAAGAGGGTTTTGTCTTTCCCCACCCTCGCATGAGTGCAACATGCGCAGACAGACAGACAAACAGACATCCCTACACATGGAGAGCCTCCTTTACCTTCCTTGCGGCACAAAAACACCCTCACACTCACACACACACACTCTCACACACGCCGCCCCCTAGGTCCCATCTCTCCCCGGGTGTACGGCCCCAGCTGCTGGCCGTGGACTGCGAGATGTGCGCCACGGAGGAGGACGACTCCGCCCTGCTGGGTGTGTGTGTGGTGGACGAGTTCGGGGAGGTGGTGTACCGGCAGCTGGTGCGACCCACGGGTCGGATCAAGGACCTCAGGACGGCGTTGACGGGTGAGGGGGCAATGGTGGACATAATAATAATAATAATAATAATAATAATAATAATAATAATAATAATAATGGTGGTTATTTAAACGTTTTAGGATATCCCATGGCGGGTAAGGAGGGGGGGACAGGCGGATCCGGCTGCATGGTGGGTGTGTATGTTCGGGGACATTCTGGTAGCTGGCCTGGGCACCAGTGATGGGGAGCATTGGGCGGCAGCCTCAGCTGCTACTGCTGCTATTGCTACTGCTGCTGATGATGTGTAGGCGTTACTGAGGCGGATTTGGAGGGAGTGACGGTGACGGCCGCAGACGCGCAGAAGGCTGTACGGAAGCTTCTACAACCCGACCGGGGTGGCGCCAATGGCAGTTTGGAGGCGGGCAGGGGCGGTGGCGGTGGCGGCGAGCGACCCGTGGTTCTTGTGGGTCACTCCCTCCACCACGACCTTACCGCCCTCAAGCTGGACCACCAGCCTGTCATTGACACGTCCCTCATATTCCCGCTCATGTACGTCATGCCTAGGCGCGCAGGGGCCCATGTGCATGTCTGTATGTACGTACGTGTGCGGGTGTGGGTGTGGGTGTTTGGGTGCGTCAGGGTATTGACCCCGGGCTGCGGGGAGGGAGCTTTTAGCGGTGACACGCTTAGCTGCGGACGTGGCTGAGTCTCAAATCCCCGTCCCCACCTCGCTAGCGACCCGCCACCCCGCTAGCTGGCGAGCCAGCTAGCTAAGCCAACATGCAAGGAAGAGCCCTTTCCACATCTTGAGCCCCTGCTGGCTAACACCGCCAGCACCACTACGTCATTGCCATCTCCATCCCTCCCCACCCCCACCCCCACCCCACACCCCACACACCCCACCCAGGGGCCTACCTAACGCCACCCCTGGGCTCAAGGACCTGGCTCGGGGCCTGCTGGGGCTGGAGATGCGGAAGGGAAGGGGCGGGGCTCACGACTCCAGGGAGGATGCGGCCGTGACCATGAGGGTGAGTAGGCGGGCCGGTGTATGTGTGTCTATCTATGCATGTATGTATGTACGTGTGCGTTTTTAGGCGCGTAGCGCATACACGTAGTAAGTGGTATGCCCCGGCACACGCACATCAGCATCCAGTGGGTTGGTGGGTGGGCTGTAGCAAACAGTACGACATGACCTGGTGACGTACGAGCAATTTTGACAGGGGGGAGAGGGGAGACGCTCATGTCTTCCCCACCTCCCCCCCCCCCGGTTACCGCGCGTACGGGTGTTGGTGCGCATGCACGTGAGAGTGTGGAGCCAGCGTGTGCGACTCCCTGTCGTATTTGTCGTACTTGTCGCCGCCGCTTGTTGCGGTCTTTAGGGTGCACATGCCCCCTCCACATGCTGACGTGTCCCCGCCATAACCCACAGCACCGCATAACGTAACGTAACGCCCCAAAGGGGAACTAAAGGGGACAACCCTGTGCTCTTCGCTGTCGTGCGTTGATCCGCTGGCCAGCCAATCCCCACATTAAGGCATCAACACATACGTCGTCAACTTACGCCCCCTCCCACATCCCCGTCCCGCCCGCGCTTTCCCCCACATACATACATACATACATACATACATACATACATACATACATACATACATACATACATACATACATACATACACGCACACAGTTGGTGATGCGGGAGCTGCAGATGGCGGTCCCCTCCGGCCCCCTGGAGCCCCCCCAAACCCGGGTTTCCCCCGCCGACCTTGCCAAGCTGCTCGTACACGGCCTGCGGGAGGGTAGGGGGCAGGTGGAGCTCGAGGAGGAGTTGCGGGGGGTGCTGGCGGCGGCGGGGGCCCCGGGCTTCGACCGCCTGGAGCAAAACCCGGATCACGCCACGCAGGTGTGCTGGGTCGGGTGTTGGGGACGGGGTCTTGGGGACACATCACGACGTGCGTTTGTATGTATGGATGTCCATCGCGGGCGGGTATATGTACGCACATCCATCTGTTAATCCCTCAACTAACCAACCAACCAACCAACCGCAGCTGCTGCTGGTGTTCAAGACCCCCGCGGTGGCCAACGAAGCATTCAAGAAGCTGCCGGGGAAACAGGACAAGGACTCCCTGGGGCGCTTCTTTAAACAGGTAGCTGGGTGGGTGGTTGGCTGGGTGGGTGGTTGGCTGGGTGGGTGGGTGGTTGGCTGGGTGGGTGGTTGGCTGGGTGGATGGCTGGTTGGCTGGGTGGGTGGATAGGACGAGGGATCTGGTCATGCGCTGGCTGACCGCATGGCCCCGCACCTGTGCCAGTATTCCACACACACAGCGTTCCGTTGTGAGGAACTATGCCGGATGTCTCTCGCGCGACGCGGGTTCGATTCCGACGGCTGAGGCTGACACCTAAATATATATTGCCCCTCTTCCTGTCGGACTGCTCCAGCAGGTCTCTCTGAGCTCCGGGAAAATTTGCAAGATTCGAAAGATGGCCTGTCACGGCGGTATGGCATTCGGCGTCACCAGCCGTAGTGGCGGCGGCGCGAAAACACAGGCAGTGGTCTCTGCATCGGCCGCCGCTCAGCCCGCGTCTAAGCGCGCCGCGAAGCGGGCGCGCAGCGCCCAGAAATGCGGCAGCAGTGGGGATGGCGGCGGCGAGAACGCTGGGGCCGCGGGTGCGAGCCTGAGTACGGGCGGCGGCGGCGCAGTGGCGGCGACGGGGCCGGCAGCAGCTGCCAATAGGTCTGTGCGGAAGGCGAAGCGGCAGAAGCGCGGAGGAGGAGGAGGAGACGCCGCCGAGAGCGGAGGCGATCCCCTGAAGGCAGCCGGGGAAGCTGCTGCTGCTGCTGCAGCTGCTGCTGCTGCTGCTGCTGCTGCTGCAGCTGCTGCCGCTGCTGCTGCTGCTGCTGCTGCTGCTGGTGTTGTTGCAGGACCAGGTTCGCAAGGTGGCCAGCCCCCACCGCAACAGCAACCCAGCCCGAAGAACAAGCAGCAGCAGAAGAAGAATGGCAACGACGAGAAGGAGAAGACGACGGCGGCCGGTTCAGCCGATGGCTCGGCGCCGCTTGACGGCACAAGGAACGGCAAAAAGGGCGATCAGGCGGAGCGCAAGAGCAAGAGGAAGCGGGAGGGGGAAGGGGACGGAGGGGCCGGGGATGGCGCGGCGGCGGCAAACAACGGCGGGGGTTAGGGAGGAGGGCAAGAAGGAAGAGGAGGGGGGCAGAAAGAAGGGAAAGAAGGCACGCAAGTCCTAGGGGGACTCGGGGGTCGCGAGGGGGAGAGAGGGAGAGCCGTGTGTGGCCGTGTGTCACGACGGGGTTATAGCTGCTAAGGAAACCCCCCTGAGACACGTGAGCCTCCCGCTGTGTAAATCCCGCCTTCGGTCTGCGGGCTTTTAGGGTCTGAAACAGCCCTCGGGCTCCTTCCAACAGCCCGATCCCCTTCTGCTTGGAACACATGATGCAGTTTAGCTACAGCAGCGGCAGCAGCAGCACCAGCAGCAGGGTTGAAGCTGTAGCGGTAAGGGGTCGTCAGTTATAGAGTACCGTGTTTCGTAAAGCGGCCGTGGAGAATGCAGCACCTGCTGCTGCTGGTGGTGGCTGTGGTGGTGGTGGTGCTGCTGGTGGTGGTGGTGGTGGTGGTGGTGGTGATGGCTGTGGTCAAAGGGCACTTCTGACGGTCAAAAGTGCGCTGTGAAGACTGTGGATGTCTCTGAACCACAACTGCCTCTGCTGATGGATTTCAAAAAGTTTGCATCTTCACAACAGGTTGCTTTGAGTTGAGGGCCGCTCCCGTACCTATCTATCCTCATTGACTACAGCCATCATGACCCACACCCACCATAAGTAAGGCGGCCAACCATCAGCACAACAAACAAAGAAGCGCAGAACACAGCTCTTGTTCGAAGAGGCAAAAACGGCCTTGTCGACCTGCCCTAACTGCAATTCCCTCTTTCCCTTTCCCTTAGCCCACTCCCTACCTCTGATTTGTACACAAAAAGCTCATAAAACCCTCTTTTGCACTCATACGGAAGTCGCTCCACAATCCGCTTCACCCAAGCCACGGAGCTAGCCTGGACGGTCATGCACTTCCACATGTAGGACGCCCCCCACCCACGCGCCGCTCCGTTCAAGGAATCCTCCAAAGCCAGTTCCTCTCCTAACCTAGGGTTGTTGCGGATGACGTCATGCGCGAGCAGCACCACCGGGATCTGAAGCTCCTCGGACAGGTTGGTTTCGTAGACGACCACCTTGGCTAGGAGGAGGAGGCGGCTCGTTAAAGGGTGTTGCCGGGTCAGCTGTCCGCGCCTTCCGCTTTCCCCGCCGCTTCCAACCCCGCTTCGGGTGAAGATAGTGGTGATGGTGATGATGGTGATGGTGATGATGAATCGAGGACCCCTTGTCCCGCTACTGCTCCTCCAGGGGGGGCGTTACCAGGCGGTTGCGAGAATCCCTCGGGCAGTTCGCGCCTCGTCTCCCCCTTGCCCCCCGCCACCTTCGGGATGTCTGCCGGGGCTCTGCTGACACCGGCGTCGCGCTGCACACGGAATGGACGACAAAGTTCGGCACAGGAGATGGGGAGATGAGGTCGGGAGGCGCGGGAAGAGGTGCAGGGGCAACAACGCGCCTGGCAACAGGACCACGAACGTCATCGTGCATCCAGTGGCGTCATACCTTAAAAGCGCTAGCTTTGGAAGCGTCACTACCCAGCGCCAACAGGCCAGTCTATCCTAGCCCAGCCTACCAGCTCAGTTGGGAATTGGGTTATCATACGGTTGGCCGGGTTCTGGGGGCCCGTTGGCCGGCAACGCTTTTGTGACTCGCTCCGGGCCACGGCCACTTCACTCAGCCGAAGTTCATCTGGAGGGGACTTAGGGTCCGAAACGCGCACAAGCGCTACTAGGGCAGCGCGCACCGCTTGTAGACGCGCAGGCCCCACTCCGGCCTCCACCGCCTTTGCGGCTGGACGAGGAAATGAGCTGTAGGGCCCCTCGCAGCTGCTACTGCTGCTGCTACTGCTGCTGTTACTGCTACTGCTTGGGTTGCCTGGGTTATTGCAGTTGCTTTGGCCTGTGGTCCTGAGATCCAGCTTGTTGGCCTGCAGCAGCTCCACCTCCTTACCCGTCGCGAAGGCAGCCCGCCGCTCCAAGATGAAGCAGAGGGCCTGAGGGTTCCGCGGCAGCAGCAGCGGCCAATCGGGACGGGCGGCAGCAGTAGCAGTAGCAGTAGCAGTAGCAGCAGTAACAGCAGACACCAGAGGGACGGAAAGTGGGGCACGGCGGGGAGGTGGTGGCTGTGAGCATAGCCTCGACGCCTGGCTCAGCAGGCTCATGCGCAGGCAATCGTTTGTTAGGGGTCCCCCGTCTTGACCCGACGCACTGCACAAAAGCGCAACCCGCTCTCCCTTATAACGTTCCCTCCCCTCACCCTTCCCCTCACCCTTTCCCTCACCCTCTCCCTTCCCTCGTCCCTCACTTCGGCATGCTCCCCGCCCTGCTAGGCGGGCAACACCCCGAACAACGAGGTGCATCCGGCACTGGGATGAACAGCGCCACTACGCCACGTCACACCTGTCGATACTGCCACGCATAGCACCACACAGGTACTCACCCCTACTGCTGCTGCGTTTACGGCCGCCCCGGCGCAGGCCGCCAGCAAAGATACCTTGAACAGCTTTCCCGCTAGCGCCTCAAAATTCTGTGGGCGTTGTCGCAGGCCTTCTTGCCGTTGCTGCTGTTGCTGCTCTATTTGCTGCTGTTGCTGCTCTATTTGCTGCTGTTGCTGCTCTATTTGCTGCTGTTGCTGCTCTATTTGCTGCTGTTGTTCGGCCAACTTGCGACACAGAGCGGCGATTTCCTCGTCCCGTTGTTGAAGCATGTCCGTTTGGGTCTGCAAGAACGAGCACGAGCACAGCGGAGTAACCGTGGCAGCGCCGGCAACAGAAGTATAGTATATCCGTTACACACGCATGGTGGTGGTGGTCGGCACTCTTAGGGCATCTACAAATGAATCGCATCGTCAGTAGATAGACATGCTACCATGTTTTACATCAATTTATACAAAGGTCTCGGTCAGCTGGACAGGGGCCGCACAACACAGAGGGCAACGGCTGGACGCGCGCCTGTGCTCAAGCACTGGCTGCTACTTTCCCCATTTCGAGGTCGCCCTACTGCAGATTTCCTTAACGTCCTGGGCCCAGTGACAACCTTGATGATGCGCTCGTTCCGAAAGAAGTCCAATTCTCTCAAGCCGTGAGTCACAAAGCTGCCGCTGAAGAGGTCATCCTCGTCATAGTCTCGGAGAGCGGCCAGTCGGAGCGTCTGCCGTTGTCTCTGCAAGTGCGCTGGCGCTGCGCGCCGACAGGGATCAGCGCGGCTGAGCTGTCTGAGGGGAAGAGTAACAAGAGGGATTTTCGCACCACCAGCCGTGCCGCTACTCCGTAAGCGGCAGCGAGTAGGCATCGCCGCAGCGGACATCCTTGTGCGTGGCCTGGCGCCAGCAGCAACAGGCTTTCCTAGGGTCAGAATACGTCTTCCTATTTTGCTTTTTCACGCCGGGGCCACTACTGCCTACCTCAGTAATTTTGCGGCATCATTACTCATGGCAGTTGGAAATTGGTTCGAGCTCTGTCACATGAAGCAAATCATCATTCCAGCGCTGCAGGTGCGGCACGCGACCATCCTGCCAAACATTGCGATTTAATCAGGTTCTCACGGATAGATATGAAGCGGAAGTGGTGAAGCAAGATAAGTGATCTGGTGCCTAAAGTCAGGGGTCTGATACCAACGACCCACGGGTCTGTCTCCCTTGACTTATCTCATGACGGAACGCTAATATCGGACTCCGCTGGTTGCTGCAGTTGATTGGCAATCCTAGGAAGCAACACCCATGTATGAAACCTGGAACTAGGATACAGGAGCCCAGGTGATTAAAATAGGCGGCAGCAACGCAAAGACCGTTGCTCCCCCTCGACTCAAAAATCCACGTTCTGCGTATTTTTTCCCTGGCTCTGGAATCGTACGATTCCAGCGATACGCTGTGAGATCACCATGCTGGTATAGTAGGTCTGTTTGGCTGTTTAGGGAAGCTTGAACCAAATGAACCTGAGCCATTGTGCCGGCCTTTTCGTAATCAGCAGTATGGCCGGGGCCAGTCTCCCCTTCCGGTCGTTGACAGGCGGCACCGCACCTCTGCACCGCCACCGCCACCAGCGAACCACGCGCAGTTCCGTCTCACTGGCGAAATAAAGTCGGTGATTACCTTCCACGCCGCCCGTTAGCGAGCATCCACAAACCTCTTTTCCACCATGTGTGACCGAACTCAGCCGGGACGCACAAGGCACACAACACAGGGAAGACCCTAGGGTACTTCTTTGCCGTCAGCTGCGTTTGCTGCCCGAGTGGATGAACAGTGAACACGGATCCTCCCCCTCTTTTGCGTGTTACGGGGACCCAACCGGCTGTCCACCCACCGCCTGTCCTCTTCTGCGGGGCCCATATCCTCCGCGAGGTCCCCCCAGATACGCCTCCGCAAGGTGGACACGATGAGGGCCCTAGATTTTCTTACCGGGTTCCGGAGCGGGGCTCCACGTCGGAGGGCCCCCCTGTAGCGCCCACACGGGGACGCAAGCCCCCTGCATACATGTGCCCATTTTCCATTCCCGGTACGGCCCGCCCCGGATCTCGCGTGGACGTATCGTAGGTACAGCTGTGAGCCAGTGACCGCCTCCAGAAGAGACCGGCATCATGGATTTCAGATTGGGTGTCAAGCAACACTTCCCCACGCTGCTGCGGCATTTCCCCTCGAACATGCAAGGAACACAGGTTCCCGCACCTCCTACGCTGCCGCCTTGCTTATTGCTGATGCAACAGGTCTGACGGTGCCAGCCAGCCAGGAGGTACATGCTCATGTAACCGTCGGGAGATGATCCAACTGGCCCATTGGCAATCGGCCGGCCGTCCAACAAAAGAGCATTTGCAACGTGCAGCTGCAGCCAGCCGCTGCACCTGCAGCAAGCGGTACATGCGGAGTACGCCTACCATGGAAAGGCACAGCCCCAGGACATGTGCACCGATTTAGTCCTACCGACATACCGCCCATCGTCCACAAACCCGTAAGCACGCAGGGCGGTGTCCTGTCCCTCCTATGCGTCCCTCGTCCTCCGCCTATTTCAGGCCTTGTTCGCACATTGCAACATGTCCACCTTAAGGCTGTTAGCTGCGGGGCCATTAGGGTCGCATTCGTCCACCTGCTCCTCGAAAAACTCAACTCAATCCCCAAGGCGTTGGTTCCGTAGCCCCTTGGGAGCCCTTAAGCCCAGTAACGAGCCGCTGTGGCCCACCACCACCGCCACCACGTACTGAAAAAGAACGTTCCTAGACACGTTCACAGCAGAGGAAGGCAGTCCAAAGGTTGGCCAGGCCGAATGCCCAGTTCTTTTACATGGGCTTTTAAGAGCTGGTGTGCCCTGGTGCAGTGCTCTCCAGGCAGGTGCGTGCTCCTCAAACCCATCGCGGGATCCTCAATACCCGTGTAACGTGGCCGCCGCGTCCTGGAACAACCTCTAAATCGCCCAAGGTAGGAAGGCCAAGACCAAGACCAAGACCAGGAGGACCAAGATGCGGAGGACGATTTCACCACCACGAGTACATGCAACCAGCCCGAGCCGGAAAACAACCGGTGTTTGGGGCGTTCCGTAGTGGAAGGGGACGCGGACAGGAGGGAGAGGGGAGATAGCGGTGCAGGTGCGGTTCAGGTTCAGTAGAGTTGGCTGTGGGTAAAGTCAAGTCAATAACATCCACTCGAAGTGAAAACTTCCAAGCGCAGGGGCCCTGTAACCACCTGCGCCTCCTCGCGGGACGGCCTCATTCAGGCCAACCAACTCAACTCTATGAGTCCACTCACCCAACTGGCTGCGACAAGATCCCCCTGCCTGCCTCCCTTCCTTACATCATAAGCGAGACCACGCATGCCCATCTCACAACCGCATAATCAATCAACCCAAGTAGCCCGTGCAAGCCTAAAAGACCGTCCTAAGGAACAGTGTAACATGAAATGGTGATGACCCCAGTGACAGCTCAGCTCCATGAGCCATGACCTCGCGGGTGCCCCAGGGAACTGGCCCACACCACTCTACTCCACTCTTAGTCCCTGCCCTAGCTGCCCGGGCTTTGTGCTCTTGAACCCTGATCCAGCAGCCGCTGCCATGCGTAACCCCAGGCGCCCGTGCAACCCCCCCACCTTTACCTTGGCGTTCGCTCGACCCTCGTCAGTCAGCAACCCGTGGATGACAGACTCGATCAACCTGGGGGAAGGGAGGACGACAAAAGCCTATGAGCCGGTCTGAGTAGGGAGCAGTCATGCGTGTATTGGGGTTTTGCGGAGTAACTGTCCACGAAGCCCACGCCCGCCCGAACCACGAAGCCTCTGCTCCGTGTGTCAATGCGCTACAGCTTCACTGAGACGAAAGGCGCCCCTTGCCGGCCTCCCCGGGCCCCCACTAGCTTTGGTGCGTCATGTTGGCTCTATGCCACTCCCTAGGCCCTCGAGGATGGAGACTTGAGCTGAGCTGCGTATCGAAGTTCCGGACACTATTATGATACAGTTCGGCCATTTTCTGGAATTGTTTCTCCCCGGTATTCCCTAGAAGACGCAAGGACCAAGACGCGTCATGGTAACGTCCAAAACCCCTTGAACAGATGCATTGGACAGAGGCGACCCCAACCCTTTCCCCTATCTTTTCCCCGGGTGAGGGATTCTCCGACTATGACACAAGCTGCTCTAGTCCCTGCACCGCCGTTCCCCCCGACACGAGCCCCATCCCCCGACGCAACCGGCATCTTCACCCAAAACCCACCGGTATGTTATAATGATAAAGTATAGTAGAAAGCTGCCGAACATAATCAGCCGGCGCTGAAGTGCCAGATCCACGCCAAGTGTGCATCCGCATGCGAACGCATGGCAGGGGCGGGCAGGGAGGGGGGGTTATCATGTACAGGCGGTGGAGGGCATGAGGAGACACACTTATCCAAATAGGATCTGTACGTCTCGTATCTCTTATCCCGCCCTGATCACGGGATGGGGTGGGGTACGGATACCCCTACACTGCTCCCTCCGACTCTTCCGCACATCTATCCCAACATTTGGACTCTAACAATACGATTTCTTCGTCGCCAAACTAAGTGGCCCAGCCACATCCATGGACCCGGTCTATCACTGCCATGTCAGCCCCATCCCGACCTCCATATTGGCCTCCATGCCGATCCCGTGATTACCTTCTTCTGTACAGGTAGTTGCCGGAACACGTCCGTGGCATCCACCACGTGCCGGCGCGTGGACCAGTTATGCAATAGGAACCCAAGCATGCCCAGCTGGAGCACCCCGATGAACCATTTCCCCGTGAGGAGGAGCGACGCAGTTATTAGCACCTGACCCACGTATTCGAGCGCCTGTGGGATTGGGAGTGTTGCAAAGAGGGGCACGGCATGCCCATGTCCGCCGTTTCTGTGTAGCATGCGTGCGCTTATTAAGGGTAAGCGGGCATGATTTGATTGTAGGAGGAGCTACTGGGAGATCTCCAAGAGTTTGTGTGAGGGCTGGGAGGGCTGGGAAAGGTCTAGTGGCACACCGTCGTGTTCTGCCGCCCGGTTGCTCGGGGTCCGTGTGGGTGGCGTGGGGTAAGGCCTACTCTGCAATCCATAAATTCGAGCTTCATGGTTTGCAGGAATCAGGCAACTTTGAAGAAGTAAGAACCGCCTTAGTGACCCCACCCGGGGTAAACCAATATTACCCGTGCCTTACCACGAATCGGTTCAACCGCAGAGTCAAATCGTAAGGGTTGATAAAATCATTCTCCAGGTCCGACAGAGATATGAGCTGCAAAGTTTGCAACGGCGATCACTATGATGTCCAATCTAGTCCTCCAGCCATCCTTCAATGGCTAGAAGGCTACGCAGAGATCACTTCCAGCAAGGATGACTCCTGTCCTAACAAAGGCTTTTGAGCAGTCAGCCTTACCGCGAACATGGTCCGGCCCAGCATAGCCGCCTGTAACAAAAATGCAAACAACCATATGATAAATTCGAGAGACATGGTGAAACTGCACTCCTACGGTAGCCGAACAGCTTTAGATCAGTGAGGAATCAAAAGGCAGAAAGAAGAAAATAAGGGCTAAATATCTGTAAGTCTGGCCATTTAGCTTTAACATGATATCTAAGTTATGAAAACAGAAATGTTAATCCAGAGCTCTGTGTGTATCGGGTGCCTTGTTCAAACTGCTAACGGCAGCACGTACGGAACACCGGCATGGCGCGGTTTCTGAGGCATGAATCGCCGGGAGCTGCAACGTCGGCTAAAAGCAATGTAAGGAATGTGTGACCTGCGCACGGATGACCCTGCAGGTTCGTCCCTGGAACTGTAACCGACAACAAGAGTTAGCGCAATTATTTTCCCCTTGCAATGCGGGAGGCATCATCGTACTATGCGAATCTTCGTTCTTTCTCTGAGCAATGGCGTCCTTCTTTTGTACCAAGTACGTCGACTGGGGTTTCAAAATGCGGTTCAGACAGCTACCGTAACATGAGGCTCGACAGAATCCGCCTGACCACTGCCGGCGACGGAATCATGCTTTGTACATATACTTCGGTAGGATTACAGGAGACTGGACTGCGGCAACATTCACGAAGGCGCAACTTTCGCAGCCCAATTGTTCAATGTGAACAAGATGGTGCGTCGATACTGCTCCTAGATACCACCTGACATAATGCACATGGCTGTAAGATTTGGATTATTTGCGGACGCAACAATAAACCAGTGCTGCAAATGGGTCCTGCTCATGTGGCTACCTCACACGGTATGGCTACCTCACAGTTTGACGTCCCCAACCACTACAGCCGCACATTCACGCTAATGCGTAAGCTAAAGGAAAGGTAGTTTTAATATTGTCAAGAAACCCCAGCAGTCGGCCTCCGCAATACCCGCGCCCAAGTACAGCGGCTCTGCACACCGGCAACGCCAACCACCCAGCTGCGCGAAAGTACGCCGGAATCGTACCTATACCTCGGAACACGCTGCCAATATCGCCATCGCACCATTGGCGGTGGCACATCCAGCTCCTGCTGGTGCACCTTCCATCCTTGCGTGTGTGTATATGTAAGAGAGAGAGAGAGAGAGAGGGGAAGGGAGAGACAGGGAGAGAGAGAGAACGATGGAGAAAAGAGCAAGGGCAATTCAGGTGACCCTTATTCCCTAGGGCGCCACCGATCACAACCTCTTAACGCCTGCTGCTTCATTGCAGCTGCTGCAGGCCACGGGTGGAGGGCTCCCGTCAGACGACGATGACACTCCCGGCGGTGGTGGCAGCGGGGAAGGTCCCGGCAGAGACTCCCGCAGCGGAGGCCGAGGCCCTGGCGGCGTCATCGTCCTGGGCGCGGGAAGCCATCGTGGTCCCGTGAACAGTGAGTCGCCGCTCGTGTGGTGGTGGCAAGGCCTGTGAAGGTGTGCAGCGGCCGGCGGACTGCTCTACTACCCGGAATGCTCATTCCTAGCCAATACACCAATCCCCGCCGCAGCCGCATACCAGTAGTGTGTATGTATGTGTGTATGTATGTGTGTGTTCTATGGCGGACGTACTCACATGTGTACGCAGAGATGTGTTGTGTTGTGTTGTGTGTGCGTTCCCCGGCCAAACAGATCGTACCGGCACGTCTTACCGCTCGCGGTTGGCTGTACGGCAGTGGCACCTGGATTCGGAGCAATGGCACCTGGCGGAGGACCCGGTGACGGATGTGCTGCTGGCTCTGAGTGTACCCGCCGGCTGGGCCCCGGGGCCCGCACGTGACCTGACCAGGGTGGGTGGCAGTGGGTGGGTGGGTGAGCCTGTTCTCCCCCCTCATCTCTCCCTCATCTCTCCCTCTCTCTCTCCCTCTTTATCTTTCTTTCTTTCCCTCCTTTTTCTTCTCCTGTCCCTCTTCCTACACATACCGGCGAGAGCGCCCACTCTCCACTTCTCTTCATGTCGGTCTCCCTGCCCCCAACCACCCCAACCCCACCCACGCCCACAGGCTCTTCTGGACGCCTTCGTCACTGCACACCGCCCCCAGCTCACAGCCCTCACAGCAGCCACCACCTCGGCCACCGCCGCGACAACGTCAACGGCCAAGTCAAAGCCAGCCTCACCCGCACCCTCACCCGCACCCTCACAGCGGCCACCTGCCCTGCAGCTCCCGCCCGGGGGAGCCGTCACGCTGCTGACGCTGCAGGCTCTGAAGCTGCTGGTCCGCCTCGCTCAGGAAGCCATGGACAACCTGACTGCCGCCGGGCTGTGCCCCTGCTGGCTCTACCTTGTACACGTGGACTCATTCATGGGGGACCCTCCGCACACAGCAGCGAAGCACGCAGCTGGCGGCGGTGGCGCCGGCAGCTCGGAGGCCGTGGCCGCCCCCGCCGGCGGCGGCAGCATTAAGAAGGGCAAGGGGAGGGCCAGTGCGCTGCTGAGGGCCCTTCTGGGGGCCGTTTCGATGAAGGGGTTCAGCAAGGGGAAAGGGCAGTTAGGGGATGTGGTGGGCGGGAAGGGAGGGGAGGACGAGGGCAGGGGCCGCGGCGGCGGCGGCGGCGGCGGTGGCAGCGGCGTGGCATCTAAATCGAAAGGAATGCAGCCGAAGACGCAGCCGAGCGCGAAGGCCGCCTCAGGGTACCAGCAGCAACAGCAGCAGCAGCAGCAGCAGGAGGAGGAGGAGGAGGAGGGGGCGGGGGGAGGTGTCGGTTCCAAGCTGCGCTCCGTGGGTCCGTTACAGCACCTGGTCCTGCCGCCCCCGTCACTGCGTGGAAACACGAAGAAGTGTCCGCAGTGGGATGCGGCCACCATCGCATTGGCCTTATTGCAGGTTTGTGTGACTGTATGTATGTGTGTATGTGTGTGCGTAATCGTGTGTGTGTGTGAGAGAGAGAGAGAGGGTCTGAATGGGCCGCAGGCGGGAGCTGTGGAGCATGATGGTAGACGAGTAACCTTACCGAGTGGTAGTCCAGGGACGTGGTAGTGTGCCTGTGTGGGGGAAGGGGGAGGGGAAAGAGGCATGAGACTGCGCCGTACACGTTATACACTCCTGCCCCTTCACGATCCCCTCCTTCGCTTCCCCATCGCCTCCCTAAACCCCTCCACCCCTTCCCCAGGTGAGACAGTCAACAGACGATGAGGAGGAAGAGGAAGAGGAGGAGGAGGGGGGTTTGCAGGGCCCTGGACAGCCCCCCTCGTCCCAGCAGCCCACCAGCACCAGTCGCAGTAGCGGCAGCGCTGCTGCTGCAGGTGCTGCCGCAGGTGGACCAGGCGGCATTGAGGAGATGTTGGTTCTGAGATTCCGCCAGTTGGAAGATGTGGAGCTGGCGATGGAGGTGCAGGTGGGGCTGGGATGTGGGGGGGCACTGAGGCCCCCTCGGCTCCGAAACCATGGCCTTTTTGTGTGCCCTTTGCGATCCATAAGCACCCATCCGCGACGGGGCTCCAGAATCGCCTCATTCACCCGCACCCGCACATTCCCACTCTCCTACACCGTCACTCTCCCAAACTCCACGCCGACGCCCCCCTTTCCTCCCCCCCCCTTTCCTCCACGTCCCTCACACACCCGTCCCACCCACCCCCCCGGGCAACCCGACGTGTGCAGCTGGGTGGCTCACAGCAACCCGGGGGCCCCCAGCTGTTCTCCGTGGTGTCTGTACGACTGGGCCACGTGGTGGCTGTGGTGGCGCAACTGGCGCAGGGCAACGGGGCGACCGACCCGGGGGAGGTTGGGGGATCAGGTGCGGCTCCTGTACCCCTGTGTTTTATGCAGCCTACGTCTGTACGCATACACGTGGTGTCCTTAGAGCTGGAGTGCGTGTTCATATAAGGGAACAATGTCTACGTTGTCGAAGCATAGTGGCTGGAAGGATAGAGATGCCTGTTTGCGCGTATGTGTGTATGTGTACAAACACATACACACATGTGTGGGCCGGGATATAACAACCCTATGACCCCCAACCGTCATGGCCGGCCCCGCTCCTCCAAGCTGATAGTACATGTCCTGCGTGTCCCTCAGGCAGCATCAGCTTGTTCCGCAGCCTGCTGCGCCCCTTCCTGGTGCCCATGTCCTCACTCCTCCACCACCTGGCGCACTGGGCCCTCCCTGGGGAGGTGGAGGGACACGGACTGTTGGTACGACTGCTGGAGTAGTAGCAGCAGCAGTGGCAGTGGCAGCGGAGGAGGGAGAGGGAGGAGGAGAAAGGGGAGGGACGGGCGACAGGCGAATGATGGGGAGGGAGCACGTGAATGGAGGGCCATGCAATCGCAAGGCAAACGGATGAGGGCGGGGGAGGGTGCGGAGGGGAGGAAGTGACGGAAAGGGCAAAGGGGAGGGGAAGGGAGGATCCGGGGTTAAGGAGGGGCGCAGTGTGGAGGATGTGGATGCGGTGATGTATGCGTCTCTTTGGATGACGTCGAACACGACTTGAACGCGGCTTGAAGTGGTGATGTTGATGATGGTCATGGAGCTTGGTGGTGATGGTTGGGGTGTGTGTGTGATCAGTGTGCGGCGCGGGTTGGAGCTCCTCCCCCATTCCACCGCAGTGCGGGTGCTTAATTAGGGCCCCCTTTGTGGCGATTAGGCGGTACAGAGGAGGGAAGGGCTTGGGCCGGCGACCAGGCGGCCAGCTTTAATGAACGGCATGACGTGCATCTTTCGCCGCGGGATGTGTTTATGTATGTGCATGGGTGTATGCTGTGTACATACGTGGTATTGTAGCCCTTGGCGAGGGGGGTGGTTATTGTGGCAGGCTCTGCTTGTAGTGCACGAAAGCTTTGTGTGGGTTTGTGAGCTGCTGGTGTAACGCAAAGGAGCATGGGCGCCTGTCGTTCACCTATTCGTCATCTGTATTTCTGCATGCGCTATGTGTCTTTGCCCTGCTGGGTTCCCGAAATGTACCTGATTCGGGAGATCGGAACTGCTGGGTCAACGGTGACACCAACGTACGACACTGGCGAACTCCTAGGTGCAGTTTGAGCAGTTTTATGAAACTGCTATTCTTTATTGTTTTGACCTTATTCATTAAGGCATTAAATGACGTTCAAGGTGGCGTAAGGTACTTTTGAAACTCCATGACAGCTGTGACATTATCAACCGAGCAGTCGGCTCAGGAGGCGGCGCAACCTACCAAAGAGGCAATAAGGTCCTTTTCTATAGGTGATGTTGTTGACGTCAAAGGGCACGGTCGTGCCACTGTTATCGGACCTTTAAACCAGCTACTTAATTGTCCACATTTTGGGCGCTACCTGGTCCAGTACCATGAAGATGGGACCACCTACTGGTGTCGGCCAAAGTTGATGCGCCGGATGTACCCAGTTGAGTGATTTGACGGCTTTTTCGGTTGTAATAGTGGCCTCCTAACGGAAAGTGACGACATTCGTTGCATGTACCTTTTGTCTTGGATTGCACAGACCACAAAGCGCATCCTGGTGGCAAGGAGTACCTCAGCGTACAGAGACGCTATAATCCACAACGTCGACCGGCCGGACATCTGTCTGGAGATCGGCTGCCATGAGGGTAAAATACATACACACAGATGGACCATTTCACCCCAGCCTCTTGAGACAACCGGGGATTCATTGCATCGTTACCTCTTGAACGATAAAGAAATCTCTGGCCAGGTGCCACTGCTTCCTCCAATCGTACCCTTTTCAGTCCCTTCAACGCGCGGGCAGTTCTAGGTGTGTGTGCCTCGCCTGGTGACTGCACGACAAGGCAACGAAAACCATAACCCCTCATAGGCCCCGCCCTTCACCCTCCTAGTTGCTTCTGTACCCTTCGCATCATATAATTTCCGTGGACCCTTCACCCCACGTCTCCACCTTTAACAAAAGAAACCGGTTCCCCCCGCAGGCCTGTCGTCCAACGTCATAAGCAACCGCGCCACCTTCGTCACCGGGGTCGATACGGCGGCCGAGGTGGTGGAGATCGCCCGGCGGCGCCACCCGCACCTCGCCTTCCACCAGCTGGACGGTCTGGCGGTGACAGCCACGAGGGCCCTGTCCCCCACCGGCACCTTCTCGCGCATCTGCATCGACATATCTGGTACGGCACGACATACGGCATGACGGATTTTACCATAACAGGACCTCCGTCTGGCCCCACTCTTATCGTACATGTCGTCTCGTAAAGATCAGTCCTGCTCTTCATTTTTTGGGGTTTCATGATTGAGCTGCAGACGGAAATAGCTTTGGGTCGCGCCCAATGGCACGGGCCCATGGAATCTGGAACAGTGTGCCACTTAAACGCGCGCACATCCATTTCCCTCGTTCGCCATATCGGAACGGTCTTTACAGGTCGCCGCATCGTTTCCTCAGCCCTGTGCTGTGGCTTGTCCTTCTTCCTGGCCGCAGTAGAAACCCAGCGCGCAATGCACATACACACACACACACACGTGTTTGGGCCACAATGCTGTGGGGAGCTTCTATGAGCCAGCCCTCTCACACCGGGCCGGCCTGCCTGTCACACTGTCACATACCCTCCTAACCCCACCACCTGCGGCATTCCTATCATCGCAGATCAGAACATTAAAACCACAAACGCCAACAACATAAACCCACCATCGTTGTACTGCTGCGTGCTTTAGCATCCGACCTTCAACATTCGCATCCTCCCACCTTGTCGACCCGCCTACGTCACCTGCCTCCCCTTTTCCTCTTACCCGCCTTAACCCCGGCCTCAGGTAAGGCCCCCCTGGAGCTCATTTGCCCCATGGTTACCGCCCAGATCAGCGCCTTCCCAAATGCAGCCCTTATCGTTAAAAACGAGGAGCTCTTTGACGCTCTGATAGCTTGGGAGCAAGAGGGAATGGAAAAGCAGGATCAGCAAGCAGCAGCTGCAGCGGACCAGGGCGCCCCTGTTGTTGATGGTGCACCGGCACTGCCTCCGCCGTCACAGACACGGGATGAGTGTAAGATGATGATGCGGGCATCGGCGCAACGATTACAAGTACATGTACAGCCAAAATCGCAGATGCAATCGCAGTCTCAGCCAATGGTCCCGAGCAATGAAGGCGCCGGAGCTGCCGATCGCAGCAGCACCATTCAGCTTGACACCGCCGCCATCAGTCCCTCTGATAATGTCACATCCGGGCCGCAGAGCGCCCTGCCCGCCACAGCAGCTCCTGCCAGAGGTGCTGATCGAACAGCCCCTGCTGCAGGGACTCCCTTCTTCGCCATCTCGTCAGCACTTACAGCGCCGCTGCACGTGGAGGGAGCAGCCTCAACAGCGGGATGGGATGGAGGGGAGGGGGACTGTTCCAGGGTTAGCCGGCTAGAGCGTTTGCTTGGGAGGGCGCTGCTGGCGGAGTGTGAGGTGTTCCGCCACCAGTCCCAATTGCCGAGAACCCGAGTCAGGACCAGGAGGGGACATGCGGTGGTGGACATGTCACCAGCACCCGGCCAAGGCCACGAGAGTGGTGATGACAATGCAGCCGAGCGAAAATGACCTCCAGCACCAACATCTCCACCGTCTCATCCACCTTTCCCTCCTCCACATCAACGTGTGTTGTGGACTGTGTTGCCGTCTCAACGATGCGATGACAAGGGCTGTGGTGATGGTGGTGGCGACCGCAGGATGGCACCTCTACTTTAGGAGTGAGTGTAATGGGTGGCGGCTCAGTGGGGGTGGTACCTCTGTCTGTCTGTTTGTCTCCCTCTCCTTTCCAGAAAGAATCTCCCCCTCGGCTCTTGCATCTCGTACAGATTCAGCTTCATGCCTTCTTCTTGCCACCCTCTTAACACCACCAACGAGGGGGTATTGGTACTGGCGTCCCCTTCAGGAGCGAGATGCAGGAAGCCTCCTGTACAATATAAGCCTCTGCCCTGCCCTTAATAACATTAACTAGTGACCTATGCTGCACAGTGCTGCCGGATGACTTGCCGGCACAACAGTACAACCGCAGATCGACCCACCCACTGACTAAGCAGCTGACCGATCCATAATGGCCCGCCGGCTCTACGCCAGAGCCCAGGCCCTCAACTGATACCCCTACTGGTGTGCGAATCGCCATAGGTCTACAGCCGCACCGTCCAGTACCACTGTACCAGTACCAGCTCCGAGCACTCCTAAGCTCTAACAGCCGGAGCCCATGGACCAGTTGATGCAACCCCACAGCGCGTCCCGGAGTGTGTGCATGTGTGAATGACGACGAGCCCGTGCCTGCGCCCCTGACCAAACTCAACAATTTTGGTTGCAGTGGCGTCCTGGCACGCGGTAATAAGTTTGGAAGAGACAATGGATTGCATCATGCCCCAGTGGGCCGGCCCAGAGGACTGCTGTAAGCGGCTTGTTCTCGTGCTACTTCTATGAGTTGTTTGGAACGGTGGCTTGGTAAAAGAGGGGTTGCAACACCTCTTCTCTCCTCTCCGTGCGTGTCGCTTCAACCTGCAAACCGACCCACTCCATGATGCCGATGACGACGTCATCATCTCCATCATCGCGACACGTGTCACCAGATGCACAAAGGTTTTGTCAGCAAAGCAAAGAAATGCAAACGAAGGGGCCGTCTTCCAAGCGATGCATTCCGAAAGCTCTGCGGCTCCACACACACACATCCTCTCTCCCTCGCCCAAGTCCGCCACATCTGCATGCCCAACCCCTTCTGCACCCTCCCTCCCTCCCACAGACTAATCCCTCCCTTATCTCTTTCCTGTACCTACAGCATGCTCCATCTCCATCATCTCTTTTTCCTCACCCTGCCGCTGCAGTCCGACGTGGTCCTGGCCCTAACGGCTGCAACACACGACACGAAGAAAGAGCACCCGGGCACGATTTCGCACACACAGACAAAACGGAATGCGTGGGACTTGTGTGCGGCAGCCGGCCTTGTTCCTCCCGACGGAGCTAGGAGGCTGCCTCTTCCCACTGCAGCAGCTGCTGCTCTGCCACGTTTGCTGGGGCCCCTTCCATTTCTCCGCGACCGGGCATCATCTCTCCTGCGCCAGGTGGACCCGAGCAATTCCCTTCGCTGAGGCCTGATTGGTGGCCAGCACCAGGATGTCGGCAATCTGGACATGCTCGGGGCTGAGGAGGGCAGGGAAAGGGGAGGGAGGGATGATACACGGGGTGGGTTGCATGTGGACGTTGAGGCCGGAGGGAGAGGACCTGCGATGAAGAGCCCGAGTGCACAAGGGAAGTACGTGTACTACTGCTGGAAGGAGAGGCTCTACAGGCCCTTGCAGTAGGAAAAAAGGGTTGCTGGCCCTGGCGGCGCTTGCACATCCACCCAGATGCCACATTTCGAAAAACCCAACGACACGCCGTGTGCTTCTGCGTGCCAAACATGAGCCGCAAATAGCTAACAGGAAATACGACACCTTACCGTGTACATGCATACAGCACGTTGTCTGCGATGTCCTCAGCGGTGAGAGGGTCGAAGCCCTGGTAGACTGCATCCGCTTTATCCTGGTCACCCTTGAACCGTACCAAGCTGAACTCCGTTTGCGCAGCACCTGGTGAGGACAGTGAAATCAGATACGAGCACGATAACATCAAGGGGGCGCAGGGCGGATCCGCTCTCGCGGAATATGCAAAGGATGCCAAGAAGAGAGACGTTAACTTAACGAGCTTAATCGTGGATCTCTACTGCGAGAGGAAAAAACGCCAAAAGTTGAGGAGGGGTGTGCACAGGTGTGTGCGCGCCCTCTCTCCTTCTTCCTGTCACCTCGCTGCACCACGTCCCACGACATCCCTCATTCCACTCATTCACTCGCGCATGCAGACGCTCAGCCAGCCAGCCGGTTTCACAACCGCAAAGTCAACCTCCGTGAGGTCGCCTGCAAGGTGCTGCATACGCACGCTCGTACATACATACATACACACACGCCCCGGGCACCCACCCGGGCTGATGGACGTGACTCGGATGTTGGTTCCCACAAGGTCGTGTCGCGAGGCGGTGGTGAAGGCTGCTAGGGCGTGCTTGGTGGCGCAGTAGACACTGCCGCCTGCCGCGTGTGTGCATGCGTGTGAGCCACAGCATGCGCCCGGGGTTGGTGGGCAATTCAGGGGACCAGGATGAGTCATGGGGCCTAAGATGAAGGTATATCACATAACCAGGGTATCTTATGCGAGTGGAGTGAGGTGGGGTTTGGGGCCGCAAAGACATCTAAGGGGGCCACTGTCCTTCATCACACCCCAACGCATCCCACATCGTGCGGGACCTTGGGGGGATTTGTATACCGGACCGAAATATGACCGAACGTAACGGAGCATCGAAAATGCGCAGGAAAGCCGCCACCGCATCGCTGCGCCCTACTGCCGTACCGGCAGCAGCAGCAACAGCAGACATCTGTCAGAAAACAGGTCATCGTCATGCTGCGTACCTCCGTACGCTTCTAACCCCGCGATGGACGAGATGTTGACGATGTGCCCCCGGTTGCGCTCAATCATGCCCTGTACAAAGGCCTTAGTCATGGCAATCACCGCCGTAACGTTTGTCTCGATCATCGTCACCGCGTCCTGCGAGACGAGGGTGGAGCCGGATGGGATATTGGGGGGGACCCCGCGGGGGGGAAGAAGATAAGCAGGAAGGCGGCCAGGAGTGTGTCCACATTGAGCAGGGGACCTAGGACCCGCCCCTTACACCTCCATCCCCGATAACACACAGCTACATAGCTCGTGTGAAAGATGGTGTGGCATAGTGTTGAGGTATTGCTCTGTGCATGTTTGTTTGTATGCATGTGTGTGGGGGGGGGGCTGGTGGTAGGCTGGTGAGGCCCAGGTCGGACTATTACATTGATTGTGCAGTGATAGCATAGTGGTGACATAGGCGGGTGCGTGTAGGGGTGGGGAAAACGTTGATATGTCGTACTCACGTCCATGCAGTTGTCCTGCACCGCCGCAGTGCCCAGTGCTAAACCCGCGTTGTTGACCAGGATATCCACCTAGCAGGGCTCGGCCCGGGGAGGGAAGGGTCATGGTGGACTATGGCGGAAAGGAGTGGGGCCCGGCAGGGCAGGACAGGACAGGGCAGGACAGGGGAGCTGGAGGGGACACCGGTAGGTTCCTCAGGACGGAGGGTCAAGGCAGATCATTGAATACAGTTCCAAGCCAACTTCCAAATATACAGAGAGACAGACAGACAGACAACCATCCGTGTTTCGCTGTCCCGGCATATGCGGCCCCTCTCAACTACAGCCGGGTGAATCTGTAATGTGCTTAGGTCTCATCTTATTATGAGGATTGGACACCAAATGATATGGCACGGCAAGGCCCACAAGTTGCCATGCAAGTACAGATGAGAAGTCCGGTGCTGGGTCCCCCCCCTGCGTAAGGTCTCCCGTGGTATCCGTACCCTATCTACCTCACCCTACCTCACCGCATTGCATCCCTATCCGCCCCATTCCACTCAGCCAGCCAAAGCTTGACACATGCCACCAAGTTGGCATCTCAGCCTCCCGCCCTGGAAACGCTAAGACGTGCACCAGCTTAGCACTGCTTCCTAACCTTGTCGGATACACCATCAGGCCCAGCTTCACCCGATGCTGGTTGACCTACCGTCGCGAACTCCTCCGGGAGCTGCTGGGGTAGCAGGTCCACTTCGGCAATATTTCGCACGTCTAGCTGGACGGTGTGGACAGGTACGTGGTAGGTAAAGTGCAATTGGTCGCGAAGGCTTTCCAATCGGTCCTGGCGCCGCGCTAGTAGCACCAAACGACAGCCGGCTTCTGCAAAACGCCACGCCATCGCCTCCCCGAAGCCGGAGCTAGCCCCTGCGGTGCGAGGCTTGCACGATTGCCCGTATTGCAGAACGGTGGCAAAGACGCCATTCTAAATAATGTTGATAGAGAAACCACACCTGTGATTAATACTGTCCATCCGTCAATATTTAGTGGCTGATAGAGTGGTGGTCGAGGAGGACGTGATGTGCCGGAAGAAGAGGCCATGATAATGATGTGTATAATTCATGAAGCAAAAATAAACGTGCAAAATTATAGAGCAGCACTCAATCCGGCGTAGCGTCCAGCACAAGGTTTGCGTCTCCGAAACCGAGGCTTATTCATACTCACGCAAGGCTGGAAGCAAGGCAAAAAGTCACGGCCGAGTCCATCCAAATTTGTGAAGTGCGGTCGCTGTACTTAAAGGACGCAACACGCAAGTCAGGTTCTCTCCTCCAAACGACGTTGACCATTTCTATCCGGTCGTTGCGTGGCCGCACGATTGCCTGTTTTATAGCAAAACAAATTCTAGGTGCGTTGATTTTCTGAATTCCTTTGTACGGCTTACAACTCGCAAAGTCGCAAGTTGCAGGTCGCAAGAAAGCGTCCACCTTCATGTGCGGGCACGTAAGTGATTCGTTTTTCGGGCCACTTATTTCCGGCTACGGCAACGACACCTAGCTGCTGAGATGTGATTACAGTTGATGGACCAAAATTCGCACGCTGGATGTAGCCGTTACACGGTCTCGCTTTCCTATTCGCCTTGGGTTCCGCCTTGGCGAACCGCCTTGGTACTCACCTCGGTAGCCACCTCGTTAATCAAGTTACAAGCTACAAGTTCCGCACGCAAGTGCGGGTGTTAATCTGTGCGCTTTGCCGTATTTTCATCGGTGAGCAGTCGCTAAGACGGCTCACAACCTACTAATTGGGATCTTTCGGGCCCATTACATTTGTGGAGAAGCCTATATAGGCACGAACGATACATCGGTATCACGATTGGTATCACTCGCGCTCCTAGCTTCCGCCTCCGCTTGCTATCATGTCTGCCGCTGCACCTGCCGCGGCGGTTAAAGACCGCGACATTCCAATTATGGACGTTACTGATCGTGCTTTCTCATTACCTCTGGCATATAAGAAGCCATTGTATCCACGTTTTCCAAAACTCCTGGAGATGTCCCCGGAGTCTCTTAAGAAGAAGAGGCTGACCCTTGCTGAGGGTTGGACACTAATTCGTATCGCAATCGAAAACGAACTGCAGCGCTGTAATTTGCCGATTCATTCGCGGGAGTTCGCTGTAGCGTTCATCGCGGCGCTCAAACCTTTGCGGTTGCGCCTCAATCTTCACTCTGCCGTGGCGTCTCAGGGGGGAATCATTCCGAGCCTGGAGTGGCTGAAGGAGTGGATCTTCATGAATTGCGGCGATAACCCCACGCTGCCGATCCTCATGGGGATTCAGCTTTTTCGGAGCACGAAGCCTGGCGATTTTCCTACGGTTGACTTGCTGATCCAGCACGTCGAGGATCTTCGTACATTACTGCCGGAGTTTCCCGACATCGCGTTTGTATATTATGCACTGGAGTTGTCTCCGGAGCCTCTCAGCGCTTCGTTGCAGTGGAGCCATGACAAGTGCGTCACCCCACGGTGGACATCTTGGTCAGCCTTCAAGCAGGAGCTGATTCTTCATCGTGGCAGCTTTGACTTCGGCGCCAATGTCAGCAAGTCTTCTGGGAGCTCTTCCGTGGCCAAGAAGCCGCGTGACAACGATGGCGCGTCCGGCTCTGTCAAGCGCTACCGGGTCAAACTGTCGCGGCCGCGCGACAAGTGTGTAGCGCCGCCACCGGGTCAGGAGGACCAGTTTGGGTTTTACGTGGCCGGACTTACGATATCCCTTCGCAATGAGCTTGTGCTTGAGGATAAATGCTTTCTGTGCCGTGGGATGGGTCACAAGGTGGCGGCTTGCCAACAAAGGGAAGAGAAGTTTAATGCTGGTAAGTTCTATTACTATCGCATGGAGGACTAGGATGTTGCTAAAACGTTTTGTGAGCATTTGGGCATATCTGAGTACGTCCCGTGTGCAAGACTGCCCCCGTTCCAGGTGCGTGCATCCGCTTCCGACTCGTTCATCTCGTTCGCCTGTCGCTGCTTCGCTATCGCCTACCTCGTTGGGTACGGCCTCGTTCGGTAATGGCAAGTTTGCTCCGTTGTTAATGGGCTTAATTGTTAGTGCAACACGTGCATCAGGATGCTGCTGTCTTAGCTGTGTAACTGCTGAGCCTCGTCGATCTTGTAATGCAAACACTAATTCGAGCGTTCCGATTGCCCCTTCACTCATTCCTTCGACTTGAAGCACACTTCGCACTTCCGAATTCGAGCAGCTTCCGCATTTGAATGGTCAGCATTGCACTTGGGATTCATTTGCCCCTTCACTCTGATCAGCTATGTGCCCCAAATTTAGTCCGACTCCGCACAGCTTTCTGTCTACCAGCTGTGCCGGACATCACTTTTCGTTCATCCGCCTCCTGCTCGCACTCGAGAGTATCCGTGACACTATTTGGACTGCAAGAGCATCGCACCGCATTCAACATCAGGTGGTTTTCTGTTGCCTAAGTGGGTTGCTGATAATGTCGTTCTTCGCTTCATACGTACCACGCCGGTTATCACCTGTTCGATGTTGTTGCTACGATAGGAAGCGACGCTCTGCTGGGTTAACTGGTCCTGTCGAGTTCTGGTACCACCCTCCGGCATCCGCTTCTGATGCTGACGTCGCTCCCTTGCCTCTCTCTGTTCTAAGGGCTTGACTGTGTAGTTTCGAAGTAAAGTGTGCCAGTCCGATGCTTGCCTTCAGCCCTTTCAAGTGCAGTTTCTGCTCGTCGTGTGGGTTCGGCAAACAGCGTACGTCCCGCCCTAACGGTCACTTTGGGTCAGTGTCGGACTGCGACTTCGGTAGGATTTGCTGAGGTACCTAGTCGCTTGCAGGGTTACAAAGCTAAGTTGCAGTGTGCCGTGCTTGATCTTCCTCCCGGTTATGACTTGGTGCTTGATGACCGGTGTGTTACATCCGTCGGTGCTGTGCTTACTCTGTATGCTTGCACCACATGTTGCACCAACTCGCCATCCCGGTCAACCTATGCTGAAGTCTAGCCCTTTCCCTGACCTACCCCCGTTGGAAGAACCCTGTCATGTAAAGCCAGGTTTTATGCAGGCCATTTGTGAAGGTTGTGGATTCCTTCTCTGCATCTGTCGACTCAATTTCTTCCATGTCTCCACCCTCTGCTCTGCCCGACTTGCCATCTTTTGCCCAAAAGGTTTGTAGTGCGGTTCCGGGCGACACTCCAGCTGAGTTACAAATGCGTGCTGTGCTGCTAGATAAGGAAAGCTTGTTTCCGTTACCAACTGCCGGCTGAGTTGCCGTGTGATCGTGGTTTGCCTCCCGTCATCCCACTAGAGCCCCAGTTCTTGTCCACCCGCTCAGCGTATGTTTCGCTACTTGCAAGAAACTGAACATGACGAAATGCAACACCAGATTACCCAGTTGTTGTCGCAGGGGTTCATCAAGCCCTCCTCTTAACCCTTTGTTGCGCCCACATTTGTGGAGAAGCCTAAATAGGCATGAACGTACACTGGAGAGGTGGCGACCTTTGGACCTTCTGTCTCTAATCCACAAGGAGCCAAGTGTTGAGTTCCAGGACCCCAAACTAACCATCATGTAACCAAGTTGACGGCACGTACTAAATGGCAATAACGTGCTTTAAAACATTTTAAGTCGCGCCGAATAAAGGCCACAGCAGTCGCTCTTCAGACATATGTACATACGAACACACACACTCCATTCTCTACTCTTTCTACAACCCTCGCCTCCCTCTCTGCCTCTCTCTTTTCTCCTCAAAAGACACACTTGTCATTTAGCCTCTCAGTTCAAAGACATTTATGAGGAGACAGCAACAACAATGACGATAGCAACAACATGCCGTGCGTTGCTTAACAACCGACACATGAATTGTGGTGTGCATGTGGGACCGATCAAATCCCCCTTTGGGTCAACTGTGGGTCAACACGAGGATCCGTACTAGCTCATCATCATCGTCCATTCATTTCCACATGTACGCTAAAAAAAACAAGAAGCCAAAAACAAACAAACACTACACCGGGGTATCAAACCTGCATAGCTCAGTTGACCTTCCACATTCATTCGAGCCAACCTTACACACAAAAGCACACTGACATTCCAGACCTAGGCATGACAGGGTCTTTCCAGGACCAGGACCCCTTCCCAACCCCTTCCCCAACCACCTCAGGGATCCCCCCAACCTGCATGGGGGTCGTCACCTTCACCGCGCTGCCGAGACCAGGCACCCTCCGTTGTCTGCGATCCTGCCGCCGTTACCGCCGCCGCTGTTCCCCCCTCTCCTTGAACCAGCAGAGCTTTCTGCTGCCGCTGCTGCAACGGAAGCTGCGAGGCTTCGACCAACACATTCGGCGGCGGAATGTACGGCGTCTGTGACGGCGACGGCAACGACGGCCCAGCAGCACCGACCGCCGCTGTCGACCCTGTGGTGCTCGGTGCGGCCGCTTGCCAGCCGCCGTTCTGCACAGGAGCTGAGGTCGGGAGGGGAGCTTGCCAGCCTCCACTGCTGCCTCCGCCGCCTCCGCTTGCAGCCCCACCACGGCCGCTGGTATACAGGCCCGCCGTGGCAGGCCGCCAGCCGCTCCCACTAACGCCGCCGCCGGTGTAATACGACATGCCCGTGATGACGCCATCGCCCTCGTCGACGCTGCTATACGGCAGTCCCGCCAGGCCGCGCTCGTATGCGTCGCGCACAAGGGGGTCGGTGCCTGCAACGGCCGCCGAGTCGCTACTGGCACCGCGACCGCGGCCGCCGGAGGCCGAGGTGGAGGAGGTGGCAGCTGAGCCCGGGTAGACGTAGTAGAGCTTCTCGTTGATCTTCTCGTTGGACCCTAGGTACTCGTTGGAGTGGCCGTCCCGAGCGCTACGAGCCCAACCCACCCGCAGAAACAACTGCAGGGCGTCAAGGGCGCAGCCAGTGTCACCATCAGCCATCAGCGGAATCACAGGTAGGATCGACGGATCGACATTTTAGGACTGACAGCGGCAGCGGTAGCCGGTAGCCGGCCGCCGGCTAGCCCTCAAGGCAATACTGGGGGTGGAAAGGCGCGGCTTCAGGGACAACGACGACGACGAAATACAGCACAGCCAGCACTTATGTGCAACAGGGGAAGTTCAAAACGGCAGCAAACGGTGTAACTGAATCCACGCAACGGAATTAGAGGAGGACCCACAACCAGACGAAAAAACCACAACCATGAATTGTCGACACACACAAACCTCAAGGCCCGCTGAAAACGCCACAGAGCCCCCGCTGCCGCCCGCCTCAGTACACGGCATTTGGCCACATCAAACCCCTCCAGTCTCTCCCCGCCTCGTGAGCCCTGCACCTCCTCCCCTCTCACCGAGTTCATGGAGGGCATGGCCATGTCCACTATGCTCTCAAGCACACGCAACCGCTCCTTGTACGACTCAGCCTGGCGGCAGGAGGGAGGGAGGGAGGGGGCAGTTAGTTCGTCGTAACGGAAACGGATGATCGGTGAAAAACAAGACGGTTAGCTCTACGTATTGCGCAGGTTGCCGCTTGCTGAAACTGATTAATGACCAGGAGACCAATGCCCCGCTGACATACACAGCACAACAAAAGCTCACATCCGGCACACCATACCCCACATCCCCTTTTTTCCCTTCCTTCCGTGCGTTCGACACTCCACTCACTCTTTCGTAAGGCACCCTCACTCCGGCCCATAACCATCATCATTATCATCATCATCCACCACACCCTCATCGGCACCCCCTCCCCTCACCCACATTCGGCAGTGGCGCGTATCGAATGTGCGCCAGCCTCCAGCGGTGTTGCTCGTTGGTTCGCACCATGAAGGGGTCCAGCAGGTCGATGGTGTCCACCAGCAGCTGCTGCAGCAGCAGCAGGCGAGTCCAGGGGTTGACGGGGAAGGGACCGCACCCAGGCCAGCCGCGAGGACTGCCGATCAGCGCCACCTGCAGCGGGATCGCAGCAGCACCACCACCACCACCACCACCACCACCACCAGCAGTAGCATCAACAGCGATGGAAGGAGAGGGGAAACCATAGGGGAGGGGGATGACGCACAAAGCAAATAAAGCAAGTGACGACACGCGGGCCCCATGCGGTAACGGACGTGTGGCCAGGGCCCAGAGGAAGGACCAAGATGGGGAGGTAAACGGGACAGGCAGACTGAATTTGGCGGGAAAAGTGGGAACGCGATTGGGTGTTACCGTCGGGGGTCGTACGTTTTCATTACCTTTTCAACACGCCCTAATGAGGGGCCCCCATGAGAGTCATATTCCCCTTTTCCCGGCCGCACCAGGTCATGGAACATGGGCAGCAGCCAGGCCGCAAAGGACTCGTCTGTGTAGAAGCGCCGGTAGAAGTCCGAGTAGGACAGCGTGTAGTGTCTGGCGGCACCTGACCAGGGGGACGACCGGGGGGAGGACCCGGGGGGGTAGGCGGCTGGGTGGGGAAAGTGGAGGAGGGGGAGCTACCCCAGGTTGTGCGGCAGCTGTTGTGCGTGGAGGTGTGCGTGTGAGTGTGGGAGAGTGGTAGATGGGAACATAGGCCCCACGCACAGCACACAACGCCACAGATCCCAATAGCGGCGTTGGTGTAAATATGTATGTGGGTGTGCTTGCATAGTGATATCAACCCTAAAACCTATTAAGAACCTGAGCCGCTCGTCAGCTGGTAAACCACAACCCACGTCAGTTTAACGACAGTACAGTAACCCACCGACCCGCGGGTCGCTGACAACACCCACCAACTGGCGTGATGATCATGAAGCTGCCCACCGCCCTCTGAGTGCCGCGGGACATGTGCAAGACATTGCCTCCCGGCCACCGCTGCTCAGACAAGGGAATTTCCCTACTGCCGCCACCGCCGTTGCTGCTGCTACTGCTGCTGCTGCTGCTGCCATTGCTGCTATTGCTGCCATTCGCACTGGCGCCAACATTGTTGCAGGTGCTAGCATCAACTGCTTCTGCTGCATTGGCGCCTTCAGAACCGGTGGCAGACGAGGAGGCCACGCCTGTGCCGCGTTTTCCCTCTTCTGAGCCCGCCCCGCCTCCATCGGTGCTGCTGCCCATACCGCCGGCCCCCACCCCTCCGCCGCCGCCTGTGCAGTTGTCAGTGTCACCGTCGCGGGTGAAGTTGTCACTAGCCCCATTCCCGCTGTTGCCCCACGCGCTCCTGCCTTCCATCGCACCGTTCCAGCTGCAGCCCGTGTTGCTGCTCGTGCCGTTACTGCTACTGCCAGGGCCTGTGCGCTCGCCCGGTGCCGACAAGGCCTCTGGCCCAGACCCTAACTGGCTGCCGCTGCCGCTGCTTTCACCGCCGCCGGCGGCATCGCCAGCGGCAGCCTTCGCCACCGTCGCCGCGCCGTTGCCTTCCGCCGCCGCCGCAGCTGCCGCCGCCGCCTGGGGCGACCTAGCGATGTTGCCGTACGGCACCCCAGGCCGGCTGCGTGCTCCAGGATGGTCACGGTGGTCACCTTCGTCGTACCAGGTCTGTCATGAGGTACGGCAGGGTGCGCCATGATGCAAAATTGCTCATCCGGAAGAATAACTGACCCCAACGGGTACCAGTCGCCAGTTGACGTATTGTCTAGTGTGCGTGTATTGGGGTTCTGGGGGTTTTGGTGTTGACGGGGAGTTCCAGTACATACACACAGGATGACACCACCCTGCGGAGGCGCCAGTGGTAATGATTCCCAGACCCTCTGCTGGCCCCCCTCTCCCCCGTGTCCTTTGGGGCCCCTGACGCCCCTGACCCCTCCCTCTGTTCAGCTGTGAGCCCCACCACCGCTCAGCCCCACCTGCAGTGCTGAGGGGTGTGCGCACATGATGAAGCGGAAGCCCTCCAACAGGTTGGCAAGTGTGTCGGTGCCCTGGGCAGGAGGGGCAGGAGGGGAGGAAGGGGCGGTGGGAAAGAAAGCATAATAAAGCAAAACGCGAAGGAGAGAAGGGGGGAGGAGAGAGCGATGGATAGGGATGGACAGGGGTGAATCACCATTCTGATACCTTACACAGCGTCTCCCGCCCAGCATCAGTTACACCCCCCCAACCCTCCCCCCTCCCAACGCACACACACACACACACACACACACGCGCGCGCGCGTGCCAACCCCGCTCCACGCACAGCCGTTCCCCCACCTGCGGGTTGCCCTGCTGCAGGAAGGACCTCTCTCGGGGGCCCTCCCGCCGAACCAGCTCCACAAATCCCAAGAACTGCGCAATGGTGAACAGGGTGTACACCACCTCCTCCTCCACAACGCCGCGACCCCCGCCGCGTGCTGTGCGTCCCGTAGCCACCGCCACGAGCCGGGACTCCAGATCTACGGCAGCTTCTAGAAGGGGGCCGCGGTAGCGAGCCACCAGGGAGCGCATTTCTTTAATCTGCACAGCCGCCTGCCGCTCACGTTCAACCTGTAAGAGGGGTTAGGAAGAGGAAATTGCCGATGCAAAAAAGACAGGCAAACGGCAAAGGCCGAGGGTCGAGGGGGAACGGGGAAGACTTTCGATTGAGACAGTTCTGCCTCGCTGCTCGGACCTAGATATGAAGCATTCCCGTACCCCGAAGAATAACGCGCCTGCCTGCGATAGCATTGCTTCTTACCTGTTTCGCGAGGTCGGCACGCTTGCGTTCGGTCAGCAAGCCACCGTAGAGATTGATACTGACGGAGGATACCGCGATAACAGCGGTTACGACGCTGAACAAGGTTAAGGCACGAATGCAAGTCAATTCCTGTGCGGCTAGTAGGCGACGATGTTACAAAGATAGAATACCTACCTTGCAACTCCCGGCGACATGAGGTTCGTAAAAGCCTCCATTTCGTCAAACATAGCCCTCGTAACCGTTTGCGACCGCCCTCGTTGTCTTCTGCTGCCAACACAACGCCGATGCCCTTGACCATTCGGACTGCTGCGAACCGTTGGTAAGTCTAAACGGTAAAATGATCCCCCGCTACAAAGCTGTTTCATTGCAACTGCATATATTGTGTCGCTAAAACAGCCTTGTCATCGTTCTTGGCATTTGGTCGCTAATGCTGGATCAAATACGCATATGCGTTATAATTTACAGGTAGTAATTTTTAAACGTAAGCCGTCATTCTTGGGAGAAGGGATCTGACGTGGTTTGAGACACAAACAACTCCCTCGTACACCCTTAGGTGGGGTGAAGCTTTCCCATTGCCCCGCGTAAGGCTCCTCTCCATGATTCTAAGGTGTCAACTATGATAGCTGAAATTAGGTGCGCCGGACAGCTAGGGCGCAGCTAGAAACAGCTGGGTTTCGGGACGTGGAATCGTGGTCCTCGACGTGGAGTCGTGGTCGTCGTCAGCTCCGTGTAACAGGCAATGCGCCTTTTCAGCTCTTATGGTGTTGATAATGGGTCCTCATTAGGCATTACCGCATCACCCCTCCAAGGTCCACATCCGTCCCTGCCAAGTGGGATGTTGCCAGTTGGTGGTTAACCGTACTGTCGGGCGAGATTTGGATTGAAGCCTGTGAAAACGTAAAGCACAGCTCGCCTTTGCAGATTATAATGAGTTCTTGGATAAAGTACTGGCTGTGTAGAATGATGAGAGTGTTAATCTGAGGGCCTCAAGATGGGTGTACCCTCAATGGCGAATTGCTTATGGCCAAGGTAGATTGTACTTATGCGATGCGGAGCCATACCACAATCACTGTGACGATGCCTTCTGCCCAAGAGTATTTGCCAGAGCTTACTTCCCGCGCGCTCCACCGTGGTTTCAGCCTCGATAAGACGCCAGACTCTGAAATGTGCCTAGGGATACAACATGGCAATCTATTTCGTCCACCCTTTAACGGTTAACAGGAATGGACCATTTGTTGCAAGATTACGCATCGTCGTCCGACGAAGACGGCACGACAACTCATCCGCATAGCAACGCCGTTATGTCTGATGATCATGCTTTAGCACGATCGCAATCGCACAAAGATACTGGTGCGAAAACGGATGGCAACGATGATGGGGTTAAGCGCAGCGGAAATCATCCTGTCGCAAAGCGGCCAAAGCTAGACGAAGGCGCCGCTACCGGCGGGTATGTTCCGTTCAGATTTTGAAATACCCCTTCAGCATTTTTTGTCTGGCCAGCGTTCATTCACGGACTAGGTCGAGGCTCCCGTACGCCTTACAATTCTCACCCTATCCACGTGCAGAGGAGCTCGCCAGCCCGCGCCTGCTCTAAACCGCACCACGGGAGAAATCTTCAGGCCTATCCTTCCCAACCCACTCACTTTGCTGGAAGCGGCTTCATCGGAAGGTAAACAAAGCTGGACAGGAAAAGGCCACCGCGCGCCGAAAGCTGGCTAACACAACAGTTGGCTATACACCATCCCCAATGGGTCAGCTCCCCGATGACGCAGCAACGAGCCCAGTCAGAGGACTCTCAGCCCGGGGGCTAGCCCGGCCTGATGTGTACTTCCTGGTCCTCCTCGATTGCAAAGGCAATGACGCAACTTCCCGCCGGAAAGGCACGAACACAAGAACTGAACCGCTGCTAATCTCTTCCCCTCTCCCCCCGCTCAGAACGCCACGACCTCCTGGCCCTTGGCGTTGTGGCGGTCGGGGCTCCCCACAGCCCCTCAGAGCTCCGCAAGTTACCAGCAGCAGTAGCAGCAACAGCCCTGCCAGGCCCCGCCCGAGTCCGTACCTTCCCACACGTCGTCGGCAACTTCCCAACCGTCGTACTGCTGCCAGGTGGGCCTCCAGGGAGGGTGGAGGTAGGGGACAGACAAGGCCCTGCAGCCCCGGTGCGACTCATTACCTCAAGTCCCCTCGCGCTCGCTCCCTGCCCTCCCGCCCTTTCATATTTTACCCACCCGCCCGATCGCCCGCGTTTTGATGCCGTACATCTTGCAGTACCGGGCATGGACGAGGCCCTGGACGCTGTGTACCGCAGAGTACGGCGACTGTTGCCTGATCTGGAGCCCATGACTCAGGACTTGCCTCCAGAGGCTGCAGCAAATGCCGCGCCACCTCGTAGCGGTGGTGGTGGTGGTGGTGGTGGTGGTCGGCGAGACGTAGCCCTCGGAGAGCAGCAGGGGCTGTACGGGGGGTTGCAGGGAACCCCCGTACAGCCGCACCGGGGGTACCACATCAGCCTCAGTCGTACGGTCCCCATACGGCACGCACAGATCGCCCCTTTGACGGCGCTGCTGGCCGAGGGGCTGAGCGCTGTGACCCGGTGAGTTCCCTGCCTGGCTGGCTGCCTGGCTGGCTGGCTGGCTGGCTGGCTGGTTGAAAAACCCCTCCTCCTCCTCCCCCTCCCCCGCCTCCTCCTCCCCCCCCTCCTCCTCCCCCCCCTCCTCCTCCGCAGTTGCTTCCAGGTATCACTGGCGGGGCTGCGGCCCTTCGCCAACGATGAGGGCACAAGGTCCTTCGTGTCGGTGATGGTGACCCACGGGTCGGAGCAGGTAGGCTCAGTGTGGGCTGGGGGGTTGGAGGAAACGCCAAGCGAACGCCGAAATGAGGGAGGGAGGCAGGGAGGGCGAATGTATTGGGACGCAGAGATGAGGAGAGAGAGGGCGAAGGGTACCTCCCTAGGTGAGTCCCCTTTCCCCCCTTTCCGTTCCCTTCCTGCCGCGCCTCTTCCTCTCTTCTTGGTTTTGTACCAAGGGGCCATACAAGCTCTGGTTGGGGCGGGGTTCCTCCTACTGCTACAGCTGCTGGTCCTGTTTTCCCACTGCGTTACACATTTCTAGATGTGCCCTCGTCCTTTTACTGCTGCTACTGCCGCTTCTCCTCCCGTTCGCAGATTTGTTCCCTCATTCGCAAGGTGGATTCCGCCTTCCAGCAGCAAGGCCTCCCCGCATTTTACGAGGCAAGGTGGTTTGTATAACTTATGGCGGGATATCCGGTGTTACTTACTTCCCCCCTCCACCCCCCCCCTCCGGACGCCGGCAGCTGGTTTGATGTTACTGAGTTGCATCACATGATGGATTCCCAAGGCCCTAGACCCCAGAGCCCACCTCTCCATCTCCCTGTCTCTCCTCGCCCTACACTATCCACCTTCCCCACCACCCCCCGTGCCCACCCTGGCCCCCCTATCCTGCCCCTTTCACTTTTGCACATGATTCCCCCGCCCCCAAATTCCCCCGCCCCAAAATCCCCCGCCCCCAATTCCCCCAGGTCCCCATGCCACACGTATCAGTGGGCTGGCTACCTGGGAATCAGCAAGACCGCATCGCCAAGGCGCTGGCCAGGATGAGACCCACGGGTCACAACAACACAGGTCGGCCGGTTTCGGAGCCGCAAGAGATGGCAGAGACGGGAGGGCCGGCAGTAGCGGTTGCAGGGGAGCTCGTTTGCAGCTGGCAGGTGGGCGGGGGCGGGGCCGGGGCGGGGGGCTTGATAACTGCGGCATAGGAAATTTCCTGGGCAGTTGGTAGGGGGGTGGGTGGAGGCGTGGAAGGTGTTTTGGGAAAAGGGCGCTTTTGTTGCAAGTGCCTCGGCAGGTCGGCGGATTGTGTGTTGGAGTGGCGGGTGCTGCGGTTGTGGGCCCGGGGCTGGATGCACGCGTCGTGTCGCCAGGCCGCTGTGCGGGGCGCAGCGACTGCAGCAGCTCTTATGGTGAGATGGTTTGCGACAAGTTGATAATCTCGCTCCTCAAGGCGCCAACCGGCAAGCAGACGGTCCACGGCAGGCTGAAACAATGGGCTGCGTTGACCGCCCAAGTGCCGCGGTGTTTGTCGTGTCACTCTGGGATGTAGCTTGAAAGTGCTTCGGAGACCTCAATTTAAGTGCGGCGGCTTTGTGCTTCATTTCCGGTTTTTATGCAAGGCCTCGAGAGCGGTGTGCGTGGTGGGACAGCGAGAGTACCAAGTGTGGTCACCGAGTTGATCATCGCCGCCGCAAGCATTGGCATTGCCAACCGGAGCACTCCTGAGCTTTTAGGTGAGAAGGCTAGTGAACGCGGTGTTGAAAGGTTCGCTGTGACTGCCTCATCTATCCACGCTACAGGCTTAAAACTTGTAATAATAGTATATGAAAGGTGGTTTAGACGGTTTATGTCGTTGCGATGCTTTGACCCACTTCTTCGAAGCCGAGATCGTGTAAACTTTTCATGGAAATCATCTCTAACAACATGGACAGACTGGATTGCAGCGCATTTTACAGTAGGAGTAGCTGCAACGACGTTGCGTGTGTCCGCGAGTCAGTAGGTTAGGCCGTGCTCCACTACAGCAATTTACTTGCTGTCACTATTTATTCAGTGTACAGGCGCATTGATGCGCGGCAAGCTATCATATCCCATGCAACAAAGCAGGAAGTCGAGAAAGGCCGAGTCTGGTACTCAGCTGAAGGGGTTGAAAGGCTGTCAAGTGTCTGTGATAATGTAAGATGAGTCTCCCCTTATTATGTAATGAATTCAGGTAGTGTACGCTAGCGTTACTGGGCTCTTGGAGGGAGGAAAGCCGGCGCGTCGTTTGGCCTTCGCTTAGAAACGCTGCGCGTTGTTCCATTATCGCCATAGCCGCAATTCATTACTTCCTAATTCGATCACTTTTACATGTCACAGGAACCACATACAGCGCCTTCGGCAGAGCGAACGACATTCCGGAGATAAGCTCCAACTCGCCAAGGCAAGTTTGACAGGGTTGCTAGTCATCAACTTCTAGGCCATGCCGGTTTTCGAGTCCATCAAATATATGAAGATGTTTTTAAAGCAACACCGTGTCTGCATGTAATGCGTGAACTGGATCGTCCCTTCGGTACTTCCTAGCGTGCGCGTCCTCACTGCCTGTCGAAGTACGCTGCAGAGCCTGTTTCCTGGCAACCTCTTCATCGCAGTCCACACATACCTCCCTGCATCCCTGGCTGATTTAACGCTTCTCCTCAGACTTCCTCACCACTCCCGGCCTCTCTCAGTGTTACGGGCCCCTCTGCTCTCAAGCATTCCCAACTACGACACTCAAAACCTCCTCCTCCTTCCAATCGTCCTCGCGAACAATTGCACGCGCGTCCTCCGCTCCCCCACCGATAACCCCCCCCCAGATGCGGCTGGGAACCGGCCGCCAATCTAGCGTTCGCTCGGAGCTGCAGTCTCTGCGCACTCAACTCGCGGCACTCCAAGAGCAACTGGATCTGAGTCAGCGCTGCAACGAACGACAGGTACGGCAAACGGTGCGGTGCTGACAGTGGCAGTTGGACACCCGGGCCAGCGCCAGCGATACTGACTTATGTCCTTTTTTTTCCCGTGATCCCGAAACTTCATACCGTACAGCACGGTACGGCGCTCATTACCCCAAAATGCTTTTATTGTGTCGCACTCATCACACTTTTATTGTGTCGCACTCATCACACTTTTATTGTGTCGCACTCATCACGCTCGCGTGTTTTTCTAATTATTTCCGACATTCTTCAGGAGAGGTTGCTCAGTGAGCTCCAGGGAACGCTTGCTGAGGAACGGCGGGTCCACGGTGTCGCCCGTGAGGTGGCGAAGGACTACCTAGTGGAGCTGGCGACGACACGGCGGCAGCTGGCGGAGGCGGCGGTGCTGGCGGAGGTGGGCCTGGCGGCGGCGGAGGCAGCGTTGGCGGCGCAGCCAACCTCGCGCTTTCGTGAGCCGGCGGTTGAGTGCGACGATGAGGACGCTGTGACTGAGGAGGGAGCGGCGACGGAGGTGGAGGTAAGGGAGGCGGTGGTGGAGGTGTGTGTGGACGTGTGTTGCACGAGTATGGATTATGGCAGGATGAGCGAGCAGTGTGGGGGGCATACGGGGGTTACGGAGGCAGTGGTGTGGTGTGGTGTGGTGTGGTGTGGTGTGGTGTGGTGTGGTGTGGTGTGGTGTAATGCGGTGCGGTGCGGTGCGGTGTGGTGTGGTGCGGTGCGGTGCGGTGCGGTGCGGTGTGGTGTGGTGTGGTGTGGTGTGGTGTGGTGTGGTGTGGTGTGGTGTGGTATGAGGTGATGGTGAAGGTCTCCGGGCGGAGAGGAGTACCGGCGTCTGCGGCGACCGGGGTAAAATACCGGGGTACATGGACACAAGACGCAGGCCTAGTCGCTTAAACGCGGTGCTTGAAGCTGCTGCTGGTGCTGGTGCTGCTGATACGCACACGGTGTCCGTTACTTACCTGCTGACACTGCGCTTCTTCTCCTTTTTTATGTTGTTCTTCTATTTCCTCTCCGATATGTTGCCCTTTCCCTCGGTGCCCGTGCACTCCCGCCCCGCGGGGATGCCGTTCTTCTTTTCTCCTCCAGCGCCTGGAACGCAGCGCCCTCGTCTCCGGAGCTCTTCGAGTCCTACACGCGTTGGACGCGGCGGAGGCGCCCGCGACCTACACCCCGATATCGCTACAGCTGCATCCGCCCAGACATCCGCCCCAGCAGTCTAAACAGCATCGGCGGCAAAAACACCGCTCAAAGCACCAGCACCAGCATCACAACCATAACCCATGCGCCCCCGCAGTCCCCGAGGCGCCCCGCACTCTGGCGGACTGCGGTACAGGCGAATTGCTGAGTACGGCATCGGCCCCGGTCCCCGCGGAGGACTTGCTTCGCGCGGTGAAGGCGGCGGTGCGGCCTGGCTATGTGGATTCTTTGACCACTTTGTCATCGATTCCAACACCGCCGTCGTCCTCCTCCGCCATGAGCGTCGACTTGGAGGCCGAACGGGCGGCCCCACGCCATGGAGGCCGTCGAGGTGGCGGTGGCGGTGGCGGCAATGGCAACGTCTCACGCAGCCACAGGAGCCTCAGCCTGGCCGGTAGCCACAGTAGTAGTGGTAGCATCAACAGCAGCAGCAAAAGCAGCGACAAGTCGGGCATTATCAGCAACATCAGTAGCAAGAGCAGTAACAGCAAGAGCAGTAACAGCAAGAGCAGTAGTAGCAAGAGCAGTAACACAGCTTTTTGAACAAGTCGTTTCGTGTTACATGTGTGACTCGGAGCGGTATTATATCGAAGGCTGTGGTGCATGTGAGCCCTTCGTAACCTTCACCCCTACTGCCGACAAAAGTCCCGGCAGCGACCCGTGGGTCTTTGTGCAGTAGTGATGGTGGAAGTTTTCCGGGGGCATCAGCACTGACAGGGTCTGGCCTCGCACTGCACACTCCGGGGCCGTCATGTATGTGGGTTTTGAAGGAGGCGGCGGCTCATATCATATCAATCATATCATTTCCCTCGTGGTGATCTCCCTTCCCTTCCCACCCCTTCCTCTCTTTATCCATGGGACCTGAGCGGGGCCGCGGGGAATGGCGGGTGGAGGAAGTCGATGCGTGCTTTCCATGCCTTGCCACTGAAACCCAAGGGGGCCAAGAGCGATCTAAGCGGCGAGTGGTTCCAGCATGTGTACAGAATAATGTGGGCGTTGGGCCGACTGGTCAGTAGCAACGAATGGTGTACGGACGGACGGCTCCTTTGCGGCCGATGGCCAGGTGGAAGGGCGGCAGCGGGGGACCAGCAGCGCTCTGGGTGCCGTAACGGAAGGGGAGGGGTGTCCCTGGAGGGGAGCTGTGTGAAGGAGCTGTCGCGGGAAACGGATGTTCATGTGTGCGGGTTGCCGGGGTTTCATGCATGTATGTGTGTGTGTCTGTATGCTGTGCATGTTGTGGTGTGTGTATGTGTGTGTTGTTACAAGGTCTCGTACGAAGGAAATGGGCGGTGTAAGGGGGGCTAGTGGCGGGGAGATACGCAACATACACAAGAGCGCTTTCGGCAGCTGGATGAGCTTCCATCACGTTGTTGCGTTTCATCCGCATCTTCGCTGGCAAGAGGACACAAGCCCTTCAGACACAAGTTAACGCAAAAACACCTTTTAAATGTAAACCTCAGCAGCACATCAGTACGGCAGCACGGCACCAGCACTCGGTGACGATGTGCTTCCAGTGGGGCCAGACCGCAGCAGAAAAGGCCGACGTGATTTTGTACAGCTAAACATCGCTGTCAAGTACGAAGTATGATACATATACATTGCATGAGAACGGAATGAAAATCCCTTTCAACTCACATCAAGTGTTACTACTGCTGTGGTTGATGCGACCCCCGTTGGCACGCACGTGGACGCACGCTCAGGCACAAAGATGGAAAGATGAAACCACTTGGGACCCATCCACCCACCCAGCCATCCGAACAACACAGCTACGCCCTCCTCCTTCGTTCCTTCCCTACCTCCCTTCGTACCTTCCCTCCCTCCATTCCAAATGTCCGAATATTCCTCTCCCTCCATTCAACGGACCACCAATACTTATAACACACTCCTCCCCTCCTTGCATCTCTCCGATCCACGGAACCCTCCACCCAGGTCGTGTGTGTATATGTACGTATGTATGTCGGCACCCGTAACCCGAAGGAGCCCTCCTTACAAAGCTGACCCGCTCTCACACCCCTCCCTGGATAGCCCTCAAAGCTGCGCAAACCACTGCCAGCCCCTTCCTGAGCCACCACGCAAGGAAGCGGAGCCTACTCAAGTGGTCACAACCTTGGTCACCGTCACCGCCTTGCTGTTGCAAACCAGGCAAGTCTCTAGCTTACCGCGACGGCGCATCTCATCACGACAACCGCCACATATACAAAGATGTACCACGGCGGGATGTACGAACCCGTACAACGCGCGATGCTCCATGCACACGCAGCATTGCCCATCCAGGCCCATATCAGGCGTGCTTGGGCTGGCTGCTGCTGCTGCGGCGGCGGCGGCGACCCGCCCC